AATTTCTTGAAATTTCCTTATGAAATTTCTTTTTGTAATCTTTCATGAAATTTCTTAACTCTGCCCTGGACCTTGGGTTCAGAAGTTTCTCTGAAGCAAGAGGAGCCCTTTTCGATTACGTTTCAATCAAAATGCAATCCTCACTCAGATTTTTTGGAAAAAATAACCCTGCGATGCCCTACGCGGCATTTATAAATATGATCAAGGCGTTAAAATGTTTTCACCGCGAGGGCGCGAACCATGAACGATCGGGTCATGGGGCGAGTGCCTTACCGCTTAGCTACGCCGATTGATATAGAGATGTCGAATTTGCCAGTACATAAGGCAAATAGAGTTCTTTCTTTCTCCACTAGAGCTGAGAGTAGAGACGCATCGGTGAAACGCTCTTGCTTACTGATGATCTGCGGCAGGATTTTTGTCATCCCTAACCTTCTAAGCCAAGAAGGAATCTCTGCTAAACTCAAACGCCGTTAGATAGACTGTTAGGTGTTATCACTTGCTGATAAGGTTAGAAACACATCAAAACACCTCAACGATTACCATCATCATTCATCATGCATTCATCATCTTACCGAAGGGGTTAGGTTAGGGGAGGGGTGCTTTGCTGCCTAATTTGTCGTATGTCGTTAGTTTGTCGAGTGCTCGAGTGTAATCAATCAATATCATAAGTAGGAAAAGATTCAATTGTTCTAATATATTTTTCTTCCAATTAAATTCATTCTTGATCCTAATCATTGCTAAAATGTTTAGGATTGACTTGAACTTACCTATTAAACCAACTAACCAACCCGTAACCGCAACTTCAGTTGACCAGAGAGCCGGCAACATTGTTCAGATAAACGCCAAACGAGTGTTTGTTTTATTATTGTTGCTGTTTTCAAAACGAAACGATCCCGAAAATTTGGGTGATGATGTGTATAAGTTTCTCTGAATTAGTGTCTGTTACAGCATTCGTAAGGATTTAGTCTTCAATCCACTTTATTCTCCCGTCTTTCAACGTGTCCAGTAATTTTCAGAATGGATTTCCCGAGGCTTTGGCTGTGCCTTCTTGCTGCCATGACTGTTCTCATAGAAATATGTGAGTTATCTCTTTAAGATATAAGTTGATTTTAAGTAGATCTTATGAACTGCGTAACTATTGAACTATTGGCCATCTAAGTTAATGGAACCGTTGTACTATCTACAACTGCAGTACAAACGAATTAAGTATGAGGCAATGATTCATAACCTCACTTTGGTGGGGCGGAGCCTCATCATATGATACGCAACTGACCCAAAAGGGTAGGAAACTATAAACAAGACAATAAAGTCTGCCTAGGCAGATTGTGATCTACAACAGCAAAAAAAAAAACCTTCGTTTGCAAGACCTCCAGAGTTGGATCCTCTGTTGTAAACTGATTTTATGTACACAGATCGACATTCTCGCAGTTGTCCAATCATCAACAGATAAGAATTTATCATCATAGTAGGTTAAAAGTTAAGTATGTTGGAGGGATCTGCGGGTCTGTTGTCAGTCCTTCCTCCCATTTGATACATTTCGTACTTTTACCGTAGGACAGGCTGAAAAATGAAATTTCATTGTTTAGATTTCAGGAGCCCCATCACCTCCAGTAGTCCCCGGCCTCTCGAGACAGGAGGCTTGGAGAGCAGTTTCGAGACTGACATAGCAAGTCTCTGGACAATTCCTCAAGAGTCTAACAATGGTTTTGGTTGTCTCTGGGTAATGCTGGAGAGCGCTCCAGAGACTTTACTAATGCACCTTTTATAAAGTTTCATTTTACTTCTAGGTTGATTCTGAAATTCTCCGTTTTCTGTACACCATACTTACTTATCTTGGCTTCTCTGTTTCAGGCGAAAGTTTGGAATGTTATGTCTGCACCAATCAAGATAAAAATGAAGGCAAATGCTTGAATACAATTAAAACGTGTGATCAAGAACAAGACATGTGTCTTTCAGAAGTATTCTGGTCAAGTAAGTTTGTTTTTTTATGCCGTTCATGTAATACAGTGCCTCTCTCTGTAGCGTATCTCATGGGGTCAGGAGATTTATCTAGTGTAGAGAGATATCTCCAGCAAACGGAGAGCTGAAGGAACACATAAGAACATCAAGGGGCTCTTGGATTATCGGTCAAAACAAGGACTGTAATTATGTTGATCTTATTAGTGATTAAGACTGAAAATGATTATTTTAAACTGTTCTTCTGTCCTGAAATGAAAATTTGCTCTCTATCATTAAGGTAACTGATGCCTTTTGAAACATAAGCAAAGATTACAATAAAAGGAAATAAAAAATAGGTAAGTCATATTCTGTTCGAAACAACAAATTGTTTCTGTTTTTTTTTTTCTTGTTTCTTTTGCGTAATTCTGAACAACCAATGAGAAAGCGAATTCCAATTTTAGGTTAGAAAACAGAGTTGTCTTGGGCAACAATATAAAAATGACTTGCTTCTGACGACATTGCAGTTGTTGTACAACAATCTTGCCGCAGGGTTTCCCAAATTTTGTGTGTGAAAATAAGCCCTGCCCCCACAACACGAAACAACTTCGAAGAAAATGCGATTGTTGCTTGTTTTCCCAACATGTTGCGAGTGTTGCCTCCGTTCAAAATACAACTGTATTCACATAATAAAAAAATAAAGAAGAATGAGCAAAATAATAAATAGGTATTAAGAACTACCAAAGATATCTTTATCATGAATAATAATACCAAGAAAAATACTCCAGTAATGAAAATAATTTTGAAATTTCTCTCAGGGCTTTAAATGTGTGGGTTTCCTTGCTGCGTAGTGTGGAAAATTTGTGGTTCATGTTTTAAAGAAAGCAGATTCCTCCGGCTGTAAGGCCTTACCTTATTGGGTGGAGCATTTTTTTTTGTGTGTCTTCTTAAATTATATGCGAATGAATCTTTAAAAAGGGACCTTAATTTTTGGGAGAAAATTTTACTTAACTTTTTACATTCAAATCACAATATCAAGAAGTTCAGACAAATTTTTACCCATAAGATAAGGTTCTTTTTCACGGATCTGGTCATATATTTATTTAGAGATACCTTATTTGCTCATTTAAATTTGATCGTAATTTTAAAAAATGTTACCTTTTTCCCTCTTCTTTTTTCTTTTTTTTTATTCACCATAAGCAAAAAAGAAATAAAATTCAAAATTGTATGAAATGTATTATTTCTCACATTATTTGAGGCAAGCCTTTAATCATCATCAGGCTAGTCCATTCATTCTACATGATTTTAGCTATCCGTTTGTTTATACCTAGTACAGAATATCATAAGTTGTCTGCCATTTGGTTAGTGGCATTGGATAGTGAACTTTCATGGCAGTTTTTTCTTCAATCCACTGTATGATGATACCTATTATTATATGATGACATTTTTTATAGGAATGAGGGACTATTTGGTGTTTGGATGTGGCAGGTGGGAACATTTGGATTGCATTTTGCATAAAGGAACCACTAGCATTGCAATGATGTTAAGATTGTGCAACTTCATCTTTTACGATAAAATTGCGGAAATCGTGAAAAACTATGAAATTTAGATGGTAATTTTTGTCTTAAATTTACAGTTTTTAGCGAGTAAAATAGGAACGATTAATGGATAATCAGGTTTTTCCTCCAAGACAAAAGAAGTTGCACAATCTTAGCAACATTGCAATGCTAGTGGTTCCCTTTTGCAAAATGCAATCCATTTAGCTATCAATGGTTTTAAGAAAATGGTACATTGGTAGGGAAATGATTAGGTTTCAAGAGGCATATTGGGGAGATGGGGATTTTTTTTTAAAAAACTGATAAGCAATTTTTTTAATCTTTTTTTTTCATTTTTAGTCCCTCCATACTGGTCACAAGGTTCGGAAAAACAATATTACATTTCCAAAAAGTGCGCAACAAGAGATGAATGCCGTAGGACCAACAGCAAGCTTATGTCCTCATGTACTTACATATGGTATCAAGATTGGAAATGCTCCGAATGTTGTGCCGGAGATCGTTGTAACTATTTCATCACGGTGAGTTAATTTTTTTGTATCTAATCTTAGCTGATAAGATCATATATCTGTCGAAAGAAAATAAATAGAGGCCAACATTTTTAGTTTCTTCACCCTGAGCAATGTCATTTTCTGTAAGGAATTGGAAGTCCATTTTCAGATGCAAATATTTAGGCAATCACTAGTTCTTCAATGAATGAGGACCTCGGAAATTAAATACTCGTAACTTGGAATGGTAACTATTTGACAGACATGAACCAATAGCAAAAACTTTCATCTAATGGGAAACTGCTGGCATTGGGCACTTGTTTACTTCTAGTGAATATGGAGGTTAGGATGCATTTGCTGGGAATAATTATCACTCTCACTAGGTTTTATGTTCATGAAGCTATTTTTAGGTACAGAGCAATCAGGCTCACCATACTGTTTAATTTGGTGATGTATTGCATACTTTTGGAGCGAAAATCCTGAAGCATACTACTTTTAAAGTCCTGGAACTCCCAGAGATTTCCAAAGCGCTCAAACGGCAGGAATGATCCTGGTGAAGTACAAAATGGACCGCGTTCAGCAGAAAGGAACCAAGCCACATTAGCTGTAGCCAAATTTAATTAGGCAGTCTACTTTTTCACATGAAACTGGTTGTGCAGATTTTTGTGCAAATTTCAGTGAATTTTCTGCATAGTACGAAACAAATTCCTTAAAATTTTCTAAGGAATTGGCACAAACGTTCTCTTGTAGAAAATTAAATTGCCCAGTTAAATTTGGTAATAGCTAATGTGGCTTGGTTCCTCTCTGTTTAATGCAGTCCAAATATCGACGGTGAAACTACCAAACCACGTATCTCGGTTTGTGACGTCGCAGACTTCCTGTTATACTTTATTTTTTAAATGAAAAACTACTTAACGTCCAGTCTTGAAAATTTCTGTGATTTTTCCTCTTTGTGCGGAGAAAATTCTGTAAAAATTTCAAGGAATGATATTGATATGGTCTACTTCAAAAAAATAAAATGCGAGCGTAGATTTTTAAACACCGCAAACGAAATACGTGGTTTGGTAGTTTCACCGTCGATATGGTACCTAGTATATGGTCAGTCAAATGGCTATCTATTCTGGTTCGCCTCTAATTCTAGCTGAAATAAAATTAATTTCACCGTGGAATTGTGGTTGTTTACCTCTAAAAAAATGAATGAGACTCTACTGAATTCCTTTCTGGAGCTATTTGAAGCTTCCTACTGGCCAACCATTTCATCGTGATTGTAATTTTTAATTTTCCTTTTGATTCACAGCTGAGCGGATCGGCAGTGCAACCCAGCAGTATAGTTTTAGGATTATCGATAGTCTGCGCCCTAGTTTATAATTTGTTCCACTGATTGGAAGAACTAGCGCTTTCTCACGCCAGATGAACAAATTTTCCATGAGAATTTGCGAAATTTGACTGCATAGAATCTCAATTTTTATTTTTGATACCTACATCTAATTTATTTTCAATATTGGGGAAAAGCTGCACAAACTTTTTTTCTCATTTTAAGTTGGCATTGCCCCCTCAAGCTTTCCCTTTTACTCGTCCAAAACTCATCTATTGAGCAAATTTTAATTTGCTTGAATGTGTATGTAATTTAAAGTATTGTTGTTAGTCTCCAGGGTGATTCAAAAGTTCTGCATCACCTCTAGAACACCCTAGTTTTGTTGCCCTTTTTCAAGGTGGTCCCTTAAAAATTTCGGGGCTTCCAAAAGTCGTTTCCTTTAACCTAGGAACGCTCTTAAAATTTTAAGTCAATGTCTCGATTTATTCAAAAGTTGTAGGGGTGATACCTAGCGCTGCAATATTTTTTGATCACCCTGTATGTTCCATTGTTTTCGAAGCTTTTTGTACATTTCGCACGGCTGAGGTATGCAAAGAGATGTATATTTTTTATGTCCCACTGAGCCATAATTTCAGCAAGTTAGGAAAGAAACAGTTTCTACCAAACAGCATACCAATTTTACTGTTGGGATTTTAGACGTCAATTCAAAATAATTGGAGAATGGCCAAAATAATGAAAACATTAAGAAAAATTTTATCCAAAAATTTCTGGAAGTGAAATTGTCATGAATTCCTCTTTATCAAGTTTTTCTCCATCTAAATATCTATTTTACTGGCCTGTCAATACAAAGGTTTGGGAATGTTAGCACTTCGGTATGAAAAACAGAAATTTCAGAATTTTTTTTCTTTTTTAAATTAATAATCAAGATTGCTCCGGTTTTGTGGTTGGCAGCTAATTGCTGATTGCAAAAAAAATCTTTTGAAGCTGCTGTACAGCGCAAGAAGTCTTAAGCAGGTCTCTTGCACTTAAAATTATTTTGACACGGTTAAACCTCAATTTCTAGGCACCAAATGTAATACTTTGCACTTATTACCTATCTCAAGTCTTTTGAACCTACTACGGCTTCAAGTTAATTAACAACAGAAAGACACCAGAATAGCAAGCAACTCGTAGTGCTTCGTCATAACAACTGTAAAAATTTATCATGTTCTTTATAAAATGTCACAGATGCTATCAGTCATCACCTCCTTGAAAAAATTGTCCATCATACTAAATCGAATGTTGAAAAAAACACCGATAAAACTTATTTCATTGCCACTTACCATAAAGAGCATATATCAATTTTAAGCTCCTCCTCAAGATATGATACTGATAGCGTCCATTCTGTCCCTGGGGAGTCTGAAGTGTTTAGAATCAGGAAAAACTACCACCCAAAGATTTCAAGAAATCTTTTCTCTTTTTTGATTTTTCTATTCTATTTTAATTTTACTTGACCGCCAGAACAAGCTTTCAACACAAGCGGAAAATCATAACTTCGAGAGGGAAAGCTAAGAATCTTGAGATCCATTGTAAAATATTCACTGAAACCATTCACCAAAATGACATCGTCTGTTATTTATCCTGAAGTCCAAAGACACTTTGGCCTCCACTACTTGATCTAAGAAATAATGCGTTCATTGTTAGGTACAAAACCTATCTCTAATATGCTCATCAGCTGCAAAAATGTTGTAAAATAAGTAATTTTAAGCTTTTCATTTCTTGTAGTTGTTAGTCTTAAAACTGCCAATTTATCTCTAAAATCACCTTCTCTTCTATGGAGCCGCACAATTCTATGGTTCAAAGTTACCATACAATCTTTTACATATCTCCAGACCAGATCTTAATACTGATTTTTGCTCCGCTTTTGACTTTTAAGGCTTATTAACCATTCAAGAGCTTAAGGTAATTCTAAGTGATATGGGGATGAAAACGGTCTTTGCGTTACACTGCTACATCGTTGTGTCTTTGAGAATTAGTAATTATTGTATTGGATAAATTAATGCACAGGGTATCTACCAGTCCGGAATTTTCGGAAATAGTACTGATTTTTTAAGGGTGGTCCGGAAGTACTGATAAATTGCGGAAATTCTGCAAGAAGGTCTAGAATTTTTTCCTTCATACCACGCATGTTGTTTTTAATAAAGCCTAAAAAGTATGTAATCCCCTGTGCATTGATTCTTAGAGTAGTATTTGCCTCCAAGATTGCGGTTTGCAATCAGATAATCTTCAAGTCACAATGTTTTGTGGCCATATCATATTTATCAAAATTCAAGCTAGAATTCCAAATTTTCAAAAAAAATTCGAATTTCGTCAAAGAGAGGTACTGAAAAAGTACCAAAGTTTTCTGCTGAGTAGGTACTGAATTTCTTGGGAATGTACTGAAAAAGTACTGATCAGCCTATTTTTCTGGCCAACCTATTTTAGTAGACACCCTTATGCAGGAAATTGATCCATATCATGTAGCAGCATTAATACTGAGAGTAGTAATGACATCAAATTTGGGAGGGTTCATTGAAAATTTTTATTAGAAACTACCATAACAACGTTTTTTATTAACTCCATGTGTAAGAGAGAGATAGCGCATTAATATCTCTTTTTTATGCATTTAGTCAATGAGAGACATGCATTATGGCAGTTTCTAATATGAATTTTCAATGAGTCTTCTCTTTTATGTCATAACACTGTATCAATGGTGCCACATATTATAAAGCAGTTTCTCGCATTAATTTGTCCTTTATGGTAATCATTGCTTCTCAATAACACCGATTGTGTAGCAGCGCAACACAGTGGCAGATCTTGTCCTCAGATCCTTCAGCATCACCTTACTACATAAGTACATACTGTATTTTTTTTTATCAAGTATTAATCTCAGTGATGAAGGAGGCTTTGGCCTTTTGTTATCAGTGCAGTTTTAAACCTGTATTATAGTGCAATATCCATTTGTCTTTTTTTTAAAAAAAAATTTTTTTAAGGCAAGCCACACTGCTGTTTCCCTTGACAACCATTACAGGCTAAATAGGTGTATCAAATAGTGAATCGAAGAGAATGATATTAAGAAGAATACTTTTTGTGAAATGGTAAAAAGTTACTGGGAGAAGAAATGGGAGAATTTTGTCGAAATGATAAGTTGTTGACGCCATGACACCACCCAAATGAGAACATCAGAGCAATTTATTTTTTTTAAAAAAAATTGAGATTTTTTAGCTTGGTGTCGACAGAATTGAATCATTGTTGTCATTAAGTATTTATTAGCTGTGTAGAAATATTGCTTTATGATGTTTCTGAGATGCACTGCAAAACAACCATAAATATCCTTATTAAATAACCTTTCATTTACTCCTTCAGTGGTCATATGACATTGTTGGTTTAAATCTAAAATTTGAAGATATATTCTTTTGGTTTGTCATTTTTTAAAAAAAATGAAATAAATGGCTCTCATATTTGTATTAGTCTTTCCCTAAAAGACTTCAGCGCCAGAAATAAAATTATAAGAAAAATAGTAGAAACTCTATTTAACTGACAAATTATAAATTCTTTATCAATTAATAATGTGATTCATTAATTAACTGGTTTAATATTTTGAAGCTCTGATATTTAGTCAATTCAAGCAAGTTTTTTTTATGTTTCTCTCATATTTTAATTTCTGGCGCTTCAGTATTTTTGAGAATGACCGTTTCAATTGGCTAACAGGCCGAACCTAATCAAAAGTGATGGTGATAATAGGTGAATATGCTACTCCTATCATAATAAATATTTAACATGTACATAACTTGCCTAATAATGTGGTCCTGTTCTTGTATTATTTAGCATCTGTTATAGATGTAAATTTCTCAGCACAAGTGATCAGATCCGTCCTTTTTTATGTTAATCCATATAAGTATTTACAACTTCTCTTTTTAGTGTATTTTACCAAGAAAATGCACTATTTTTTTACTTCTTTTTAATATTATTTTAAGAATTTTGATCTTATATAGACTTATTTATTTGTGTCTTAATTCTTCGATCTGTTAAGTCTTAATCCGTCCACAAAGATTGAATAAATGCATATCTCTCTCGTTCTTACACTGCTTTTTTTAACTGTAAATTTTACTGTCAGTTCTGCCATGCTAAGGAAGGACGCCGTATGAGCCTTCAGGCGTTGCCAAGTTTCCTCCGATAAATACCGAATTTACTGGGAAAATTGCGAATATTATTTTCCAAAATTTCAGACAATTTTGTACACAATTTAATCTGAAACATCAAAAAATTTCAAGGGAAAATATGTATAAATGTCATCAAAAATATTTGTTTTATCGAGGGAAATTTGGCAACTCTTAAATGTTCATCTTGCGTTCTTCTTTAGCAAGGCAGAGTTCTGAATATCGCTTTCCAGGACTTCCAAACCTGACTCTCTAAGGTTGCTAAACATGGATTGTTTGGACTTCTCTGACTTTTCAAGGGCATTGAGAATAAAACTGCTTTTCAGGGGAAATTATTACGGTGAAGTCCCTTTAAATTTAAAAAAAAGATGGGGAAAAAAGTGTCTACTTTAAAAACTTGAGGGCAACAGCTGCTCTGCAAGACTCAACATTCGTGGATGTAGATAGAAAAATGCAAGTAGAGAGTTTGCTTACCTACTTTCCAAAGTACCTCACTTGCTTTTTAAGTAAATTGCTATGAGCACCAGATAAAAATTAGAACAAGCTGATGAAGCGATCATAAGAAAGTGCAGCATCTCATCTAAGTTTTCAAATTTTGAATTTATTTCGATTTCAAAAGACTACGGGCTAAACATTTTTTGTAAACATGTTTTGGCTACAAAAAAAGTGTTGATAAGTCAGGGAGTTTGGAATCTGAGAAAACTAAGTGGACTAATGCTGCCGTGCTGGGGAAAAACGCCGTACGAACCTTCAGGCGTTGCCAAATTTCCTTTGATAAAATACCAATTTCCTAGTAAACTTGTGAATATTTTCCTTCCAATTTTTCAGATAATTTCGTTCGCAATTTCTTCTAAAGTTCCTAAAAATTTCAAGGGAAAATATTCATAACATTTCTCAAAAATAAACATTTTATCTGAGGAAATTTGGCAACTTTCAAATGTTCATACGGCATTCTTCCTTAGCACAGCTCAATGTATCAGTAGACAGGAGCAATAAAAAAAAATTTCTTCATCGTTTAGTCGATAATTGATGGAATTTAATAGTGGTGACTAAAGACAAGAGGAAGAAATTCTGAACAAAATTATCATCTAATTAACATCATTACATAATGCATAATGGTTTACAATTTTTTTTTTTTAAAAAAGTAAAAAAGTTGATGGTTGGACAGACTCAAAATGATAAGACCGCAAATCACAAGAGGTCCGAATAGTTCTGGTCAATTCATTTTTCTTTTCAAGGCTGCTGCAGAGGATTCACAAAAGTAGGAACGTTTCTAACTTTCAACATCAGATAACCTGGAACAGAACTGAATTGGTGTTATCTAACTACAAACTTACAATATTTGTTTAGGGTACAATTTTTTTGAGAGCACTGATTTTGGAAGGTTTGACACCAAGATGGAAGGACTCAGTTTGAAAACGTTACTTAAGGTGATTCGTCAAGCTCAAGTGAGGTGGTCGAACTGGCATGTGATATATATCGCTTTGATTAAGTAAAAAATCGCGGCAGATTTTGGATTATAGCAAAAAAAGGACCACGGCCCCTGCGCATGAGCCTTAAGAATCATTCTAAACCCAAAAATCTGCAAAATTCAGAGAAATAAAAGCAGAATAGTGTTTGGAAAAAAACCTCGCATCCGATTCAGCTATCGATTTCTGTATCGAATGCGAGGTTTTTTTCCAAACACTATTCTGCTTTCATTTCTCTGAATTTTGCCGATTTCTGGGTCTAGAATGATTCTTTAGGCTCATGCCCAGGGGCTGTCTTCCTTTTTTTGCTACAAAACCAAAATCTGCCGCGAGTTTTTACTTACTCAATGCAATATATCACTTGCCAGTTCGACCACCTCACTTGAGCTTGACGAATCACCTTAAACATGCCAAATATAAAAAAAAAAAACGTTTTAGCTACAAAGGTTTTACTTGAGTTGGTGCTGAATAATTTGACCAATACCTGAAGTAAAAAGCCAATGAAGGTATGCCATCTTTAGTCTTGATTCAGTTTTGATAAGGAAATGAATAGAATAGTTACAATATGCAATCACTGCCTTAAATTGTGGCACAACTTCCTAGGAAAGAGACAATCTTGAAAATTAGAGCAGTTTTCACAGCCTGACAATATTCTGAAAGGAACTTTCCGGGCATCCATTTGACTTGAGAAAAGGTACTTAAAAAGAGACTTGAAGATGTCAACTCACCTGATTTTGGCTTGCAAGTTTCTTCCTGATAACTCAAAACTTCGTAAACTCAAAAATTATTCTTTTTGTGGCTCGGAATCTGAGTCTTTTGTTTTTGACAGCTTTTTCTCGTCTCTTTCCTTCTTGTCATCCTCAGCCAACTTCATCATCTTAGCAACCATCTCTTCGTGTTTCTTTTGCTTCTTCGCCTCTTTCAGAGCCTTCCTCTCTTCCTTTTCTTTCTGTTCAAGTATTTCTTGGAATTTGTTATCTCTCGGATCAATGGCGTAACCGATATGTCTGCGAACGTCCTCAATTAGTTTGGCTCTTTTCTCTTTGGCTTCCGTAGCTTGTTGGAGTTTCTTGGTAATCTTGGCTTTCATCTCTTCCTTCCACACGTTCATTTTCTTTAGGTTCTCTATAATTTTCTTATCTTGTTCTATTTCTTTCCTCTCTTTCTCCATTATCTTCGCTTTTTCTTCTTCAACCATTTCCTGAATACTTTTGGGGCACAACAAACTTTCATATTCTTTTGCTTGCACCAAATCTTCTTTAGTGGGCCATGCGATGCGTGGATCCACATTACTACTGTTTCCATAGCGCCCATACATCCTTCGATTCCATCGGACAGTTTTAAGTGTCTCCAAGTCCGCTTCAACATCCAGCCACGGAGGTTTGTTATGCACTCTGTTTCGGTCTTGGGGATAGAGTCGAGACTTATTTCGCCTCATCTCAATGTAACGTTCCCTCTCCTCTTCCTGTTCTCCTGTTTCAAGGAAAAGTTCTTGATCCACTTTACCATCATTGGATGGTGGCTCTGTTTCTTTAGAGACAGCGGTGCTCAGAGCTCTAATGCTTGAAAGCTCACGAAGGTTAATACGCAGATTTTTTGCAAAGCAGAGAGGACTTGGAAAAGATACCATCATCATGATTGAGCTTGTTGGTCGCTGACCTAAACAGGGGGATGAATATAGAATCGTGCACGTTGGATATGGTAGATTCTGCGTACAATTTTCGCGTCACCTCACTTACATATTGGTTGATTACCACACTATATAAATGAAAAAATGAAAATACGCGAGACTTTTTTCACAAAATCCAAGAACCGTGCTCGTGATACTTGCGTGATAACAAATAACAAAACAATAACATAACCTCAGTTTGGCTGTGCCTACCGTCAACCGTGGCGTCCGTGGCCAGATTTTTCCCGAATTTTTGCACCTCTTCATGTATTTCTCCGTTTCATTATTCTAATTTAACGAGAAGTTTTGTATCAGACTCTTGTAGTTTAAGCACATTTTTGGAAACCTTTAGAAATTCTACCTTGGATGTTCGACGTTGCTACCGTCTTGTGTTTTTCAAGAAACTTTTCAGTTTTCTGACTGTGACTGAGAATACCTTTATTTAGTGTCATTATCGTCTTCACAGTATTTTTATTGACTGTCTGTCACGAGGATCGAGAAAGGAAGAGACTGAGACTCGTGAAAAGGTGCTTCTTCCTCCTGTCAGCATGATAGCACCGGAAATGGTCACCAATCCTGATGATTTTGGCGCTGGACCCTCTCTGTCTTTTGTGAAGGGTAATGTATGAATGTTACATTTATTTGAGTTCACCTTCCACCAAGGTAGGCGTAATTGTGCTGGCAACTTTGATCCACCAGCAGAATTAAGACGGTACTGTGCATGAGTACGGGAGTTCATCGTAATAGGGTGCTTTGCATCTGCATCTGCTGTAGGGGTGTTCAAACTGATTCTACCCGGAACACCATTGGTATCATATTTATGCATAAGCCGCTTTTATGGCACGCCAGGGCGCTCTGTGACACCTGCTCTCCACAGGAATCTGTCATGGTAGAGATCCTCCGGAAGCTGGCATCTCTCCATCTCTTCATGGATGCCCTCTACCCCCCGTTTGGCTGGACGCCCTCTCCGTCGCCTACCTGGGGGGACCCACTCCAACACCTTCTTCGGCAACCTGGTATCAGCCATTCTCTGCACATGCCCATACCATACCAATTGCCTGGTCATGATATTGTGCACAATCGTCCCCTCAACGCCCATTATCTCTCGGACACATTCATTGGTATCATCCCTTACCAAAACTGGTGACAGTACCGACAGTGGCGATGATATTGTGAACAGCCCGCCTTATCGGAGTTTTGAGAGTTCGCACTCAATGCATTTTTGCCCTGTGTGTTGGTTTGTCAGATTGCCTGGCGCAGCGGCATGTAAAATCGATGTACGTATGGCAGCAGCTTATTTTTGTCAGCTCCGAAAACTCAGATCGCTATCGGTGAGAGTGCCCTCATCGTAACTTTTTTCGACAGATCTGTTTTGGTAACTAATGGACAACAGATAGAACAGCCCTAATCTGGTGACCAGCAGTCTGTCTATCGGAATCTTTTCTTTTTGAATGAATGAATGAACAATCTAAAATAGTGTTAATGCAGGCAGATTGCGGTCATCCCTTGAGTTGTTTTGCTAAAGTGTGTTAAAATTCAGTTTATTAACCGAAATTATCATTTTTCAGAGTTGCTCATCGTATGTTGAGACAAATATCAATATCTAATCGGTTCAGAATCAGCACCACTTAATAGATTAATATCTGCAATTAGATAGCACCATCGGTGTGTAGTGTCATAACAATACTTGACTTTTGTTTCAGCGTATAATAAACAACTTCTAGCCTAGCATTGCTAATTTGATCACTATTTTACCCCTAAGAGGTATGCCGTTTGCTGAAATGGTAAGTGCAAGCAAAACAGCGATTGCATTCACCATGAAAATCTGAGGAATTCTTCCAAAAATTGTGTTCGATCATGAACGTAGTATTTGCAGAGATTTGCAGAAAGGAGAGAGATACTGCCACGAGAAAGAAGTGTTAGATTACAGGTAACAGTGGAGGCCTGCACTCCTGCCTTCTCTTAAGAACGATCAATCTGTTTGCCATGCAAACCGCGAAGTCTTTTTCTAGCAGCCAGGTGCATTGAAATCTCTCAGCCCCTTTTTCTCCCAGTCATTATCTTTTTCTTGTTTTTTTTTTTTTTTTTCCTGTGAATTCACAAATACCTAACACATGGGTTTTGTGCTGAAGCAAATTGGCTGTCCTGATTTCTGAGTCCAGTTTGACGGTCTCTCTATTTCATAACCCCCTTGTCCTGCCTTCCCATTTTCAATTTTTTTTTTTTTTTTTTTAAATGCCCCAGCCCCTCCCACTTTGGTGCGCAACCTACTAATTGCAATGCCAAGATCACTTGTGATCTGCCGTGCTAAGGGAAAACGCTGTATGAACCTTCAGGCGTTGCCAAATTTCCTTTGATAAAACGCACATTTCCTGGTAAACTTATGAATATTTTCCTTCCAATTTCTCAGATATTTTTGTTCGCAATTACACCTATAGATCCTGAAAAATTCAAGGAAAAATATGCATTACTTTTCTTAAGAATGAACGTCTTATCGAAGGAAATTTGCCAACTCTCGAATGTTCATACAACGTTCTTCCTCAGCACGGCAGTGATAACCAAGACCACTTCAATGTAAATTTTTTCCGTTGTTCAATGTGAGTTATATCAATAAGTTCTTACTAATTCCCTTCCAGATATTCAACTCATGTTGTGGGGTCTGGGTGACAGTCATAGACCATCTATCGCAACTGCACAATTGATTGAAAATATCGTGATCCAGCAGATGTTCTCCCTCCTCTCACAAGCGCAAGAGATTGCGGAGCTTAGGGAATCTGCAAGCATTGGAGTCCAAGATATTCTCTTTCTTCTAAGGAAAGATAAAATCAAGATCCAAAGATTAATGAACTACTTGGGTGAGAATTCAATATACTCATTAATGACATGGGACAGTGGCAAGGAATTTTTGCAGGGTTATATCAACGTTTTTGTGATCAAACCAAAAGGATAATTCAAAAGATCATCTCCAAGAAGAAGAAAATCCAATAAAAAAACAACCGCGAGTTGGTGTACTTAGCAAGGCGTTGCCTGAAGTTGAGTTCAGTCAATCTGCAAATGCCATTGCCTCTTCTTCAGTCATCAGAGCCCCCCAAAAATATCGCTTCAAGCAGGTCCCATGTTTTACATTTCATAGATAGCATTTTTTTGCCATTTATGGCCGAAAAAAAATCTGGAAAAATTCCTAAAAGCTTAGTTTACTTACCCTGTGGTTTCAGAAAATGAATTTTGAAAAAAATTTGTGCTACTGACCTTTTAAATGTAGGGTTGCCACGGTCAGGGAATACCAGGAAACTGGGAAGTGTATGGGAATTTTAAAAAGTCTGGGAAAATGACGCAAGTGTCAGGGAAAAATTGTTTAGTCACCTTTTTTTGCTTTCCAGAATGAGTTTGACGGTTCAAACAACAGATTTTGCGTGGAGACTATTTCAAATTTCATCTTTTCAGTCATCTGGCATATCCATTATTGTCAGGGAATTTTACCAAAATGTGTTAGGGAAATGTCTGGCAATTTCATTCTCTAAATTCTATTGCAACCCTGTAAGGTACCTTTGCACTCTCCTCTAACCCTAATTTCTTGGTTTAATTAACTTAATATCAGGTGACCATAACTATTTTGGTCTGCTTAATCATCATTAATTTGGAATAAATGACATAGGAACTGAAACCAACAAAAGCCAAAATATTTGTTCATATCATATCGTAATGCAGCTAGTAAGGACATGTGCCTTGAGGTTTACATTGCAATTCTAAAGCATGAATTGAGTATATTTGAGTAAGACAATGTGTAAAAGAGAGACAAAAATTATGTTAGTATTGCTTAAATGTATAGTAAATCATCTTCTTTAAACTTTTTCCTGCTACACACTGCTGAAAAGCAGCTATTTCAAAAATCTGTACTTTCAAGAAGGGTGGAAGTCAAAGTTTTCAAACTCTTTTTTTTTTTTTTTTTTTTTTTTTTTTTTTTTTTTTTGCATTTTTGATGCCCTTTTAATGTAGCAGCCCCGTTCCTGTACGTCTGTTACTTCTGTTCCAAGAAGTGCACTACCGCTGCGTTCTTTGGTAATATGGCAAGGAAAACTGGAAAATTAAAAATTGCGGGGGAAAAAAAAGATTTTTAAAAATGGACCTCAACTCACTATAAGTACTGATTCAGTTGAGGATCGAGGTCCCCGAATCTTCATCATCTAATATCTCGTTCAATATTTGTCTCAAAATGTCACTAAGTTCTGTTTCTTCATTTTGTTTGGGTTGTAGCTGTGAAGGACGTGCATGTGAAGCATGCTGCGTTAGACCCCTTGAATGGAGACACTGGAAAACCTTCCAAACGGAGAGAGATATGCCTTGATTTTCTGGAATATCTTGGCATTGAAGTTACTTCAGACCCACCGGACGCAATTAAGCTAGAGCGAGCGGCTCGTGCTGATCAAATGGCATTAACTCTGTCAACTAGGTGATTTAGAATTCATTTTATTTCATACCTCTAGGTTAATGTTTTAAGTGTGACACATCCACAGTTTTCACAGATAGTTCCATAAAAACTTCGTTGCTGATGCAAAACATGGTTTCTGACGCCTTGAAAAGTCCTTGAGAATGCTTGAATTTTTTTTCGCATTTTCAAGTCCTTGAATATCCTTGAATTCTGGGATTTTGCGTCATTGTTCTTGAAAGTTCTTTGAAATTCCTTTAATTTTACATCATCCGCTGAATTTGTGTCTTTTCTCTCACTGTCCTCTGTGAAAAAAAATTCTTCAGTGAACAGAATTGTGATACAGTTTTGTGTGAATTTGAGATTTATTTTAAAGGTGTGGTGGTGAGGAGTTCACAACAATTCAAGGATTTCAACCCGATTACAGATCAAATTAATCAGTCTTATTGTGAATACATAATATTGTAGCGCGGTAAAAACTTAGCAGACAGGGATTTCAAATTTGGCGGGCCTGACCTCTCCAGTGCGCTAACTGGTTTTAGGCAGTGGCCGCTGGGGGGCGCAGGACTCGTCAAATTCAGTTCCGGTCCAAGCAAGCCCGTGAATTCGTGTTCGTGATGTAAGTAACTCTCGTTGAAAGCCAATTCCTTCGGGACTTGGTATTATTATTACATTAGTATGTTTTCTTCGTCCTAGTTGTGTTGTGCGAGTATTCTCCGACCCATTCATCAAACTAAAGGGGCACCATGGCTGAGACGCAGCCCGGCGCGCACGCCTCAATCAGAAGAGGAAAGGAAAAAGAATGAGAAGAATACCGAAAGTTTAGTTTGATGAATGGGTCGGATAATACTCGCACAACCCAACTAAGACGAAGAAAATATACTAATGTAATAATAATACCAAGCCCCGAAGGACTTGGCTTTCAACGAGAGTTACTTACATGACGAACACGAATTCACGAGCTTGCTTGGACCGGAACTGAATTTGACGAGTCCTGCGCCCCCCAGCGGCCACTGCCCGAAACCAGTTAGCGCGCTGGAGGGGTCAGGCCCACCAAATTTGAAATCTCTGCCTGCTGAGATTCTACCGGGCTACAATATCTTGGTAAAATTTATCGATTTTGCTCGTTTCATTTTGTGTTTTTGAAAAATTTTGTTCTTAGATTTGCTCCTTTATGTAGAAAGTAAAGAAACGAGGATGTAAGAACAGTAATTTTTCATTTCTATATGCACTCTCTTAAGCCTTCAAAGTTTTTTTTTTTTTTTGAAATTCCTTGAATTTTTTTTAGAGTCCTTGAGAACTCCTTGAAAGTCCTTGATTTTGCTTTTGAAAAGTTGTCATGAACGATGCTAAAGATAATAAGATAATCAAGATGGAAGAAGAGAAAATCCAAGAATGCGAAAGTAAATCAACAAAATTCAGGGTTTTCACCAGTTCACTTGCCGAGTAAAAGAAGAATGGCTTCAGACCTTAAGAAGTGCTGCCTGCCGTGTACTGTCAGCCATCAAACCGCTCGTAATCATACTGCCTGTACTCAAGTATACTGCGCAGGATGATTTCATGTTAATTGTAAAGCAAAAAAAAATTGTAAAGCAAAAAAAAGATATGTGTATAATGCGCACAGTAAAACCAAGAAAGAAGCAGCATGTAAGAGGAAAAATTTTCATACTTTCCAAGCGTTCAATCGTGCTATCGTCCATTCCCACTCTTTTCCACATGTTGCCCCAAAATTTTAATACTACATAAGCGTCACTTTCACAGCGTTTTCTGGCGCTCTGCAACGCCTAACCGCCTCAGTATTTAGTCCTCCCAAAACCTGTCAAGGTTGGCACTCCCTCATTTCATTTAAAACCCTCTGTCACCACTCTTTCACTGGGCATCCCTGTCGTCTCCTCTCAGGAGGAACCCAATCAAGCATTTTCTTTGGCAGCCTCTCTTCGGTCATCCTGTTTGCATGACCGTACCAGACGAGCTGTTTGGTCATGACGTCGAACAGGATGTCATTTTCGACTTAGGGTTAGATTAGGTTGACCCAGGATGGAAGAACGATCAAGCAATAAAGGAAAGAAACAGCCTAGCAAGGAAGGCTATAGCGATGTTAAATGGAATCCTCTGGGATCAGCCCATTTTGAAAGATAACAAGAGGAGAATTTACAACGCTGCAGTTAAAAGTATTTTGACGCCCAGATGTGAAATTTGGCAACTGAAGAAATAGACGCAGAATATGCCAAGAGCAACGGAGATGGATTTCTAGAGGAGATCAGCTGGAATTTCTAGGAGAGATCGGGTCCATAATGATAGAATGCATCAGATTATGGATGTCGAAAATGACATCATGTTTGACGTAGATTTAATGCCTGAGATTTTAATGCTGTAGAATAATAACCAACCACAAAGGTAACCAAGCCCTTGTAAGGCAACTCTGGACCCCCTCAAAAAATTATGCAACACTGCTCTAGCCTGAAAATGAGAAAATATGATGAAGAGCGTAATGAGCGCATGCATGAATCGCTTTTCTTAAGTGTTAGTCCTGAATTTCCGATAAATGAGCATCCACTGAGCTCCCAAACAAAAATTTATTGAATTTTCAACCTGATAACTTATTGAGTGTAAATTTGGTTCCATTTTATGTAATGCTGCTCCAGTCATCATTTCATTATTTTGGAAATGAAAAAATATGATATAGAGCTTGATTAGTGCAAGCATGAATCATTTTTCAAAAGATCTCATCCTGAATTTCTGGAACATGAGCATCCACTGAACTCTCGAACTAAGATGTTTTGAATTTTCAACCTGAGAACTTAATGGGTGTAAATTTGATTCTATTTCAGGGCCTATTTGGATTTCCATCTGTCTAGGCGAGTCACCTTTGGAACATCTTTAGATTTGCTCCTGGAGCTTATTTCTAGTCAGTATGAAACAGATTTTGTCGTCAACAACCTAGCCACCGACATCATCCTATATTTGGCAAAGGAAACTGTCGCTCAACTTGTAGACTTAGCTCTTCTGATCAGAATGGATAGTCAAAGCAGTTCAGATGATCCCTTTACGAGGGCCTCAGTGTTGTGTAACCATGCTGTGAATCGCAAGAACATTTACGGTTCTGCCAACCAACAAGTACGTTTGTCTCAGCTACATTGATTGCATGCGTATGAGCAGGAAGTTTTGAATTGATGCATCAAAAAATGTTAATATCTGTGTTAGGTGTTATTTTCAGTAACTTTCACCTTACAAATTGTGTTGTATGTACATGAAATGTGTTGTATGTACGATATCAGGTCCAAGCAGTTGGTCTGGGATGGACATGTGCGAAGGATGGCAGATGATCGGTTGCCCAAGCAGGTCTTCGATTGGGTTCCTCCCGGAAGGCGACGGCGTGGACGTCCTGTGAAAGGTTGGTGACAAATGGTGGAGGAGGAGATCAGAAGGTGCCAATGGACCACTATACAAGGCACGAATTTTAGCATTCTGATACATGTTTCATGACCAAAATTTCACGTAGAACACAATGCGCACAACGCAAATTACTGAAATCAACTCCTTACAAAGATATTTAATGATTCTTGATGCGTGAATTCAAACCACCCGCTCATGAATAACTCAATGCTCTACGTGATTCACATCGCGCGCGAAACGTTATTATGACAGTCTCTGCGATATAAAAAGCTGGCAACCTCAATCTTGACGCTTTGACTCAGCTATAGGAAATTGCTTATAGTTAAAACAACACATGGTGGGAAATGAACATTGCTCGATTAAGAGGCTTGCTGAAACCGTTGTAGTGGGTGATTTGACTCACGTAGAACTTTGAGTTTCTTGTGAGTGGGCAGTTCAAATTCCTCGTAACCAATGTGAAATAAAAACGTTAATATCTTCGTTAAGAGTTGATTTCAGTAATTTTCGGTGCAAGAATCGTGCTTTACGTGAAATTCTGGTCAAGAAACAGGTATCAGAATCTTTTAACTCGTACCTTGTCTAGTGGTCCATTGCCTGATGATCTCTGGGAGGATAGGGGGCAATGGCGATTGGGCATCGCAGAGCGCAAGGCGGCGCTATAAAAGCGACTTTATGTATGTATGTACATGAAATTTAGAGGAGAAAACCCATATAATAAAGCTTAAATTCGCATCTCGCCTAGTGGCCCAGTTAGATATCAGTAGCATCTGGAAAGTGCATCTGTCTTGAATTTTAAATAAGGGATCCAGCCAATCCATAAATAATGTTTCTTATTTAGATCTTTCAGTCTCTCCAGCAAGTTGCGAAGCTTTTCATCAAACTAAATCTTATATTCTCACTCGTTTTTCAGATTGAAGGCCCACCTGCCATCAGCCCTGAAGAAATTCAAGAGGTAATACGGAGGTATTGGTCAACGCAAACTTTCGCTTTTGGTAGTTTCACAAGGAACATCGATGCCCGAATCTATGAAAAACTGCTTGCTTGTTGAAACGAAGTACTCCATCAATCATTCATACTTGAGGTCAGCCAAGATTATTCCTGCTGTTTGTGGCAATCTGAGGAATCTCAAAGAGTCTGAGACAAATGCAATCAGAATTTATGGTAATCATGATTATTTTGGGCAGTGAATGTCTGACTTAGCATTGATTTTAAAAACAAAATGATCTGAAGAATCTGGTGTCTGATATTTCAAAGGCGTATAAGCTCTGAAAGTTTGGAGCTCCAATCAAAATCAAGATGATAAAGTGAAGTCAGTGACCTAAATTTTTTTCCTGATCAAATCGCGAGGATACAGGAGCCATAATCAAATATACTGAAAAGTAATGTTTTGTCTTTCCTGCTTAAAAATTTGAATTTTTATTTGAAGCTTTTCACAAGCTGTTTGAACAATTTATTCATTTATTTACAGTATCGACGGGTCATGAAGACCCATTAGTAAGAGAATGTTACAAAAAAACGAAGACAAGAACAAGATGGCAACAAGTTCGAGATAAGCTTCAATGATGCAAACATAAATAAAAACTAGAATACAACAATAAGTTAACAAAGTAACAAAAAAATGTTCGTCAAAAATGACTCAACAATAGGAAAATAAACGATTTAATTTATTAACTAGAGAGGTTGGAGAGGAATGACCTCCTAGAGGCAGTTTTAAAATTACCAATTTTAGTATTAAAAAAATCAACCTGTATAGAGTTCACGACTTTACTCATACTGATGACCAGTGACCTATCAGAACTATTAGAATTAAATGTGATGTTCCTAGCTCGCAATAGCCTGGCTGGCACAGCTAATTAAATTTACTGAGAAGTTCAGGTGAGTTAGTGAAACCGTGAAAGAGCTTAAATAGAAATTAGTAATCATAGTAGCTACATGTTTCAGCTAGCCCAGACACTTTGATAGAGGAGTAAAAGGGTACAGGTCATAATCAAAGAGTGATGCAGGTTCTCTACTTTTAAAAGAAGTGAATCTTGGAAAACGTCTTTGAATTCTTTCAATTTTTGCAAAGTTGCCTTTAGAAATAGGATGCCATTCAGGGGACGCAAATGTTAGAATGGGTCTAACCAGTGAGTTATAAAGTGTTGTGAAGGTTAAGATATTAGCGGCTCTGGTGCTTGCACTAGAGCTGCTATTCCGGACGGTCCCAGCTGGGGAGTATCAATGGACCATGTTACATTGGAGAGACCGCGCGTTGATTGATGGGAATCGGCGCCATTTTCGACTATGTACCTTGTCATGACTTTATTTTATTGCATATTGTTTTATTGTTAGCCAATGCTATGTTGTGTAGTGTATTTTTGGAATCATGGTGATACAGTCAATAATTCAAAACTTGTCTGTGCTTTAATCTCGTGATGGAAAAAATGTACTTTACGTTCAAAATTTGAAATTTTGAATTTTAAAGTTTTCGCGGTTTTTTGGAAGAATGCAGTGGTTGGAGCTTCCTAGGCATATTACTCGATATCAGCTGATAGCAAACAAAGGTTACCAAGGAAACCATGTGTCTAGGCCCTCATTCTTGACTACAACTACCGTCGCCAGAGCCGCTTTCCGACGCGAATGCGTTGGAGCTTACTGCTTGTTCTTAAATTCTTTAGACTTACTTAAGATAAAGCACAGTTTTTTGAACGCCTTAGAGACTGCATAATCTATATGATCAGCAAAGGGGAGTGTTGGATCAAACATAACACCAAAGTCTTTGATAACTTTGCACTGAAGGAGTTGATGACCCATCATGGTATATTGGACATCGAAACATTCACCTCTTGAGAAAATTATAAAAAAAACACTTCATTAAATTGAAAGCAAAGCTGTTAACTACACCCCTATGCGGCAACATTATCAATGTCTGATCGATGTACAAAATAATGAAAATTGCTAATATGGTCAAAAACTGCAAAAGTTCATAGCCATATGATTTTTTTAATTTTTCTACTTCACTGTAGAAAGTGGTTGTATTTTTCAACTGATAGCTCAGCCATTGGATGCCAGGATGCATCGGAGATAACTGCCTAGGATGCATTGGTTCCGAAATAGAGTAAAAACTTCTAACAGTAAAATTTCTTCATTTTAGAGATTTTTTTAAAAAAATTAAGTTACAGAACGATTATTCGCAGAATTATTAACTCAAAACACATATCATAAGCATGATTTGTCAACCCCATGTACATTATACACCTTACGAAAGTTAATGTCTTCCTTCTGCGCAATGCGTCTGAGACTCCTTGTTCTTGGGTTTCAGAGAAAATGGATGCATGACAACGTTGTAAATTGTAAAAAAAAATTAATAAAAAGAAAACATGGTATGGAATGCTTATGAACTAGATACAAAAACATATTTTGAGAATATTCATCTTTCCGAATATTATGACTGAGCACTTGCCAAGAGATCAGCAGTTAAATGTCTAATGACCAAAATTTTCGAAGGATATAAATTTTAAAAAAGGAACATGAAAAATATATATATGAGGAAAAAGTACATTAATGGCCACAGCACATTTCAGTTATAAAATTTTGGATTCTCAATTCTTAATTTTAAAATATTTTTTTTTTTTTTTTTTTTTTTTTTTTTTTTTTTTGGAAATTGGTATCACAGAATGATTGTCCGTAGAATTATAGACAGAAAACACTTATCATATACATGATTTGATCAGCTTACATACTAAAGTGTATAAAATAAACAATCTCTCAGATTGTGGTTTCAAAGTAAAAAAAGGCCCAGTTATAAGGCACAGCTTTGGTTGCAATACATAACAAAGTTAAATCCTATGAATGCGTTAGGATGAAAATCAGCAAGAAGGTCGTCTAAATTTGCAAAATTAATGTCAGCACCACTCTCGCCGTCTTCAACAAGAGAATTAGAGGAGGTGAGAGTATCACACTAAAATAATAAAGAAGGATCTGAGATAGGTGGACTCTCAAGGTCAATGTTCCCATCTGTATTCTGAGTTTTCTGTTTTTTACATGGTATAATACTACAACCTGCATCTTCAACATCAAATTGTAAAATGGTTTCATGTAAATTTGAAGACTTTGCTGGTTACGTAATACTTTAAAGGCCATCGATTGTATGTGGCATCTTCAAACTCTTATAAGGTTGCAGATCCTGTTGCCATTGATGTTTGCTCTTCTTTTTTCAGAAAGGAGGAGCATTTTCCAGAAGTTATAGGAGCAGTTATTTTTTTCTCAATTTTCAATGACATTCTATATCATTGTATTTTTAATTTGAAAAGATAATTAAAGTTTCCAGGTAGTAAAATACCTGTCTTCAAATTCATGATTTCACTCTCATCAAAACGCTCACTTTATCCTTTGAAAGTTTCTTTTATGTATCTTCTTTAATTTTAACTTTTGTTTGCAAGTAAGAAGAGCCAGAGGAAGGATCTTCACTGATTTCACTAAAGGACGCTATCTGGGGTTGGCTAAAATCTTATGTGCTGACAAGCTTCTTAATTCCTTCATATTATTAAAGGTAGATGACGCTTGAAAAACATCAGTCACAGCCTAAATAATTAATTCTATGTTAGTTAAGAGCAAAGATCTGATATTTTTTTAACTCCTGTGTTATTGAGGCATTGTTTCTTGTACTTTTCAGTGTTTTATTCTCTGTCTGGTACTATTTTTGCAATAAATTCCATCTTTTGTTTTCAAGTATGCTCACTTATTTTCACAGAGCCCGAAGTGTGTTTGGATGCCATTGCTGGTCTGCTTCCTTATAAATTTATATTAAAGGAGCAAAAACTTCTATGGAGCTAGAAGCTGAAGAAGTCATGGTTATTTTTTCCAAAAACTACGAAAACTTTTTGCTGTGTGCTCTTTTGCAAATGCAGGCTGATCATTAGAGATGGGTCTGCAAGAGCCAGTTTTTGCCAGGTAATAACACTTGGCATTTTCATACAGCCAACCTCTGGAAAAAAAGAGAAAGATTCCTACATTTGAATTTTGTGAAATTTAAGCACGCAACTCCCATGTACATAGCTTCCGCCCATATAATTCACATCACCTTTCCGCATGATTACCAATGGCAAAATATGGAAAACGCCCACCTCAATCGTAGCGTTGAACCATCTCGATTACAATTTTTCTTTATTTGTGTGAGGAATAGTCAGAAAATTAATCATACACTACGTTGAAAGTCTGTTCTGTCATAATGCTGTGAAGAGGATATTTATTAACTCAATAGCAGAACTTTGGATGTTGATCCAGAAAATTTAGTCCACGTGACCTGCGTCGATTATTTTCGACATAGGACAAAAAAAAAATTCGAGATTATTGGCGAATCCAACATAGTGTGATACGGAAGGGGTTGCTTGAAAATGTTAGTGAAAAGCTCAACTTAAAGTTTCCTATTGTTAGACCCTGCAACCATCTCCTTTCCTGTTTAACCCTATGAATAGTTTCAATGAACCTAATAACGCCAGATTTTATCACTATGCTCCACAATGTGGAAACTAAGAGGCAAAATGGATTCATGATGAACTAACTAAATAAATTGGAATACTTAATTTTCCCAAAGAGTTCACAAAAGTGAATGGATACAAATTTGTTTGAACAGTTGGCTAACTTTAACCAAAATCAACAAAACTGCATTTCATGTTACCCAATTGAGTTGTTGTTTTTTTATTTTTAACCAGCAACGAACCAATTAAAGCTTTTTAATAACTTTGTCTTTAGAATTTCCTATTGATCACAAAGATTATGCCAAGAGAATTTCGAGGTACCTAGGGTGTTGCTCAATTTTCTGTTAATAAAACAAACATTAGAGGGCATCAGGCAACAAGAAATGCAGTTACACAAAGTCCGCTACGATTATACATATGTATGGAAGATATTAGGTAACCATCAAATATTTTCAGCGTATGGCTCCGTTGTGCATCAAGAGTCGTCGGAATTAAAATTCGCGGCATAATGAGGGCGCAGTTACTAGGGAGATAGTTGCACTTATGGTCGCTAGAGCTCGTGGCGCCACGGTAGCTTTCCCGCGCTTTCCTCGACCACGCTACGGCGGCAATTTTGATTCGACGGGAGTCGGCTCCAACGAGCGCTCCCCTCCCCCTCCGACCCAATGATAGAGGGGCGGTGATATAGCACCGGGCAATATTGTGGTATTGTTGCTCACCTTCACGGTTAGAAATATTATTCGTCAGTAATATGTCAAGAAAATCGTCCTCAAAATTATCCTTTCAGAAGAGAAAAAATTAAACAAATAAAGGACTCCTTTGTCTGAGAAGATTTTGTTTCTCAAGGGGAGTTGTTGCGTGTGTGAGGAATTTACCACTCGACTGTTGATTCTTACATAAAATTTCGCGAGAAACACGATGGTGCCATTGGTTTTCTCTGAAATCAACTCCCAAGCTCGAAAAAAAGCTCTCAAGTTGAGGTCAAAATGTAGGGGATATCCCTTGCTATCCTAGGAGTCCACCTCTACATCAAGACAAACTCTCCATGCAAAGATAGGGAGCAAATACATTAGCAGTGATGCCGTGTTTTCAGTTTTGGAGTCCCCAAATAAAGTTGCAACCCTGGCAATGAATTTGCTCCCTATCTTTGCATGGAGAGTTTGTCTAAATGTAGACGTGGACTCTCAGGATAGCGTGGGATATCCCCTCCATCTTGGCCTCAACTTGAGAGCTTTTTTTGAGCTTGGAAGTTGATTTCAGAGAAAACCAGTGGCACCATCGTGTTTCTTGTGAACTTTTACAAAAGAATCAATAGTCGAATCGCAAATTCCTCACACATGCAACATCTCCATTCTTGCTTCTGATGGGGCATTTTGGGACTTCTGGGTAGAAGCAGACCTGACTCTAACATTAGAACAGAAAAATTGAGCAAGGTGTATTGTCTAGTTTGGAAATTCAATGGAAATTCCATGGTGGTTTGATGTATCGTTTGGTTGAAAACAATAAGACAAAACCTCAAACCAAAATTGAAGGATATCTGTCAGAAAAGCTGAAAATGAAAAATTTTGTAACAATTTCACTACTTTTGGCCGATAAGTACTCATACGAATCAAAAATCTATCACAAAAAAATCCATTCAGACACATAACTCAATTGAATTTTGAGGCTATGTTCATGTTTTGAATCAATTGATATCGATCTCACCTGTTTGATGTATCGAATACCATCTATAGAAAAAAGAAAGGGGGGAGAACCCTAGCAGCATTGATGAGTGAATTTGAACAGAGTTTAATGGAAATGCATTCAGTCACATTAAGCTCGAACAGAGAAAAAGAGGCTAGAAGTATTAATCCTCTATGAAACTCGGTGTCAGGGAGAAAGTTCATCAACTATTTTAAATTATTTTTTTTTAACTTTGAATTTATATCAGGTGAAAATTTACAACTAATTGAATAATTCATAACTACTTCCAACCCTTTTTCCCCAAAAAGTGGCTTGGTGTACTTCTGATCAATTCGGCCCCTTTGTACGTGAGAGGTAAATTTAGAAAGAAAAAAAAAGAAGAAAGAAATCTGTTACAGTGTCGGAATTAAGAGACCCTTTGAAAATTTCTCCCATAAACCGTAGGTAATTTTACAGGAACAAAAATAAAAAAATTTAGAATCAAAATTTGTTATTCTAAAAACCATTTAAATTGTTGTAAAATGGAGGGAAGAATGTTATATATCTGGCAGACAAGACTAAAAGTAATAGAAGATTTTGTTAAAATTCACGAGAGGTTAAAGTGACATTTACATGTGAAAAAAAGTTCTGAATTCACATACTTTGACAGTTTGCGAAGAGTATATCTTCTGTAAAATTGACAATATATTTACTTGTCCTTTCATACATCAATGCTACTAAGTAGGTATTGCTTTTTTCATGGATGAACATGTAAAACAGATATCTTTGTTTGACTCAACTGTATTTATTTATCAAAAATATGACAGACAAACCCAGAAACACAAAAGAGATCCACAAAAAACGAGAAAAACGAAAGAGATCTGTCAAAAAACAAGAAAAACTTAACGATAAATTTCAAAAATCAGGAAGCCCTTACATAACACCTACATCAGTCTTTTTCAAGGATTTAAACTTTGCCAAGAAATGGAAGTAAATTATTAAACGAATTAATAAGAACTGAATGATAAAAAACAAATTTAATGAATCAAGAAATAACACGTCATAAAGTTGAGTTTCTCAAGCGTGTCTTTTTATGTGCCTGGTCAAAATAACTTTACTCTTGAACCCACAGGAGCAGTGTCCACATACAAATGGTCTGTCTTCGCTGTGAGACTTTCTGTGTTTTGTCAAGTAACTTTTACATTTAAAAGTAGCTTCACAAACAAGGCAAGCGTACGGCTTTTCTGAACAATGTTTTCTAAAATGTTCTAAAAGAATCGGTTCCGTTCGAGCTTTGTATTTGCAAACGGAACACGGAAAAGGCCTTTCGGCACAGTGAGAGTCTAAATGTTTCTTGATACCATGTTTTGATGTGAAGGACCTACTGCAATCAGCACATGAGTAAAAAGTTTCAAAGGAATGCGTTTTAAGGTGATTGGTCAGCTGAGATTTCCACTTGAAGTGCACAGAACATTCATGACAAGAGAATGGCTTTTCATTAGAATGAATCACCACATGAGAACGAACGTGCTTCTTGAAACGAAACGTTGCTGGGCAGTGGGCGCAAGAATAAACTCTTACAGGGGTGGAATGTGTCAATTGGTGATTTTTTAAACTTTTTTGTGATTTGAACTTCTTTGGACAATGAGGACACGGTAAGGCCTTTCCCTGAATGTCATGAACTTTCACATGTGTGTCTCGGGTTTGCTTCAATTTGAACTGCATCGAGCAATGAGGACAAGAGAATGGTCGCTCGTCACTGTGTCTCACTGAATGGTAAGTCAAAGCTATCTTTGATTTGAATTTTGAAGGACAAAAGGTGCATGAAAATGGTCTTTCGTCTGAATGAACTTTCAAATGAGCCTGTAGCCTTGAGGCCAACTTGAATCTAGCTGAGCAAATTTCACAAGGAAATGGTTTGTCATCTGAATGAGTGACCATATGGATTTTTAACCTCGAGAGTAACTTAAATCTTGCTGGACAAATTTTACATGAGAAAGGTTTCTCGTCAGAGTGAGTTTTCAACTTCAAAGCAGGATGATTTTTTTTCCTGCAATTTTTAGTGGTCGACCATTTTGAATTCGGATTTGTGTTGTGTTTCAAGGATGGTAATTTAACTTGCTGCTTGAATCGATCAGAACTACTTCTGCAATGTTTCTTGCTCTCCCCACGCTTTACCGTTTTCAGATTCAACTTACAGTCAAGACCACATCTACTGCCAGACATAGAGATCGTATTTGATTCCTCGCCTAAAAGAGTTGGCTGTACTATGAACACTTCTCCAGAGGCCGCAAGGTTTTTATTGTCTTTTTGTGGGTTGGTTTCTGATAAGCGTAAGATAGCAGCATTGTTTTCATACTGAAGCGTTGAACAACTGCTTTCCGGGGAACCTATAAAATGGATAAATTTTAGTGATTACAGGTAATTTTTCTGAAAATTGCATCTTAAGATATTACACGATGTGATAAGGACTACCCTCCATTGTAGATCAACATAATAAGCTTAAAATTTCAAAGAGCAAAGATTTGCTCTCCCATACAGTGACTTGAGAATCACATTAACATGAAAATATTGATTTCCGATTTTTTATTTTTTTGGGGGGACAGTGCGGGCAAGTAATAACTTTATCCTCAAAGTGATTTCGAATATGAGCTTGTAAAAAACTTTTCAATTTAGAAGACTTTGAACAATGAAGACAAGAAAATGGTCTCTCATTACTCTGAGCCACAGAATGAACGTCCAGGCCATTTTTGACTTCAAATTTTGCAGAACACAACTTGCATGAAAACGGTATTTCATTAGGGTGTACTTATTGATGCGACTCAAAATGCTGCTTCGCTTTAAAACTAGCAGGACAGATCTGACATGGATACAGCCTTTCTGAAGAATGCATTGCCATGTGAGATCTCAAAGATACTTGACTGCTCAGTTATTCCTGACACTTACGACACTTAAAAATTTTATACTTTCTCCCTTAGTATTAGCAATAGTCCGTGGATTTCTCTCTACTTTCCTTCGATTAATATTGCAAGAGGGCCGTTCTTGACAGGGTTCTGCACTTTGATTCAGATGTCTATTACCATCAGGTTGATCACTCTTTACATTTTTAATATCAGGATCAGTGTCAAAATCATTACTTTTACATAGGAAGACAACATTATTTGGTTCCTTACTTATGTATTTTGGACACATGACAACCAGTTCACGAGTAATTCTTCGTTCTTCAACTTCCATCTTTGGCTCAACCACCGAGCATATTAGCTGTGTACTGGGAAGAACTTCTTCAGTTTTCATCCAAGCTGGAGTGAGGGAGGTATTTTTAGAAATATTGCCACCTGGATCTCCAAAGATGCTATTCTCACGGATGCTTTTTGTTGGATAACTTGCAGAGCTGGTTTCTGGTAACAACAAAAAAATAATACATATTTCAGTCAGAAGTCAAAAGCTAAATTTTTGAAGCAGACTTTGAAACGATTCAACTGAAGGGTTTTTTTTTTGTTTGTTTGACTATTGATGTAAAGGTACATAATAAACTCAAAAGTGACATTGACGTTAATAATCTATCTCCCTATTTTAAACTAGTACAAATTATAAACTACTTAAATTGATTATTCGATTGTTTCTGAAAACATTCAAGTGCAACTCTTTACCGTCTAATCTTTCCTACTATCTCACTAATAGTGGTGGTGTCTCAGACCTAGCATTCCACCATAAGTTGATTATTTAGAGTATACTGAATTTATTTACGCAGGGTTATAAACAAAATTTGTTACAACTTGATTAAGGAGAAAAACACCTAATCCTATGGAAATATTAAGAGTGGGAAATTCATGCCCCTAGAACTTCCAACAAACAATTACAAGACATAAACTGGGGGGAAGGGGGGGGGGGTTGAGACAAATATGCTAATCAAAGCATAGAGAAAAGAGTGCTAAACGAAGCATCAAATGAAGAAAAAAACACTAAGAAGTGGCCCGAAACCTGTATGTAAACCTGTACCTCAGTTTCGTACTGGTGCGCATTAGAATTCAAAAAATTATTTTTGACACTAATTTTAATTTTTGGAACTTCTTGGCTTTGATTTCCCCACAAAATGGTGTGGACCCAGCACCATTTCTCCACCTCGAAGCATCAAACAGAGATTAGATTGTGGTGTATTGACACCACCGTTCCCTGTCACCACGGCAAGAGGCGCTGCTGCGGTCGCAACAGAAGCAACAGCCCCCCCCCCCCCAGTAGAGTAGGGAGAAAGGCTTTAATGGCCCTCATCAATCCCTCAATTGCTCAGTTTGTTTTAAAATTAGGTCCCCTGGGGCCCTGATATGTTTAGCAGATTAAACACTTCGATTATTAGGAAGTGATTGGTTAGTAACAGGCTGAGAAGCAACCAAATTTGTTTCAGCTGGAGCTACAACACCTGCCTGCGATTTCCCTGAGTTGTCAGATTTATCGAGGGCACTATTTGGATAATAGCCAGTTTTTCACGAGGGACTGAGGGTTCACATTACCTAGAGAGGAGAAACTTACATGATCTTCTCTATTGTAAACCAAAATCTTAACCCTCTATAGCATGAATTATTTTTAGGTCTCACATTCTGGGAGCACACAAACCTATGCTATAGCTTTTGTTACAACATACAGTCCAAAGATTTCCCCTCAAATTTTTAAAGTTTTAGTCATTTTTTTTTCAATAAAGTAAATATTGATTAAAATTTGCAACATCATGCCAAGAAACAGTTTGATTTTGAAAAAACCAAAGAATGAATTCTCACAAATTTGTCGGCCTCCTATGGTGTAGTGGTTGTAGCGCTAGCTCTATGATCGGGAGGTCCCAGATTCGATTCCCCACCAGGCGACCCAAGTTTCATGGTCTCAAACAATGGTTACCTGGGACTGGTTGTAGGGACAGAGAGGAGACAGGACTAAAGCGCAAGGATTAGCCCTCTTGGGCTATTTGGAGTAGTAAAAAAAAAAAAAAAAAAATTAAGTGACACTATGCCATGGAGGGCACACTACTGAGGGCGGTACGGCCAATTTTGAAAAAATTGTCAACATTGCCTCAATTTGCTACTACCTGATCTAGGATACACGTTTTGTAAATTTCTCCTCCAAATTCTAATTTTCCATACAGATCAACTACATTTGCACCTCCAAAGCTTCTATATCAATTTTTGCTCTTTGCTCATCAATTTTCAGGTGAAAGACTCATTATTGAAGAAATCTTTGGAAAAAGGGCAAATGAGACTTGTTCGGATAGTCTTATAAAATGCTCCTAAATACAAATTATTTCTGTACAGATAAAAATTAGAAAAACTAAAGAATATAGTTACAAAATGATTCAAAACAGGACTGTAGGAATTCAGGGATCCAAGATTCACACGCAAGTCAAGTGCTAGGAATGGAAACAGGAAATTTACCAGAACTTATCAGAAAAGTTCTGATGTGATGAAAGTTGATGGAATATGTTCTGTGCGGAAAATTTGAAAGCAATGGCACATTTTCTAAAATGGATGAAAAAGAGGAATTCTCTGTCGCAAAGTGTAGTCCATCTTATAAAATTTTAGGAAAATATTATTTTTACTGTGATGATTGATACTTGTGATAGGTACCTCATTCTGAGAGGATTTTGGAAGCACAGAGGCAGATGTGTGAGGTTTAATATACATTACGTTTCAAGGTGTTCGTGGTGCAAGCAACCAGCTGTAAGTTATCAAGTTAAAAATGACTAAAAACGCAATGAAAACAGAGAAAAAACGTCCCATCATTGCCAAACTTGGCCTTGGCCTTGAGATACACCTCCCTATCAACGTAAACAGTTTTTCTTTGGTAATCATTGATTTTTAATTATCAAAAAATATTATTTCGGTGTGAGCTAGTATTTGAGGACTTGAAAATAAGTAATCACTCGATTTTGAACTTGTGAAACTTGAACTCAATGAAACTTAAGATACTTTTCTTAAAAGGGGATCGGCAGGCTGATTGTTGAAATTGATAGACGAAGCAATGGAAAAATAAGACAAAAGGATGAGAAGGGATTCTATTGGTGGAAGCGGGTGGTTGCAATGGACAAAGGAAAAAGGTAACAGACTAAGTAACGGCAACCCACGAGAGACCCTTTCGTTAGTCCATCATTTTTTCCATCAGCTTAAAGAACCACCCATTTCAATCAATCGAATCACTCCATACTCCTTATGTCTTCATTGCCTATTGCTTTGTCTATCAATTTCAACTATCAGCCAATTCTCATTGAAATATTTTCTCACCAAATGCGCACTGAAAAGACCTTAATTTTCATTCAAAGCTCGTCACAATATTATTCAAGGTAACTTTTTTCTTCTCAGAGGTCAATTGCCAGCTTAGAACTTTCCCTACTTTAAAGTGGCTCAACTTATCACAAAGAAAGAGCAGAAAATTGGGAGGCTTACCATTTTCGGAGTAATCCCCGATTTCTTCCTTGATTCCTAGATTTTCCCCAAGTTTGATGCTCGTACAATCCCCAAACATGTCAGTGCCTCCTTTCAAACTTTCCATTATATTTTCTTCCGATAGAAATTCTACTTTTGTATCAATCGAATCTTTTACAGCTCGAATCTGAAATTAAAACAGGAAGATTTGAAGGATATTTTCTATTTTTTGAAGCCTAAGCTGAAAGAAAAAAGAATCAAGTTCTGAATTGGTGTTAATCGAATTTTAAAGAATCATTCCAATTTAAGCGCCCTTGTGGATCTTGGAGTGAAGAGGGTAAGATTCCAGGGTTTTCAAAATTTCTTCACTTATAGATTCCCTAACTTTCCCTGACTCGAACGTTTAGAATTCCCTGACTTTCTTTACCCCTTGAACATGGATCTTGGAGTGAAGAGGGTAAGATTCCAGGGTTTTCAAAATTTCTTCACTTATAGATTCCCTAACTTTCCCTGACTCGAACGTTTAGAATTCCCTGACTTTCTTTACCCCTTGAACAATACTGCCACTAATTTTTTTTTCTTTTTTTTTCTTTTTTTTTGTTATTTATTTATTTATGTCGAGTTTTTAAAATCTGCTCTCAAAATTGAATTCCCTAGCTTTTTCTAAGAGTTCCCTAACTTTTCCAGGTCGATGTAAATTCCCCAAATTTCCAGGTCTCAGACTGCTAGAAAACTTGGATTAGCAATGCGGAATTTTTGCACTTGAACATAATTAGCACGACGTTCATAATTTATTTATTTATTTGCAAAGGTTAGTACATTAGCCTGAACATAAAGGTTCAATACAAGTCAGATTGGAAAAAGTTACAAAAAAGAGTAATTTTACATATTTAAAAACTCTTGCAAGGTGTAGAGAGGGTTTTGTAAAAAGTGTTCTTTTAATACCTTCATGAACAAATTTGGCGACTCAGCTTTGATAAAGATTTCTTTCAACTCTTTCGGTAACTTGCTGAAAGATACAGCCCTTCAAAATTAAACTAAAGATTGAATCAGATAAATTAGCAGTTGTTTACTTCTATCACATGGAGTGGACTTTATCAAAATTCTCTCAAAGGTTATTAGTTTTCAGTATCAGCATACAATGGCAGCATATTGTCGCTGTTCCTTTAAGTCGATCCTTGATCGCCACTGGATGGTGGCAACGCAATCATTTGCAAGTGGAAAGTAAACAACTGTGAACTTATCTTACACTAGCTCCAAAAATTTAAGGTGACTAAATGAAGGTCCGAGGGAAATAACACAATTCAAAAAACTTAATAAAAATGTTTGAAAAGTTTTTTTTTTTTATTTATTTCGATTTCATTTCTTTTTTACTATTAATTCATTTCCCACAAGATTTTATGGTGAAATCTCTTTTAAACCTTCTCAGCAATGGATATGGACTGAAATTTTTACCTCAAAACCCACTTAGTAGTCTCAGCTTCTGCAGCAACTTCAGGTTACTACATCGCTCGATGTCAGTTTAAAAAGCAGGGAATTTCTTCGGAGCATGTTCACTGTGTCATTGGTGTCTTCTCATACATCTACAACTATTGTTACAGGCAGCACATACTACAAATTTTAGTTTGTCTCCTCAAATTTCACTTCAACCCTGGAACAAAAAAAAAAAAGCAGCCTTAGATTTTTGGGCAGGAGAGATAGTGAGACAAATTCAAATGCAGTACAAACCGTTCGACTTCAGTTCCTTGTTATTGGTTGATTTCTTTGATAGAGTTTAATATAAAATATGATCAAAACTTTGCTTCAGAGACATGCCACAAAAAGCAGCAGGATTGGTGGTAAAATTAGACTGGAAACTGACAGGTAGGTACAAAAATTGAAATGGTCTAAAAAAAAATGCGCTGTCCACGATTATTATACAATTTAACACCAAATGAAGCTTCAAATTGAAAATTTTACCTACTGAGGTTTGTCTATCTCAAGTAAAACTAACCATCTCTCCCAGTCCGTAACTTCAGGCAAGTAACATTTGTCAACTATTTTCTCTTTTCCACAGCAATAGAGATTTTCGAGGGCAGAATAGTTCAAAAAGTGTAGGTAATTCTGCATTGTGTACATAATTGCAACGTAGAAAGTAGCATCTTGAAGTTCTTGAAAACCGCTCAAAAAAAGAATAATGGAAAGCTTCTAAGCTCTGTCATGGATTTTCATGGTAGGAAAATGGATCACTTATCAGGGTTGAAAACCAAAAATCACAATGAACTTCCTCCATGGATTTCGCATAGAATGTGCGCATTTGTGTGTAGAATTGCAGTGCACAAAGATGATCTCTTGTAGTGTCCTCTGTTAATACCTAATTGACAGAGGCTCAGACAAGACGATGGACAGACGTTTCTAGTAATTGCATAGATTCTGGTAATGACTTGCGCAGCTCACCAAGAAAAAGTCAACTCTGGCAATAAAAACCTCAATAACCCCCCCCCCCCCTCCCATTGGTTAAAAAAATTATTTTGTTTGTCTGTCTTATTGTGTGCAACACAACCGTCCTATTGAATTTTTGTGAGACACTGTATTTCATTGCTTCTATCTCTACTTGTATTTTTCAGTTCTACAAATATGAACCTCAAGTCTTATTTCAAACTTATGTTTTCGTCCAACGATAAGGAGGTTGATTGATGCGGTACAAGTGGTTTGAAATAGTGTCTAGTTTGTACGACAATGAGATGTTTAGAATCAATGAATAAATAAATAAATAAAGGGAAAAAAAAATAAAAAAAGGTCCTCACTTTGGGTTTAGATCTGTAACCGCGAGGATCTCTGTAAGCCTCTGGAAATTTTTTCAGATGTCTTTCACACCTAAAGGGCAAAGAAATCCCGTTTCGAAAATGCAAAAAATGGAACCCCGAACCCGTTGGAAAGGATAATTTTGGCAGGCCCTGATGACGTAGCCAGGCGGGGGAAACAGCATTTGCCGATACCTAAGTTAAACTCAGCTTCAGGCATCACATTTCCTGACTTACGTCAAGTGGACTAATGCATTTGGATAGGCCAGATTTTGGTCAGCTTTCTCTCTATTTTCTCCCCTTGCAAAGCCCTGGTCTTGGCTCGACCACCTCATTATCAGTGTGGCCTCTGTAAAGTGGGGAGCACATTGCTGGTGTCACTAAAATTAGAATTTTAAAAAAATTACATCGTAAAGTTTACTTATGGAGCCTGATTTTTATTATTACTCTTGGCGATTACTTTGGTAATTTTAAGTTCCGTTAAAAATTTCGAGATATATTACCAGAAATCGAGAAATACATTATTAACTAGATTACTTTTTCCAAAAAGGAACCACAAGCCTCCCAATGTTGCCAAGATTGTGCAAAATATTGTTCACTTTGCAAATGTAAACTGATCATCTAAACCAGTTTTATCTTTACTCAAGAAAAAAATATTAATTCAATACAAAAATTATCATTGTAGATTTAATTTTTTGCAAGGTTCCAGCAATTTTATTGCAAGAAATGTAAGTTGCTCAGTTCTAGTAACATTGGAATGCTCTTGGTTCCTTTTTGCAAAATGCAATCCAACTTTCGTTGTACGAAGACGTGACAGTCTCACCGAAACGAAGAGAAATTTGCTACAACATCTGCAATTTGGCCTAGCTTCTAGTGGCGGCAACAAAGCTTGGAGTTTCTGACTGTTGTCAAGTTACGACAAAATTTCAAGGGTTCTTTTTCAAGCTTTTCGTTTCCTAGGCTTCGCAAAATGGAGTTGATAGTTTTTTGTAGCAACTTCTGATGCAAAAAGGTCTCACTTATTCTCTCTCTCTAATTAAGTGTAGAAGCAACATTCAACTATGGTGACCTCAAAACAACATTCACTACCTACTGATGAGCTTAAATGTTTAATGTCCTTTAAAGCAAATGATTAAACCAACACACCCTCAGGATGCAAAAAGTGTATGATTTTTGAGTGCATTCATGAAGACAGAGAAAACTATTAAAACCTGAACCATAATTTTAAAATTGAGTTGCTGCATCTAGGAGGGGCACTTTTTCTTTGCGGTGTTGCAGAATCTCTGCTGCTTACTTAAATTTAAAGAAAGACGTATGTGTGATTTTTCTGGAATTAATCGATCAGAACATTGTGAAATTAAGAGGAATATGCAGTAAAAGTTTCGACGAAATAAAGGTATTTGCTCCTCTTATGATGGATGAAATGTTGGTGGAGATTCTGAGACCGCAGCCAAGAAGTGCCCTTCCTCCCCCAGCGCTTCGATTGTAAACATTGTTTTGAACATTTTCTCAAAATTTCGGGTCTATATTTTGTAATGTGTGATTGAAAAAATTAGGAGGTTTACTCTCGGCCAAAAATTCGCGAGCGAAAATTAATCTGCATCCCTGGCTGTCTCTTTTTCATTTTCCGAAAGCATGTTGTCAGTTCAGATAACTTAGCTCTATGAATTTGCTTAGTACCAATAAAACAATACGTACATTTTCAGATAAAAAAAGGCAAATTAAGAAGTAGGTACAAAATTTATTAATTACTTAAAGAACAAGAACAGTGATAAGAGTGACAGAACAATTTGATCTGCTTCAAAAATAAACTGTAATTAATTCCAATATGAAATGAAAAACGTTTAAGAACCTAACTAACAAACTTAGGAACTAAACATTTCTGTCGACGAAAACGAAGAGGTATTTACAAAAAAAATATGCTGGCCAATTCTTAGTTGATGAAAAACGCAATGAAAGGAAATTAAGAACGATTAGAAAAAGAGATTTAGAGGATCCGGAACCAGAAGCTCAATATTTAGTTCATCTGGAATCAAAGTGCTGGCTTTCCCAGAGAGATTATTGGAAAAAACCAAGGTTTGATATTTGCTTGGAAAACACACCCTTACATCACATCCATTCACTCTTTTGATATTTGAGCAAAAACGATGGACATTTTCTTCTGATAAATATTCTGTACTAAAAATTTCTCAGAGACTTTCATTTTCTGTTATTAGGTTTTTGCATCATACTTTAAGAGAACCCTTACTTACACCTAGGAAACACTTCACTTCAAATGACCTGTCTCATTACGGTCCATTTCCTGCCCCTGAAGGCTCAAATTAGAAATTACCTTGTACCCTGTCTAAATCAGCACTTAAAATAGTTCAATCCAAGTCTTCTTCATCCAAAATTGGATGCGTGGAAACATTTAACCCTTCTTTGTTCAGCTCAGTTGGACAGTGGTATCATGGTTTCTCACAAAAATGACGGTTTTCTTATGTTTGATTAAATACATGTCTAAGTATCCGAATATTGTAACAGAGAATTTATTTTTTACTCTTAGCTGATGATATACACAATAGGTACATATTTAAAGAAGTTGCTTCAGGAATACACCTTTCAAAAGTGAAACATGAAAACGAAAACAGTGCTAAGAAACTGTTCTTTTTCGCAAAAACTATAGAACCACCTGCTAGCCGAGCTATAAAGGGTAAAACTTGGATAGCATTTTGCAAAAAGGAACCACTAGCATTGCAATGATGCTAAGATTGTGCAACTTCATCCTTTGCAATAAAATTGCGGAAATTGTGAAAGACTATGAAATTTAGATGGTAATTTTTGTCTTAAATTTACAGTTTTTAACGAGTAAAATAGAAACTGTTAAGGGATACCTAATCGGGTTTTTCCTCCAAGACAAAAGAAGTTGCACAATCTTAGCAACATTGCAATGCTAGTGGTTCCTTTTTGCAAAATGCAATCCACTTGTCTATAATACATCCAATTTGGGATGAATATCTTTCAGATTGCACACTAGGGTGCTAAGGAAGACATTTATTAGGAGGTGCGACGAATTTTCAAATTCCACTCTGAATAAGGCAGATAATGACCCTTGCTTAAATGGATCAAGAAGACTTTGAAGAATGCTGAGCGAGGTACCACTGGTTGTGATTTGGGTTGCTGCAGTTTAGTTTTTTTAATTCAATATTGCCCAGCCACAAGGAAAAAATTGGCCGACTAATTTTTTTCTAAATTTGTAACATGTATTTTCAGTGTTGAAAACGTATTTTAATTTAACTCATCATACAGAAGGAGAACATATGCCCTTAAAAGCGGGTCTATTGGTGAGAAATTTGTTTTGAACACCTTTCGACATTTTCAGCTTATTGCTCAGCAGTGATACAAATTTTTCATTTGCAATATCGGCTGAGTCCGAAGTTTAATGTGGAAATACATAGCTCTCATTTTAAGAAAACGTGATCGGCAAGTTTTCTCTAGTGAGCAAAAATACACATTGACCAGATTGGTCTGAGTGATGCAGTTCAGACAACATCATACAGAGCCCAAATCAGAGCTAACAGCTTCTTGCCCAGCATCAAACGCACGATTCACAAAGAGCTTCAAGGTGATTAGTCCTGAGTTCTTGGTATGATTCAACTGGCATGGAATAAAATGCATTGATGAGTCAAAAGTCTGGGCAGATTACGCCTTCTTATTCAAAAACAGGACGTAAACCCTTGCACATGAGTCTGAAGAATCATTCTCGAGGAAAAAAATTGCAAAACTCGGAGAAAATGAAAGCAGGATTTGGCTACAAAAAAACTTCGCATTTGATTCACTGATCGACCAATGTATCAAATCCAACTTTTTAACTATCCAAATCTTGATTTCATTTCTTTCAATTTAGGAATTTTTTTTTCTGAAAATGATTCTTTAGATTCGCGCGTAAGAGTTGACGTCCTTTTTCCCCTATTAAGTCAAAAGCTACCATGAGTTTTGACCTGATCGATCCGATACATTGCATGCCTTTTCCACTACGACAAGAATCTAAGAAGTATCACCTTGAAATGCCCTTTTCACAGATTGGTCTGATCTACCTACATAGACTATGCAATGATGTCAGGGGTCAGTAGAATACATTAGAACTAAAGTTAATTTTACATTTACCATAGCAACAAAAATTCTTAAGGTTACCTATGTGAAAATAATTCTTAAAACATATAAAAATAACTTTTCAGAGGGAAAACATCAGTCCATTCATGATCAAACAATGAATCCATTACTTGAGAGACAATGGAAACATGGGTTATTATGTTACAATCCAGGCTGATCGCAAATTTTGACATTGATAGAGCAGTGAAAATTATCATCTCAGTTCTGGTAACTGTCAAACATCATTAGACTCTCTCTGAGCAAGATTTAAATATAAATCCAATTATCATGAAGACAAAATAACTCAAAGTTCAAGTTTTGATACAGCAGAATGAGAAAGCACACCACGGGACTCACTTAATCAAGTAGCGCATCTTCATTGTGAATTTTTTTCATGATTGGCTGGCACTTCTCCTGGATATCTTGCAACTTCTGTTTATATTCTCCTAGACCAGCTTTAGGATTTTCCTTCAGCCAATCCCAGATTTTATCGCTTTCGTCTTTCAGGCAACTCTTGTCAGCCTGGGAGAGCTCGGATTCTGCTGCTTCTAATTCCTGCATCATTTTGTAAGTATAATCTTCTAGTTGATTTCTAGCTCGAGATCGAGCTAAATGCTTGTCATCTTCTTCTTTATAACGTTTAGCTTCTTTGATCATTCGTCTGATGTCTTCTTTGGATAAGCGACCCTTTTCATTGGTGATCGTAATGTTTTCAGATTTGTCAGTGCCCCTTTCTTCTGCTGAAACCGAGAGGATCCCCTCTGCATTCAAGTCAAACGTGACAGCTACTTTAGTTTCACCTTTGGGGGCTTTTTGGATACCTTCTAGAGTAAGCTTACCCAGCAAATGATTCTGAGAGGCTACTGTGCGCTCACCTTCATAGATATCAATGCCTGCAGTATACTGGTTGTCTTCTGTGGTATAATAGGTTTTTGTTTTTTTACATGGAATCCTGGAATTTCTCTCAATGATAACACTGAATACGTCGTTTTTCATATGTATTCCAAGGGAAAGAGGAGTAACATCACGCAACACTACATCCTTAATTTTTAAGTCATTGTTTCCACTCAGTGATGCAGCTAGCACAGCAGCACCATGAGCGACAGCTTCATCTGGGTGAATAGAATGTTTCAGGGATTTACCATCAAAGAAATTCTGGAGCAATGACTGGACCTTTGGAATTCTCGAGGAGCCTCCAACGAGGACTACATCATCAATGGCATCTTTTTCTAGTTTAGCATCCGATATGGCCTTCTCAACGATAGTTAATGTTTTTCGGAACAAGTCACCACAGAGGTCTTCAAACTTAGCCCTGGTGAGGAATGAGTGAAAATCAATACCATCAAATAAACCGTCAATGAAAATGTTGGCTGTTGAAGCCGCTGATAGAGTGCATTTGGCTCGTTCCGCAGCAGACCTCAATCTACATAGTGCTCTGGAGTTAGATGTGAGATCTATCTTATGCTTCAGCTTGAATTCTTTGGCCAAATGATTCACCAGAAGGCTGTCAAAATCTTCGCCGCCCAAATGAGTGTCACCAGCAGTCGATTTTACTTCAAATAAAGAACCTTCATCGATGGTTAGAATAGAAACATCAAAAGTGCCACCTCCCAAATCGAAAACCAAGATGTTCCGTTTACCTTTCAAGTTTTGATCAAGACCGTAAGCAATGGCAGCCGCGGTGGGTTCATTAATGATTCGCAATACATTCAATCCTGCAATAGTTCCTGCATCTTTGGTGGCTTGTCGTTGAGAATCATTGAAGTACGCTGGAACAGTAATAACAGCATCAGTGATTTCACAATCAAGATAAACTTTAGCCGTATCTTTCAGTTTTGACAGGACCATGGAACTTATTTCTTCTGGCGCAAATACCCTCTCCATTCCATTGTACTCAACACGCAATTTAGCATTCCCAGCATCGTTGATTACAGTAAAGGGCCAATGCTTCATGTCAGCCTGTACTAAAGGGTCATCAAATTTGCGGCCTATGAGGCGTTTCGCATCATATATGGTGTTCTTTGCGTTACTAGGAGCTAGCGTTTTGGCAGCATCTCCGATTAAACGTTCATCTGAGAAAGCAACATAGCTGGGTGTTATTCGATTACCTTGGTCATTGGCAATGATTTCAATTTTACCGTGCTGCCACACACCCACACAAGAGTGGGTGGTTCCCAAATCAATTCCAATGGCTGGTTTCTCCATGATATGAATGCTGCGCAAGTCCGTGCGTGCTGTAAGCCCCTTATCATCAGAGCACAGGAGTTAGGTCAGTTAGGTAAGCTAGGGCGGCTAAGTAATTCACTACCACAAAAGAGTGCGGTATGTAAAATATAGTCAAATGAAAACGAAACTAATGTGATATATCACTATCAAACGGATTCTCATGTCAAAAGGATAGATTTTCCCCCGCACTTTAGCACTTAGAACCTCCACGCACGTGCAGAAACAGAACATATAATGGTGGAATGGTACAACTAAAACAACTAGTGTACCTAGGTCTCTCTCACTGCTGGTGTAAGTCTCTTAGTCACGCTCACGCCTCACGCTCAAAAACGCTGTTTCCCAAATAATCGCTGAAGTGCTGAACTAGCACATCTTAATGCAAGATCTTGACCATGGAGTAATAAATAACTACGTCTTGACTGGCAACTGGCAAGTGCCGCAAATCAGTAATCACTCAAATCAGCAAATGGCAACTCGCTGACCGCTGAGCCAACCGCTGAGCTTAGAGCATTCCTTCCTGGACATCCGAGAAACCGTGTGAGAGTGTGTTAGTAATAACTGCGGCAATGTTGTCGGATTGTACGATAAAATGCAGATATTTTAGATTGGTTTATATATGGGAAAATGGGAAATAGGCCGATTTTTCAGCACTATGCATGGCTGGTAACAATTTCTGCGGAGGGAAACATCCCTATATTGGCATACATAGATAATTTTTCCCTTCACTTAAAATGTGAACCTGTCGCACTAATTTGTTTCATTCGGTCAAACTTGCCTAGAAATTCGATGTAAAATATCAGGTTTTTCCACACAATCTGGCAACCTAGAGCCGGATGACCCCGCGATGATAAGATAAAGATGAACTGGACCGCGATAAACAGAAAGGAACCAAGCAGAGACAAGAGACCCTCCACTGGCCTCCTAGCGACAGGTGGAAGCTTTTACTTTCGGGGTTTCAACAATTCCTAGTTATGGACAATTATGAGCGAGCAACAGTCATCACCCTATTTTCGGCTGTTGACTTACCTACATGGTCGATGATGAGCTTCGGATGACGTCATAAGCCAAACAACTTTCCCAAACGTCGGCCATTTTCGGCTTGTTTGCGAAACGAAACTGCCAACACGTTGTTGAACATCAACCATGTAGGTAAGTCAACAGTAGAATGCTGAAGTCCCGAAAGTAAAAGCTTCCACCATAGCCAAGTTACTAGTGGAGGGTCTCTTGTCTCTGGAACCAAGCCACATCCATAGAGAAAAAAAAGGAGGTGTTTGCATTTCGGGCATCTTGGAATTTTTTGATGACTTGATGACGTAGGTGGATACAGTGTGAAGGGGACGTCTCTGTACCCAGCTGTACCCACCTACGTCATCAAGTCATCAAAATATTCCAAGATGCCCGAAATGCAAACACCTCCTTTTTTTTCTCTATGAGCCACATCAGCTATTGCCAAATTTAACGGCGAAATTTCATTTTTTACGAGAGAACGTCTGTGCAGATTCCTTTGAAAATTTTGAGGAATTTGCCGTGTACTATGGAGAAAATTCACTGAAATTTGCACAAAAATCCGCACAACTGTTTTCATGTAAAAAATTAAATTGCCCGATTTTTGGCAATAGCTGATGTGGCTTGGTTCCTTTCTGTTTAACGCGGTCCAACTAGCGCTCACTTTACTGATCTGCCGTGGCCGTGATAGCGAAGAGAGCAGTAAAAGTCTTTAAATCGAGTTTTCTTCAAAATTCGTTTGATCTCTTTCAGATGAAATCGCTGAAATAGCTATAACAGCAAAACTCATCTGAATTGTATAAAAACGAGACGTACCTGCGTTCCCGTGTGTGGCACCCCATTATTTGGGGGACCTTCCCATTTTCCAACGCGACCGGCCGCGGGGTCGAGAGTTTTTGCACCCGTCCAAAGGGGGAGTGAAGGGGGGGGGGAGGAAACGGAGGAGGGTAGGGAGGGGAGGAGGGAAGAGGTTGAACATTTTCACGACTGCGACTGACGACATTCCGACGGTGTAAGTCGGCAATCACATAACTCGTTTGCGGTGTCTGAAAATCTCCGCCTCCACATTATTTTTTTAAAGGAGAACAAATTGACATCATTCCTTGAAGCTTTTGCAGAATTTTCTTCGCACCGCGAAGAAATATCACGGCAGTTTTAAAGAGTTGCCGTTGAGTAGTTTCCCGTTTAAAAAATGAAGTATGACAGGAAGTCTGCAACGTCGCAAACCGAGTTGTGTGATTGCCGACGTACACCGTCGATTCATTCTTACTGCCGCAAAAAAATGTGACACTTATGACCATAACGACATATTCCACATTTAGCTCCGAAGAATTGACAAGTCAGTATGGTGAATTGGTGAGTCAAAAGCTCAGACTGACTTACTCCAAAATCGTTTAATGCCTGTCAGACGCGAGATAAATAAGTGAAACAAAAGAAATGAAGAGAAAAGAGGAATACTTATAGTTAGTATGAAAATTTTGACAAACTTACCAAAACGCTGTACCTTTCATCGTGTCACGAATAACTTTTTCGGAATGACGACTGATCAGCTGCTACTCCCCCACACTGGAAGAAAAAACGAGGGAACCACTTACTTGAAATTAAAATCTATGTTGAATCAAAACCTAAAGCCGAAGAGAAAACTAGAGAGGGGAAAGATACAAAGATGGAAGGAAAAGCTGGAAGACCCTGCATCTTGCTTGGCACTATGTTGCAAAATCCCTGGTACCTTATTTTTAAAAAGAAAAGTGAAACATGTTTTACTGATAAATTTTGCATTTTTCCTTCTTATTTAAGAACAGAAAAAAGGGGGGCAGTGTCTAAAATCCCATGCATTGTAACAATAGTTCCGTAGAGACAGAAAGGAGGAATATCGATGGGGCCGTTGTTGGACCCACCCTGGTTGGATTTCCTCAACTCTACGATTTTATGCTCATCGAGGGTATATTTATTACAGAATGCATCATGATTGGGTGCGCAACAAAAGAGTGCGTCAGATGATGGGAGTCCAAAATGACATCGTATTCGACGTCATGACCTAATACGAGGGTCATCCAAAAAGTAAGGTTCCCTACCTTGTATCTTTCGGACGAAAAGAGATAAATCAGATCCGCGAAAATAAACATATCAGGCATACTCTAAGCTTCAAAAGAAGCTCGAGTTTTTGAAAATCGGTCGGGAAATTCGCGAGGAAACTCAATTTTACTGAGACGACCTCCTGTCGCTGCGTGCCCACCTCCGAGGTCAGGATGCGCGGAGAGTCGCTTACTTCAGACTCGGCTCATCGCCTCTAAACATCAAATCAAAAAGGAATTCAAAAGATTTCATTAAGTAGGCCGTACAATTTTTTTTAGATAGTCCCCGCATCTTTTTTGACATTTCTGGTATCATTACAGCAGCTTTTTCATGCCTTTCGCGTAAACGGTCTCGTCTTGGCTCCGAAACCAGTCATTGCCAGCGCTCTGCACTTCCAAATCAGTTGCTTTTCGTGGTAAACTTTTCCCCCAATCCTCTGTACTCTCTTTATTTAGCCTCAGGTGACTTTCGTCTATTCCTGAGATGAAAAACTCCCACTGTGGAAAGCGATTTCCAACCGATTTAGAGGTGCAGAGCGCTGGCAATGACTGGTTTTGGAGCCAAAACGAGACCTTTTACGCGGAGGGCATGAAAAAGCTGCTGTAATGATACCAGAAATTTCAAAAAAGATGCGGAGACTATCTCAAAAAGTAAGGCAAGAAACTACTTAATGAAATCTTTTGAATTCATTCATGGTTTGATGTTTAGAGGCGATGAGCCGAGTCTGAAGTAAACGACTCTTCGCGCATCCTGACCTCGGAGGTGGGCACGCTGCGACAGGAGGTCGTCTCAGTAAAATTGAGTTTCCTCGCGAATTTCTCGACTGATTTTTAAAAACTTGAGCTTGTTTTAAAGCTTAGAGTATGCCTGATATGTTTACTTTTACGGATTTGATTTATCTCTTTTCGTTCGAAAGATAAAAGGTAGGGAACCTTACTTTTTGGATGACCCTCGTAGCTTGTCTGGTATGGTCATGAAAACAGAATGACGGAAGAAAGGCTGCCGAAGAAGATGCTTGATAGGGTTTCTCCTGGAAGGAAACTAAGGGGATGCCCAGTGAAAGAGTGGTGACAAGGGGTTTTAGAGGTAATGATGGAGTGCCTCCATCCTGGAGCTTGATTGGGTTCCTCCTGGGAGGAGGCGTAGGGGACGCCCAGTGAGAGGTTGGCGACAGGGGGTGTTAAGTGAGATGAGGGAGTGTCAACTCCCTGATAACCTGTGGGAAGACCGAGCTTTGTGGCGATTAGGTGTCGCAAAGCGCCAAAGAGCGCTATAACAGCGACTCGTATGTATGATGGAGTGCCAACTCCCTACGAGGCTTTGGGAGGAAAGAGACTTTGGCGGCTAAATGTCGCAGAGCGCCAAAGAGCGCTATGAAGGGGGCTTTAATGTATGTATCATGATTTGGTCATTTCCAGTTTATTGTCGGGTCTAATACTGACCTAAGCAATAAGCATGGGCTTTAAGTGCCTTTTGGCCAGAAATGCGGATTTTACAGCATTCGATCGCAAACCCGCATTCTTCACCAAAATCGAGGAAATTTGCGAGGAAAGCTCCGTGCTTTTGAAGGATGCCTGTCATTCTTAATATGTTTGAGCGCCTTCAATTTCATATGATACTGTGCAATACATCTGGTGTGAAGTAGTTGCTTCAGACGCCGCGCCGTGGCACGCTGCGGCTGCGGCGCGGCGGGCGGGCAGTGAGCGCGAAACACGCGCATTGGCGCCTTCAAACCTAACAGGGATACTTCACGCATTGCGCAATGCGTGAAGTATCCCTGTTAGGTTTGTAGGCGCCAGTGCGTCGCCGCTCCGCTCTGTGTTAGGCTCTAATATTTAGTCTCGCGGAGTCAGCGTTTTTCAACTCATCATTTTGAAATGTTTGCACACTCTGTATGCATTATTCTCATCTTAATTGATGAATAGAAAAATGTTTTAAAGGAAAATACAATGTGTGTTTTGTAAATATTAAGGTAGTTCCGTATCAAACTTAATGATTTCCAAAGCACAACAATTTCTACACAATTTCTTATGGCCTTTAATAGCCAATGGCGATGTAAAGCCCGGCGATAAAGAACTATAGCCCGACTGTATACTTTTTTATAGCTACGTATAGCCCGATATGATTGCTCCGTATGATTTGCTCCGCTTTCTACAGCCAGCTATATGATTTTCAATAGCCTTCTTTAGTCGGCTTTAAGAACTCCTATGGTATTTTGAAACGCAGCTCCTATCGCCAATTTTTACCAGGGTCTATATCCAAGTCCAAGCCTTGGCCTTGAGGCATGCATAGCATAAAGCTTTTGAAGCTTCATCTCAAATTATTCTGCATGAATATTCCTGTATATTTGATGGCGGAACACTTGAAATGCTCAAAATAAAGATTTCGGTGATTCCAGATTTAATTACAACGATTCCCAAAGCATTACAAATTGAAAATAAATAGACGGCCAAATAAGAGCGGGAACACCTACCTCCGCTCGCGACGACGTTGCAAACTTTTATTCATACTACTCGACGTTACTTCTAGAAAGGAAACTGTCCTGATTTTTTCTTCCGGTTCGCCAAATTTTCTTTATTTTCAAGCTATGAATATGGCTCCTTCTTTCTCGAAAAAATAAAATGGGATTGGAAATTTTGAAACATCGCAATGTAGATACAAGGTTTTGCACTTTGCCCATCGAAATGGAAGAAAATAATGCAAGTATCAACTTGACAGGAAACAAAGGGTTTCTCTGAAGCAAAAAGGCTCTCAACTTCCTGTGCACTAAAAGGTGATAGGGAGATCAATTTTGTATATTTCAATAGGTATATATCGATGACCAAAGTGCAAAACCACGGAACACCATAGCAATGTTTCAAAATTTCCGCCATTTTATTTATTTGAGAGAGGGGAAAAAAAGTTAACTACATAGGTACCTAGTTTGAAATGTATGCAGAATATTCTACTGACAGAGAAGAAAACTAAGAAGGTTATCAAGAAATTACGTTGGCTAGTATTCCAAAGGAGAAAACCGAGTATGAGAGGATGTTTGCAACGTCTCGACGGAGATACGTCACGGAAAAAATAAAATTGCTTAAAAAAAAGTGACAGCAATATTTCAACGTAGATTTCACAACACAAAAATGCTACTTTAATTACCACGAGGGTGGTTAAAGTAGCATTTTTGTGTTGTGAAATCTACGTTGAGATAATGTAGTCACTTTTTTTAGCGATTTAATTGCTAAATTAGCAATTTTATTATTTCCGTGTTGTTTCACACTTCGGCCATCAATACACAATCGGGTTTTCCAGCTTTAGCAGTGCCACTTCTGAGGAAACGAAGAGAAAAAGATGGATCATAATGAGGTAGCACTGTAAAATTCCTAGGGATTTGTGCACGAAAATCAATGATTTAAAATATCTCTGATTTAGAAACATTCAACTAGTGACCCCTTAACAACATTCACTACCAACTGATGAACTTCCATGCTTAATTTCCTTTAGAGGAAATGATTAAACCAACACTGCCGTGCTGAGGAAAAACGCCGTAGAAACATTCGAGAGTTGCCCAAATTTACTTAAATAAAACGTTGATTATTTTTGTGGAAAGTTATGAATATTTTTCCTTGAAATTTTCAGGCACTCTAGGTGAAACCTTCAACAACATTATCTGAAAAATTGGATGAAAAATATTAAAAAGTTTACAAGGAGATTCACGTTTCAGAATCGGAAATTTGGCAACGCCTGAAGGTTTATACGGCGTTTTTCCTTAGCACAGCAGAACACACACCCAGGATGCAAAAAGTGTAAGATTTTAGATTGCATTCTTAAAGACGGAGAAAACTTCTAAAACCTGAACCATAATTTAAAAATTGAAGTGCTGGATCCAGAAAGACCACTTCTACTTAGCGGTGTAGCAGAATCTCTATTACTAATTTAAATTTCATAGAAAAAATGAAAATGCGATTTTTCTGGAATTTATCAATCACAGTATTGTGAAATTATGAAGAATATGCACTAAGTTTCGACGAATTTACGTGCATTTACTTCTCTTAGGATTGATAAAATGTTAGCGGAGATTCTAAGACCGCAGCCAAGAAGTGCCCATCCTCCTCGATCCCGGCGTTTTCATTGTAAACATTGTTTTGAACATTTTCTTAAAATTTCGGGTCTTTGTTTTGTATTGAATGAAAAAAAAAATTGGAGACTTTCTTTTGGCCAAAAATTCACGAGGAAAAAATAATCTGTATTCCTGCCTTGACTCTTGTTCATTCTCAGTTCAGATAACTTAACTCTATGACTTCGCTTAGGTGCGCAGTGAAACAATAAGTACAAGTTCTGATTAAACCAGGCAAATTAAGAAACATAAAATTTATTAATTACTTAGGTAAAGTACACAAACAGTAATAAATTGAACAAAGCAATATGATCTGACTCAAAAATAAACCAAAACTAATTTCAATATGAAAAGTGCGAGCTTTCCCTGAAAGATTATTGGAAAAACCCAGATGAAATATTTGAGAGGGAAACACACCCTATATAACACGACATCCATTCACTTTCTTAATATTTGAGGAAAAACAATGGGCATTTTCTTCTGGTAAATATTCTGTACTTAAAAATTCTTGGAAACTTGGATTTTTAGCTGTTATGGTACAGAACCTTACTCCGAGGTAACCCTTAATTACACCTGGGAAAATACTTGACACTCTATGAAGGACCTGTCTCGTTAAGAACCGTTTACTGCCTTTGGAAGGTCAAATTAGAAAATACCTTTAATTGTACCCCTGTAAACTGTCTGAGTTAGCACTTAAGGAAGTCCAATCCGTAACTTCTTCATCCAATATTGGATGATAGTGGAAAATTTTTACACTTCCCTTCTAAGGTCTCATGGTTTTTCGCAAAGGCGACAGTTTCCTTGTGTTCGATGGAATACTTGAGTATCTAAGTATCAGCGCATCGTGAAAGTACTTTCATAGTTTAATCATAGATTGCTTGCTGATGGCATACAAAAAAACATACTTAGAGAAGTTGCTTCAAGGATCCTCTCTTCAAACAAGAAACAAAGAAACCAGAAAAATTCGAAGAAACATCATCTTGGCGAGAAAAAAAATAAAAAATAACAATATACCATGAAACCATCAGTTGGCTTAGCTAAATAAAGGGGTAAAACGTTGCCATAATGCTCCGATTTAAAATATCATTTTCCACACTGGGCACTTCAGTGTTGAAGAAGACGGTTTTGTAGGGGATACGAGAAAATTTCAAGGATGACTCATGAGAGGGCAGAAAATCGATGACATAATTTCTTTTCTTTTCTTTCCTTTTTTTACCTTAATAGATTACAATGAGCAGCCTCTTTCCAATAATTGACGCTGATCTTATAATTAAATTTAAAAACAACAACAAAATAGAAAAACCTTTTTGTACGAACTTCAGCTGTTGGGTACAGCCCTTCAACTGCTAAGGTCAGAGATGACACTTCGTTCAACATTTTATGAAAATAATACTGAAGAAGATTTATAGATAAAGGGACAATTATCTGATGAGCTACTAATATAGTCCGTGCAAAAAAATAGACCTATTTGAAAAAGTGTGTACTTTTGAGCATACCTCAAGAACAGTCAAGTCTAATGCTATGCAAAGAACCACTGGTTGTGATTTGGGTTGCTGCAGTTTAGTTTTTATGTCAATACTGCCCGGCCAACAGGAAAAAATTATCGGACCATTTTTTTCAAAATTTGTAACATGTGTTTTCGGTGTTAAATACATATTTTAATTTAACTCACAATACAGAAAAAGAACATATGCCCTTAAATCAGAGTCTATGGGTGAGAAATTTGTTTAAAACACCTTTCAACATTTCCAGCTTATTCCTCAGCAGTGATACAAATTTTTCATTTGCATTATCGGCTGAGTCAGAAGTTTTGAAGGCAAGAATATTTCACACATTTTAAAACAATTGATTCGCTAGTCTTTCCTTAGTAGTACTTAAGCAAAACAATATCTTGACAATAAATAGGTCTGGGTAATGCACAGTTCAGACAACACAATTAAGAGTCGAGAACAGAGTCAACAGCTCCTTGCCTAGCATCAATGCACGATTCACAAGAAGCTTTAAGGTGATTCGTCTTGAGTTCTTGGCATCACCGGACTGGCATGTGCTGCATTGCACCAATGAGTCAAAAATCTCGACAAATTTTGACTTTTTAGTCAGAAAAAGGATGATGACTCTTGCACATAAATCGAAAGAGTCATTCTCAAAAATGAAAACAATATGCAGATTTCGGGATAATGATAGCAGAATTTGGCTACAAAAAAAAATGTTGCATTCGATTCAGTAATAATCGACCTCAGTATTGAATGCAACTTTTCTTTGGTAGCTAAATCGTGCTTTCATTTCTCTGAATTCTACAATTTTTTTTGTTTTGGAGAAAGATTCTTTCAATATATGAACAGGGATTGCCATCATTCTTCTGCAATTACTTCAGTGAAAAGCCATCACTAGTTTTACTTACTTAATTGATGCGATATATTGTATGACAGTTGACAGTTCCACCATGACAAGAACCTGAGACAAATCACCTTGAAATTCCTTTTTCATAGATTGGTACGATCTACTTGCAAGGAATATGAAATGATATCAGGAGTAAATAACAAGAGACTATACTACAACTAAAAGTAATTATACCCTTCACATAACATTAAAAATTCAAGAGTTTAGCAGAGAGATACAGCTTAAACATTTAAAAATAACTCTGTGGCGAAAATTATAACCCATTATATGATCCAAAATTGAATGCATTACTTGAGAAACAAAAGAAACATGGGTGGACAAGTCAAAATCACTGGGGGAAAATAAATTATTGACAATTTTGACATCGAAAAAGCGTTGAAAATTATCATCTCAGTTCTGGAAACCGTCCAAAATCATCAAGCTCTCTTTGTGCAAGATTTAACTATTAATTCAATTATCATGAAAACAAAATAACTCAAAGTTCAAGTTTTAATAAGGCAGAATAAGAAAGCACACAATTGGACTCTCTTAATCAAGCAGCGCATCATCTTTGTGAATTTTCATCATGATCGACTGGCACTTCTCCTGGATATCTTGCAACTTCTGTTTATATTCTCCTAGACCAGCTTTAGGATTTTTCTGAAGCCAATCCCAGATTTTATCGCTTTCCTCTTTCAGGCGGCTCTTGTCAGTCTTTGAGAGCTTGGATTCTGCTGCTTTTAATTCCTGTGTCATTTTGTAGGTATAATCTCCTAGTTGATTCCTAGCTCTAGATCGAGCTAAATGCTTGTCATCTTCTTCTTTGAAACGTTTAGCTTCTTGGATCATTCGCCTGATTTCTTTATCAGATAAGCGACCCTTTTCATTGGTGATCGTAATGTGTTCAGATTTGTCAGTGCCTTCTTCTGCAACTGAAACCGAAAGGATTCCCTCTTCATTCAAGTCAAATGTGACAGCTACTTTAGTTTCACCTTTGGGGGCTTTTTGGATACCTTCTAGAGTAAGCTCACCAAGCAAATGATTCTCAGAGGCTACTGCACGCTCACCTTCATAGATACTGAATTCCAAACCATCCTGGTTGTCTTCTGTGGTATGATAGGTTCTTGTTTTTTTACATGGAATCCTGGTATTTCTCTCAATGATAACACTAAATACGTTGTTTTTGGTATTAATTCCAAGGGAAAGAGGAGTAATATCGCGCAACACTACATCCTTAATTTTTATGTCATCATTTCCACTCAGTGATGCAGCTAGCACAGCAGCACCATGAGCGACAGCTTCATCAGGGTGAATTGAGTGTTTCAGGGATTTACCACCAAAGAAATCCTCGAGCAATGATTGGACCTTTGGAATTCTCGTGGAACCTCCAACAAGAACTACATCATCAATTGCTTCTCTTTCTAATTTAGCATCTGTTAAAGCTTGCTCAACTGTGGTCAATGTTCTTTGGAACAAATCAGCACAAAGGTCTTCAAACTTAGGTCTGATAACTAGTGTGTAAAAATCGATACCATCAAATAAACTATCAATCATGATGTTCGCTGATAGTGCTGACGATAAGGTGCATTTCGCTCGTTCTGCAGCAGCTCTCAATCTGCTCAGTGCTCGGGGGTTAGATTGGAGATCTTTCTTATATTTCAGCTTGAATTCTTTGATCAAGTAATTCACCAAAAGGCTGTCGAAGTCTTCACCACCCAAATGAGTGTCACCAGCAGTCGATTTCACTTCGAATAAGGAACCTTCATCAACGGTCAGGACAGACACATCAAAAGTACCGCCACCCAAGTCAAAAACCAGGATGTTCCGCTTACTTTTCAAGTTTTGATCAAGACCATAAGCAATGGCAGCTGCAGTGGGCTCATTAATGATTCGCAAGACATTCAACCCTGCAATAGTGCCTGCATCTTTTGTGGCCTGTCTTTGAGAGTCATTGAAGTATGCTGGAACAGTAATTACAGCATCAGTGACTTCTCTGTTTAGGTAGACTTCAGCTGTTTCTTTTAATTTTGACAGGACCATGGAACTAATTTCTTCAGGCGCAAATACCTGCTCCACTCCTTGGTACTCAACGCGCACTTTAGGATTCCCAGCATCGTTGATAACAGTAAAGGGCCAGTGCTTCATATCAGCCTGCACTAGAGGATCATCAAATTTGCGACCTATGAGACGTTTCACATCAAATATGGTGTTCTTCGGGTTGATAGGAGCTTGCATTTTGGCAGTATCTCCAATAAAACGTTCATCTGAAAAAGCAACGTAGCTGGGTGTTATTCGATTACCTTGTTCATTGCTTATTATTTCCATTTTACCATTTTGCCAGACACCGATACAGGAATGGGTGGTTCCCAAATCAATTCCGATGGCTCGTTTTTCCATGATAATGATGTCGTATTTTTCAGTCTGTAGGTATGTGCTGATAGCTCTTCAAGTAAAGTAATTCACTGACTCACTGACCACGATCAAAAAAAGGCAAAATAGTACAAATAATTGTGATTATCCACCTAGCGTGGCAATTGAAAGGATACATGTAAATACGCACTTTCGAACGCTCACGTGTGGAGTGTGCGGAGCACAAACGAAACAACTAGACTAGACAAGGATAAAAACCTAATCCTGATCTGTGATAAAAACAAAACACGGCGGACAAACTGACAAAGATTTGTCTCTGAAGATAGTATTGACGGCGGATCAGTTGAGTGAACCAGTGGACGAAATGAAAGAAAACCGGCAACAAAGCGGATGACACACCGCGCGTGGCGCGCGATTTGAATTACCGTGTTCTTAGATGGAGGAGCACGACTTTCGCAAAACGGAATTTTTGGATTAACACACAACAAACGAAGCTTTCTAATGAGTCAAAGATTTGCGAACTAGGTGCTAGTATCTACTAGTCACATTATTTTCGTCAAGGACATTACATTTTGGCTCTTTAAGATGTCATAAAGGGTTAATCATTTGGAGTGAAAAATGTTTTAAAAAAATCCTCAAACCTATGCTAGAATTGCTAGATGAGGAAGAGGGTCCGCACCTTCCCCTAAAAGCAGGGCCGGATTTACCAATAGGCTACATAGGCTGCAGCCTAAGGCGCAACATTCTGAGGGGCGCAAAATCTTTGAGAATTTATTTATTTTTTTTTTTTTTTTAATTTAACAAGTCTTTTGTTACTTTTTATTTTCCAAAACCAACTTGCAAACGTAAACGTACCTCAAAACTGTTTAAAATCGTGTTTTTTTTAAAGGTGAATTTGAACATTTTCCTAACACCTAACATCCTCCTTCTGATCTGGAGAGGAGGGGCGTCTGGGGACCCTCCCCCCCCCCCACGAGAGCGCCTACTTTTAAGGGCGCCACCCTAGGTTTAGCCTAGAGCGCTAAAAGTGTAAATCCGGCCCTGCCTAAAAGTTTCAGAAAATAAAGTAAATCTCAGAAAGAGCTACACTGAGAAATAGAGCGCTGCAGACATTCCACAGTAGGACAAGCACTTTGAGAAACTATCTTAAAATACAACTTTTTCATCAAATAGTGATCCTAATAAAATTTCAAATGCATTACTTAATGGGTTTAATAAGACACGGAGTTGGTGTAATTGGTGTCCAGAAAAATATTCTTAAGACAATTTTAAAAGATATTTCTGTTTTTTTTTTTCGTCATGTACGTACATTAAATCATCTGTTTGGTTAAAAAACATTTCTGCAACAAAAGTGTTTTTTTGAAACAAATTCTAAAAATCTATCTCGGTTTTCAACCTCACTAGAGGGTTACACCTCCTGTCCACTACGTAGCCCCCTCTAGGCGGAATCGCTCCGTTTCTTGCCAAAACTCCAGAGACGACCCAGGGATTGAGAAAATGCGTTCGCTATCTCGACGTTCGTTTGCTCCCCGTGTAGATTAACCATGAGAGAAGATGATACTTCGTTTTTGCAACCCTGGACCATTGGCCGAGGGCGAGCAATCAAGGGTGGCCTGTCCTGTTCTTCGTATAACTTCATTTTCGCAGATCTCGCTAAAGCAGAGATGCGCCCTTACGTCGGAGGGGCGACGGATAGTGAAACCGAGACCGAAAATCACTGGAATATCTCAGTATTTGTTTTTTCTTCTTTTTTTCTTTCAATACATGTACATGTTAGCTTATAAGTATAAAGTAAAGGACTAAAAAAAAAAAAAAAATCCCTTCATATACATTTTTAGCAAACAGTTTAAAACAAATGTAATCGTTCATTTAAAAAAAAAAAATTGTCGAGCGAGTATTGACATGCTATGTGTTGTCGCAGCTACTCTTCAAGGGACCGTCCGTAAATTACATGACGTTCAAGGATAGAGGGGTCATCGAGGAGAGCGTTACGGGATTTAGTTTTTAAATGTTAATGGATAGGGACTGGGACTTGCGCCACAACCGGGCAGGGATGCAGAGAGTTCTTAGCCTTCTCATTTTAAAACCACTTCCACATTAGAAATTTCAAGAATATGACTTCTTTGTGCCTCTGTACGAATAAATTGCCGCGGTTACGATTCCGATTTACAAAAAACACGTGATTAGGTATTGCCGAGGTTTCACGAAAAAGTTGAAAAAATCACCGTTGTTCTACAAAAAATGGGCACAGTTTCGCAAGAAAAGAAAAGGGGGAAAAAAGTGATTTGCCGGCTTTCTCATTCATATATACCCCGTTTTCGGGGCCTTACCATTTCCCCACGCGACCGATCGCGACCCGCCCGGTCGCATGGTCGAGAGGCTTTTTCACCCAAGCAAGGGGTGACGGAAGAGAGGGGAGGAGGGAAGGAGGGGAGGAGGTCGAAAAATGTCACGACTGCGACTGACGACTCAAGTTCAAAAACCTTCATCGTCACTTTTACCCTCGACTTTCATTCTTACTGTCGCAAAAAAATTCAACATTTTTGACCATTTACGACATATCCTCATTTAGCTCCGAAGAATTGACAGTCAGTATGATGGTGAGTCATGAACATAGGCTGAGTTATTCCCGAATCGTTCAGTGCCTGTCAGATGCGACATTAAAAATAAACGAAACAACCGAAATGAAGAGAAAAGAGGCGCATGCTTGGATTGCATTTTGCAAATAGGAACCAGGAGCATTACAATATTCCTAAGATTGTGCAGCTCCTTTTGTCTTGAAAGGAACACCCGAAATTCTCTAAACATTTTCTATTTTACTCGCTGAACACTGTAAAAGGACAATGGTTACCATGTAAATTTCATATTATTCCAGGCTATAAATCGTTGTATTGCAATGATCGAAGTTTTGCAGTGCACAACCTTTTAACAAAATGCAATCCACTTATAGTTAGAATGAAAATTTTGAAGAACTTACCAAAACGTTGTACCCTTCATTGTGTCAAGAATAAATTTTTCGGAAAGACGTCTGATCAACTGCTACTCCTCCACACTGGAAAAAAAAACGAGGGAAACATTTACTTAAAATTAACATCTACGTTGAATCAAAACCTGTAGGCGCAAAGAAGAAACTTGAGAGGGAACAGCTAGAAAACCCTGTATCTTGCTTGGCACTGTTGCAAAATCCCTGGTACCTTATTTTCAAAAAGAAAAGTGAAACATGTTTTACTGATAAATTTTGCATTTTCCCATCTTTCTTAAAAATAGAAAAAAGGGGGGCAGTGTCTAAAATTCCATGCATTGTAACAGTAGTTCCGTAGAGACAGAGAGGAGAAATATCGATATGGCCGTTGTTGGGCCCACCCTGGTTGGATTTCCTCAACTCGACGATTTTTTGCTCATCCCCAAGTAGCATTGTCAGCTACTTTCTAGGTGGCGCTCATCCAGAAAATGTCTACTTTCTAAAGAGAATAATTTTCTTGAAAGAAAATAGGTATAAAGTAGATATAGAAAATAGACACCAGAAAATAGAAAGAAAATACATTTTTCCTTGCATTTTCTTAAAAGAAAACATTAAGAAATTGGCTAGAAAATAATTCTACTTTCAATAAATTTTCTATCTTTTTTCCAAATGGGAAGTTGACAGAAAGTAGACCTATGAAATAGGTCTACTTTCTTTGGTCAGACTTTTGACTCGCAATGTTTTTTCTTTCTATTTTCTGGATAACTCGAATTTTCTTTGTTTTTTCTAGCAATTTTCTTAAGATGTTTTTTCTCGAAAAAAATTCTATTTTGCTACTTGGGTCGATCGAGGGTCTATTTTTTACAGAATGCATCATGATTGAGAGCGCGACAAAAGAGTGCGTCAGATGATGGGAGTCCAAAATGACATCGTATTCGACGTCATGACCAAATAGCTTGTCCGGTATGGTCATGGTAACACTAACAGGATAACGGAAGAAAGGCTGCCGAAGAAGGCGCTTGATCGGGTTCCTCCTGGAAGGAAACGAAGGGCGGCTAAATGTCGCAGAGCGCCGAAGAGCACTAAGAAAGCGGCTTTAATGTATGTATCATGATTTGGTCATTTCCAGTCTATTGTAGAATCTAATACTAACCTAAGCATGGGCCTAAAGTGCCTTTTGGCGAGAACTGCGGATTATACAGCATTCGACCGCAAACCCGCAAAACTTGCATTCCTCACCAAAATCGTGGCTTTAAGAACTATGTTTAGGTACGTAAAAGGCCTGGAAAGGGACAGAAAATGACCAAATCATTATACATTCCGTCAAATATAGGCATTCAATGCGCAAAAAAGCATTGGGAGTTTTTAAAAAAAGTCATGAGCTTTTTAAGAACCCCGGTAAGTAGGTATCTAGGTCAAAAAACCTGATCAATAGAAATTAGTAGTTTCGAAAGAGAGGCGAATGAAACTAATAGAAAGATGGTGATCCTTGGCAGTAATATCCATGAAAATTTGTTCAGAACTTGCTTCCAAAGTTCAAACGTCGGGAAATCGTATCAAAAAAGTTCGACAGTCGTATCATTTCTCGGACTCGATCGAAATCATCCTTCTTTACTTCGGTGGAAAACTGGGAGCGGAGAGGCTACCACGAAATACGAAAATCCGTCGACCAAACAGAGAGCGGGAGTTTTTTGGTAATCAGTCGAAGGATTGAGGTGATAATGCTTTCCCTACATGGGCACTTAATTACTCGGGCGCTACAGCTGACAACTCCCGAGCATCTCTGAAGATGTGAAGAAAGCGGGAGCGCCTTCAATTTGTGAACATGCAACACACACATCCGTGGAACGCGAATAGTTGCATCAAGGCGCCTCAACCAACTCACTGTCAGTGTGGTCTCTGTAAAGTGGGAGTATCCTCAACTTTTGAATATGCAACATGCACATTCATGTCACTGAAATTAAAATTTAAGAAATAATACATAGTAAAATTAATTTAGGTACATACCCTGTTTTTCATTACTTGTATTAGTTTTTGCTGTGATAATAAAAAGTTCCGTTAAAAAACCATCGAAATTTTGCCAGAATTCTGAAAATACATAGTTATCTATTACACGAAGTCTTACAGTCTCACCGAAACAAAGAGCTATTTGCTACAACGCAACGTTGCGATTTGGCCTAGCGACGACGCTCGAAATTTCTAACGGTTGCCAAGTTATAACAAAACGGCAAGGGTTCTTTTTTGAACCTTCTGTTTCCTTCGCAAAAAGGAACTGTCGGCTTTTTTGTCGCGATCTCTAATGCAAAAAGGTGTCATATATTCTCACGCTCAACTCAAGTAAATGCAGCATTAATTTACGTATGCAGTCATGCAGTCCGCCGCACTCATGAGTTGAGACGTTGTGCTTACTAGAACTGTGATGTTGCAATACCATCCAATTTTTTTTTTTATAGATTCATTATTGAGAGAATGTCAAAATGATTCATATAGCAGCTTCCAAAAAATTCCTAGCCTGATATGTTTCTTTTTTCTTTTCTTTTCTTTTTTTTACATTTTATTCTAATCTTTTGTTCCTACATATGTACCTACAAAGTTTAAAGCCGAAGCTTAAATTGTTATACAGTGACAGGGCAGGATACCTAGGGTGCGGCTTATTTTCGTCATGTCGGAAAATCGACGAGGTCCGGGTGGCAATCGATGATACCTATGAAAATAATAGGCTGTATAAAATTTGTGCCGATTTGAAGCTTTTTTAGCCGATGCTCAAAGGGATCAAAAGTAAGGGGCAAAATTACATTGGTTTAAATGGGCGGAAAAACGCCTGATCTGCGCAAATGCGTTTTTTTTTATCTAAAATTCGCTTGAATGAAGAAAACCTGACCAACTCTTAGAAAGGCATCTAGGGGCCCATTTGAAACGAGAAAATCACACTTTTGACCCATGAGTGGGGACAGGGGGGTCACGGCGTAACCGGTTTTGAAGCGCCGCGCCCGGAGCTAAGAATTCGCTTCTGATCGAACTCAAATTAAGTGTTCCAAAGTTGAAGAGGCAAATTTATCTCACAACTTGATGAGAAATAATGTATAATAGTTGTTTTGGCCCTTGAGAACTATACTTGGCCCTTTACAACCCTTGTAGCAACGGTTCGTGAAAAACTCGTAAAAAAAATGTAAAGAACTTGTGAATTTCATTAACACATAAAAAACTCGTAAAAAAGTTGTAAAAGAAAGAAGTTTTTTACAAGTTTTCGTTTTTATGTAAGAAACTCGTAAAAAACTTGTAAATAACTCATAAAATTTACTTTTTATTTACAAGTCAGCTTTCAAAATTTTGACTCGTAAAAAACTCGTAAAATACCTGTAAATAACTCATAAAATTTACTTTTTATTTACAAGTCAGTTTTCAAAATTTTGACTCGTGAAAAACTTGTAAAATACTTGTGAATAACTCATATAATTTACTTTTTCTGAAAATCTGACCAAAAATACGAGTTTCCCGTCGTAAAGTACCCACGGATACCGAGTTTCACGAAAATCGAGCGAACAGGAGCTGACTTAGCATTTTAGGCCACGGCCGCCATCTTGGATTTTGAAATTTTGAAAATCTGACCAAAAATTCGAGTTTCCCGTCGAAAAGTACCCCCGGAAACTGAGTTTCACGAAAATCGAGCGAACAGGAGCCGACTTTGCATTTTAGGCCACGGCCGCCATCTTGGATTTTGAAATTTTGAAAATCTGACCAAAAATTCGAGTTTTCCGTCGAAAAGTACCCCCGGTCAGAAAGTTTCAAGTAAATCCGTCGATAAATACCCCCTAAAACCTGAAATTTCATCTATAATGCTGTGACGTCACGCGACAGGATTGAACCTGTTGAAATCTCGGTACAGTAGCTTTATATAATTCATACTTTCTAGGTATTTTAAAGGAAAAAATACGAGGGCTGAAAAATAACTTTACGGATGAAACTTAGAAAGCTTTAGTTTCGAAAAGGTTTAAGTGCTCTGAATGAAGTAATAAGGACGAAGAACAAGCTGCATAACTACTAGTCGCTCCTAGAAGGGTTTGTAGGGATATTTCGACCTCGCTCTTCATCACCAGCTATAGCTCAGTTGGTAGAGCGCTCGGCTGTGAATCCAGTCGCCGCGCGCCGTGGGTTCGAATCTCCACAGGTCCGCTCGAGATTTTACGCCGCATCATCTCTCGATTGGTGAGTCACAGTGTTTAGTGTGTGTCTCTCATCTCTCTAATTAACTTGTGTAATACTTGTATGTACTGAATAAAACACTAAATAGTTGATGATGTGTGAAAAGAAAACTTGTACTCTTCACAAGTAGAGTGCGCTCCTGATCAATTTTTGGTATTATCTAACATGAGTTTCTCACTTATTTTTCATAAGCTTTTTACGTAAAAAACTCGTGAAATGATTCCCAATTCGTCAACTGGGAACTTTTTTTTACGAGTTCTTTACGAGTTCTGTATATGTTGCGCATCTTCATTTCACAATGTTTTCAATTTTTTTTACAAGTTTTTCACGATCCGTTGCTACAAGGGAATGTTACCTCACACACTATTTCTCGAGCCTGGAACGAAATTGGTGTATATATTTTATCTTGCACTCGAGTGATCCCCCTGCCCTCACCCATGGGTCAAAAGTGCGATTTTCTCGTTTCAAATGGGCCTTTAGATGCCTTTCTAAGAGTTGGCCAGGTTTTCTTCATTCAAGCACATTTTGGTTCCAAAAAACGCATTTGCGCGGATCAGGCGTTTTTCCGCCTATTTAAACCAATGTAATTTTGCCCCTTACTTTTGATCCCTGAGCATCGGCTAAAAAAGCTTCAAATCGGCTCAAATTTTATACAGCCTATTATTTTCATAGGTATCATCGATTGCCACCCGGACCTCGTCGATTTTCCGACATGACGAAAATAAGCCGCACCCTAAAGGATATACCCATTCCTGGCCTTAGCCAAAGTGAAAGAGTTCAAACGCCTTCAAAATTCACTTTTGCCGTGAGTTTAGTATTGGTACTGTGGGAACAACGGCATTTCTCTGCTTTAAGAAAAAAAGCCACAATTTGATGAGAAAGCAGTCATAAAGATCGCAAATGGCCGGAAAAGCACATTCGACTGACTCCGGAAAAAAAAAATATTTCGCCTTGCAACATCTTCCTGCTTACTTAGTAAGAATTCCATTTTATTTTCCCCAATGTGTGACTACATGCTTTATGGAGGTCGAGTTGTGGCATGTGAGCAGTTTAAATTTATTCTACAGTATAAGTATTGCACGGTCTGTTGACACGCATATTCGTCTAAAATACTGTGCGTGCCTCATGCATGAAAGGATTTAATTCAGTGCTCTCTTCTTTTTTAGGTTTGTAGGTGAATTGCTCATACTAACAGAAATGCCTCCGGTAAAAATTGGCAGTAAAATCTGTGTTCCAAAATACCATAGACCGAAAGCCGGCTGTAAGATTTCCAATAGCTTCTGTAGCCGGCTGTACAATTTCTTTCAGCCTTTTACAGCCGATGGCGATTAAGCAACAGCCAGACGATACATTTTATGCTAAACGTTACGAAATACGGATACTAGGACTTAGTTACTTTTTGGACTACCGCTCTCTTTTTGTGTCGTAGTATCTTGATTTATTTTGCGAGGAAAGCTCCGTGCTTTTGAAGGATGCCTGTCATTCTTAATATGTTTGAGCGCCTTCAATTTCTTATGATACTGTGCAATACATCTGGTGTGAAATAGTTGCTTCAGACGCCGCGCCAAGACCAATCCACACAGGTCAGTCATTGCGCATCTTTTTGAAAGCCACTTCCCCGCCCGGCCCTAACTCGGCTGCACTCAATAGTACGTCACAATGGGTGCTCCCATAAGAAATACATTGCAAGCACTCAATAGTACGTCACTGCGCAGTAGAGTATCAAAACTCGTCCACGGGAATGACTGACCTGTGTGGATTGGTCTTGCGCCGCGCCGTGGCACGCTGCGGCGCGGCGGGCGGGCAGAGAGCGCGAAACGCGCATTGGCGCCTTCAAACCTAACAGGGATACTTCACGCATTGCGCAATGCGTGAAGTATCCCTGTTAGGTTTGTAGGCGCCAGTGCGTCGCCGCTCCGCTCTGTGTTAGGCTCTAATATTTAGTCTCGCGGAGTCAGCGGTTTTCAACTCATCATTTTGAAATGTTTGCACACTCTGTATGCATTATTTTCATCTTATTTGAAGAATAAAAAAATGTTTTAAAGGAAAATATAATGTGTGTTTGGTAAATATTAAGGTAGTTCCGTATCAAATTTAATGATTTCCAAAGCACACGAATTTCTACACAATTTCGTATAGCCTTTTATAGCCAATGGCGATAAAGTGTTAAGCCCGGCGATAGGAACTATAGCCCGACTGTATACTTCTTTAGCTTCGTATAGCCCGGCTATATGATTTTCAATAGCCTTCTTTAGTCGGCTTTAAGAATCCTATGGTATTTTGAAACGCAGCTCCTATCGCCGATTTTTACCAGGGTCTATATCCAAGTCCAAGCCTTGGACTTGGGGTATACATAGCACAAAGCTTTTGAAGCTTCATCTCAAATTATTCTGCATGAATATTCCTTCCTATTTGATGGCGGAACATTTGAAATGCTCAAAATAAAGATTTCGGTGATTCCAGATTTAATTACAACGATTCCCAAAGCATTACAAATTGAAAATAAATTAGACGGCCAAAGAGCGGGAACACGTAAGTACCTCCGCTCGCAACGACGTCGCAAACTTTTTTTCATACTACTCAACGTTACTTCTAGAAAGGAAACTGTCCTGATTTTTTCTCTCGGTTCGCCAAATTTTCTTTATTTTCAAACTGTGAATATGGCTCCTTCTTTCTCGAAAAAATAAAATGGGATTGGAAATGTTGAAACATCGCAATGGAGATACAAGGTTTTGCACTTTTCCCATCGAAATGGAAAAAAATAATGCAAGTATCAACTTGACAGGAAACAAACGGTTTCTCTACAGCAAAAGGGCTTTCACCTTTCTGTGCACTAAAAGGTGATAGGGAGATCAATTTTGTATATTTCAATAGGTATATATCGATGACCAAAGTGCAAAACCACGGAACACCATAGCAATGTTTCAAAATTTCCGCCATTTTATTTATTTGAGAGAGGGGAAAAAAAGTTAACTGCATAGGTACCTAGTTTGAAATGTATGCAGAATATTCTACTGACAGAGAAGAAAACCAAGAAGGTTATCAAGAAATTACGTTGGCTAGTATTCCAAAGGAGAAAACCGAGTATGAGAGGATGTTTGCAACGTCTCGATGGAGATACGTCACGGAAAAAATAAAATTGCTAAAAAAAAGTGACTGCAATTTTTCAACGTAGATTTCACAACACAAAAATGCTACTTTAATTACCACGAGGGTGGTTAAAGTAGCATTTTTGTGTTGTAAAATCTACGTTGAAATAAGGTAGTCACTTTTTTTTAGAGATTTAATTGCTGAATCAGCGATTTTATTATTTCCGTGTCGTTTCGCACTTCGGCCATCAATACACACTCGGTTTTTCAGGCTTTAGCAGTGCCTCTTCTGAGGAAACGAAGAGAAAGTGATGGATCATAATGAGGTAGCACTGTAAAATTCCTGGGGATTTGTGCACGAAACTCAATGATTTAAAATATCTCTGATTTAGGGTAGTAGAAACATTCAACTAGTGACCCCTTAACAACATTCACTACCAACTGATGAACTTCCATGCTTAATTTCCTTTAGAGGAAATGATCAAACCAACACTGCCGTGCTGAGGAAAAACGCCGTAGGAACATTCGAGAGTTGCCCTTTACTTAAATAAAACGTTTATTATTTTTGTGGAAAGTTATGAATATTTTTCCTTGAAATTTTCAGGCACTCTGGGTGAAACCTTCAACAACATTATCTGAAAAATTGGATGAAAAATATTTAAAAGTTTACAAGGAGATTCATGTTTCAGAATCGGAAATTTGGCAACGCCTGAAGGTTTATACGGCGTTTTTCCTTAGCAGAACACACACCCAGGATGCAAAAAGTGTAAGATTTTAGATTGCATTCTTAAAGACGGAGAAAACTTCTAAAACCTGAACCATAATTTAAAAATTGAAGTGCTGGATCCAGAAAGACCACTTCTACTTAGCGGTGTAGCAGAATCTCTATTACTAATTTAAATTTCATAGAAAAAATGAAAATGTGATTTTTCTGGAATTTATCAATCACAGTACCTATTGTGAAATTATGAAGAATATGCACTAAGTTTCGACGAATTTACGTGCATTTACTTCTCTTAGGATTGATAAAATGTTAGCGGAGATTCTAAGACCGCAGCCAAGAAGTGCCCATCCTCCTCGATCCCGGCGTTTTCATTGTAAACATTGTTTTGAACATTTTCTTAAAATTTCGGGTCTTTGTTTTGTATTGAATGAAAAAAAAAAATTGGAGACTTTCTTTCGGCCAAAAATTCACGAGGAAAAAATAATCTGCATTCCTGCCTTGACTCTTGTTCATTCTCAGTTTAGATAACTTAACTCTATGACTTTGCTTAGGTGCCAGTAAAGCAATAAGTATATTTTCTGATTAAAACAGGCAAATTAAGAAATATAAAATTTATTAATTACTTAAGTAAAGTACACAAACAGTAATAAATTGAACAAAGCAATATGATCTGATTCAAAAATAAACCAAAACTAATTTCAATATGAAAAGTGCGGACTTTCCCTGAAAGATTATTGAAAAAACCCAGATGAAATATTTGAGAGGGAAACACACCCTATATGACACGACATCCATTCACTTTCTTAATATTTGAGGAAAAACAATGGGCATTTTCTTCTGGTAAATATTCTGTACTTAAAAATTCTTGGAGACTTGGATTTTTAGCTGTTATGTTACAGAACCTTACTCCGAGGTAACCCTTAATTACACCTGGGAAAATACTTGACACTCTATGAAGGACCTGTCTCGTTAAGGACCGTTTACTGCCTTTGGAAGGTCAAATTAGAAAATACCTTTAATTGTACCCCTGTAAACTGTCTGAGTTAGCACTTAAGGAAGTCCAATCCGTAACTTCTCCATTGAAAATTGGATGAGTGGAAAATTTTTACACTTCCCTTCTAAGGTCTCGTGGTTTTTGCAAAAGTGACAGTTTTCTTGTGTGCGATGAAATACTTGAATATCTAAGTATCAATACATCGTGAAAGTACTTTCATAGTTTATACAAAGATTGCTTGCTAATTGCATACAAAAAAACATAATTAGAGAAGTCGCTTCAAGGATCCTCTCTTCAAACAAGAAACACAGAAACCAGAAAAATTCGGAAAAACATCATTTGTGGCACAAAAAAAATAATAATATACCATGAAACCACAGTTGGCCGAACTAAATAAAAGGGTAAAACTTTGCCATAATGCTCCGATTGAAAATATCATCTTCCACACTGGGCACTTGAGTGTTAATGAAAAAGAAATTTCAAGTAAGTGTGACTCACAAGAGCGCAAAAATCGACGGCATAATTTGTTTCCTTTTCTTTTCTTATTTTACCTTAAAGATTACAATGAGCAGCTTCTTTCCAATAATTGACGCTGATCTCATTTAGTTTAACACCAACAAAAAAATAGAAAAACCTTTTGTACAAACTATAGCTGTTGGGTAGCCCTTCAGCTCTGAAAGTCAGAGATAAAACTACGTTTAAAACATTTTTTAAAAATAATACTGAAGGGGATTAAATGATAGAGGGACAATTATTTAATGAGCTTTTACTATAGTTCATGCAAAACACAAGACCTATCTGAAAAAGTGTGTAATTTTGAGCATACATCAAGAACAGACTAATGCTGAAAAAGGAACCACTGGTTGTGATTAGGGTTGCTGCAGTTTTGTTTTTATTTCAATAGGTACTGCCTGGCAAGCAGGAAAAATTGTCAGGGCGGTTTTTTTCAAAATTTATAACATGTGTTTTTACTGTAGAGTAGATATTTTAATTTCACTAACGCTACAGAAGGAGAAAACAAGCCCTTAAAGGCAAGTCCATTGGTGAGACTTTGTTTTGAACAACTTTCAACATTTTCAGCTTGTTAGGTACTCAGCAGTGATACAAATTTTTCATTTGCATTATCGGCTGAGTCCCTAGTTTTGAAGGCACGAATATTTCACACATTGTAAAAAAATTGATTCCCTAATCTTTCCTTAGTAGTAAGCAAAAAGACACCTTGACAAGGAATAGGCCTGAGAGATGCAGTTCAGGCAACACCATAAAGCGCCAAGAAACAGCTAGTTAACAGCTCCTCACCTAGCATCAATGCACAATTCACAGGAAGCTTTAAGGTGATTCGTTCTGAGTTCTTGGCATCACCTGACTGACAGGCAATACACATTGCATCGATGAGTCAAAAATCTTGACAGATTTTGACTTCATAATAAAAAAAAGAAGGATGATAACCCTTGCACATTAATCGAAAGAGTCATTCTCAAAAATGGAAAAAAATGCATAGTTCGGAATAATGAAAGCAGAATTTGGCTTCGAAAAAAAGTCAATTCAGTAATCAACCTCAGTATTGGATGCAACTTTTTTTTGGTAGCCAAATCGTGCTTTCATTTCTCTGAATTCTGCAATTTGTTTGTTTTGGAGAAAGATTCTTTAGATGTATGCGCGAAGGGTACCAATGGTACCTTCCTTTTTATGCTGTTACTTCAGTCAAAGCTATCACTAGTTTATACTTACTTAATTGATGCGATAAATTGCATGCCAGTTCCACGATGACAAGAATCCGAGACAAATCACCTTAGAATTCCCTTTTCACAAATTGGTCAGATGTACTTGCATGGAATATGAAATGATATCAGGAGGAAATATCAAGAGGCTATATTACAACTAAAGTTAATTACACCCTTGACATAACATTGAAAATTCAAGAGTTCAGCGGAGGGATTTGGCTTAAACATTTAAAAATAACTCTGTTGCAAAAATTATAACCCATTATATGATCTAAAATCGAATGCATTACTTGAGAAACAAAAGAAACATGGGTTGACGAGTCAAATCACTGGCAGAAAATAAATTACCTACTGACAATTTTGACATTGAGAAAGCATTGAAAATTATCATCTGCTTAGTCTATGTAGGTCTGATCGACCTACATAGACTAAGCAATGATGTCAGGGGTCAGTAGAATACATTAGAACTGAAGGTAATTTTACACTTGCCATAGCAATGAAAATTCTTAAAATATTTAAAAATAACTTTTCAAAGGGAAAACATGAGTCCATTCAAGATCAGACAGTGGACCCATTACTTGAGGCTTGAGAGACGATTGAAACATGGGTTATTATGATACAATCTGGGCTGAGAAATAAACTGATCGCAAATTTTGTGATTGATAGAGCTTTGAAAATTATCATCTCAGTTCTGGTAACTGTCCAACAACATTAGGCTCTCACTCTGTGCAAAATTTAAAAATAAATTCAATTATCATGAAGACAAAAAACTCAAAAGTTCAAGTTTTGATAAGGCAGAATGAGAAAGCACACCACTGGACTCACTTAATCAAGTAGCGCATCTTCTTTGTGAATTTTCTTCATGATCGGCTGGCACTTCTCCTGGATATCTTGCAACTTCCGTTTATATTGTCCTAGACCAGCTTTAGGATTTTTCTTCAGCCAATCCCAGATTTTATCGCTTTCCTCTTTCATGCTGCTCTTATCAGCCTGGCTGAGCTGAGATTCTGCTACTTTAAAGTCCTGCATCATTTTGTAAGTATAATCCTCTAGTTGATTCCTAGCTCTGGATCGAGCTAAATGCTTCTCATCTTTTTCTTTAAAACTTTTAGCCTCTTTGATCATTCGTCTGATGTCTCCTTTGGATAAGCGACCCTTTTCATTAGTGATCGTAATTTGTTCAGATTTGTTAGTGCCTTTTTCTTCAACTGAAACCGAAAGGATTCCCTCTTCATTCAAGTCAAACGAGACATCTACCTTAGTCACACCTTTGGGTGCTCTTTTGATACCTTGCAGTAAAACCTTACCCAGCAAATGATTCTCAGTGGCTACTGTGCGCTCACCTTCATAGATATGAATGGCCACTGATTCCTGGTTATCCCCTACGGTAACAAATTCTCTTCTTATTTTACATGGAATCCTGGTATTTCTCTGAATGATAACACTGAATATGTCGTTTTTGGTGAAAACACCAAGGGAAAGAGGAGTAACGTCGCGCAACACTATATCCTTAATTTCTAAGTCTTCATTTCCACTCAGTGAAGCAGCTTGCACGGCAGCACCATAAGCAACAGCCTCATCTGGGTGAATCGAGTGATTCAAGGTTTTACCATCAAAGAAATTCTGGAGCAATAATTGGACCTTTGGAATTCTCGTGGAACCTCCAACAAGAACTACATCATCAATTGCTTCTCTTTCTATTTTAGCATCTGTTAAAGCTTGCTCGACTGTGGTCAATGTTCTTTGGAACAAATCAGCACAAAGGTCTTCAAACTTAGGTCTTGTGACTTGTGTGTAAAAATCAATACCGTCAAATAAACTATCAATCATGATGTTGGCTGTTGGTGCTGATGACAAGGTACATTTGGCTCGCTCTGCAGCAGCCCTCAATCTACTTAGTGCTCGAGGGTTGGATGCAAGATCTTTGCTGTGCTTCAGCTTGAATTCTTCGATCAAATAGTTCATCAGAAGGCTGTCAAAGTCTTCACCACCCAAATGAGAGTCACCAGCAGTCGATTTCACTTCAAATAAAGAACCTTCATCGACCGTCAGGACAGAAACATCAAAAGTACCGCCGCCCAAATCAAAAACCAGGATGTTCCGCTTGCTCTTCAAGTTTTGATCTAGTCCATATGCAATGGCAGCTGAAGTGGGCTCATTAATGATTTGCAAGACATTCAACCCTGCAATAGCTCCAGCATCTTTTGTGGCCTGTCTTTGAGAGTCATTGAAATATGCTGGAACAGTAATTACAGCATCAGTGACTTTTCTGTTTAGGTAGACTTCAGCTGTTTCTTTTAATTTTGACAGGACCATGGAACTAATTTCCTCAGGCGCAAATACCTTATCCACTCCTTGGTACTCAACACTCACTTTAGGATTCCCAGCATCGTTGATTACAGTAAAGGGCCAATGCTTCATATCAGCCTGCACTAGAGGATCATCAAATTTGCGACCTATGAGACGTTTCACATCAAATATGGTGTTCTTCGGGTTGATAGGAGCTAGCATTTTGGCAGTATCTCCAATCAATCGTACTTCTGAAAAGGCAACGTAGCTGGGTGTTACTCGATTACCTTGTTCATTGCTTATTACTTCCATTTTACCATTCTGCCAGACACAGACACAGGAATGGGTGGTTCCCAAATCAATTCCGATCGCTCGTTTTTCCATGATAATGATATTGTATTCTTCAGTCCGTATGTGCTGATAGCTGTTCAAGTAAAGTAATTCACTGACTCATAAGACTACGATCAAAAAAAGGCAAAATAATTCAAAGAATTTTGATTATTCACCGGGCGTGATCATTGAAAGGATCAGTGCACACTTTCGACCGCACACGTGCAGAGCGGAGACGAAATAACTAAAACTAAAAGAAAGGGTAAAGAACTGTAGGAGACTACACGCACATTGCAGAGCAAAAACCAAATCTCTGATCACAGGGAGACAAAAACAAGACACGGCAGTTATCAGTAAACGAAACGAAGGAAAGCCGGCAACAAAGCGGATGACGCACCGCGCGTGGCGCGCGGTTTAAATTACCGCGTACTTAGATGGAGGAGCACGACTTTCACAAGATGGAATTTTCGGATTGAAAAATTACAAACGAAGTTTTTTTATGCGTCAAGGATTTGCGATTCAACTGCTAGAATCTACTAAAGGTCCAGCTACACGATCAAATTGAGCCATCAAATTGGGCTTCTCATTGGTCGCATTCAGAATGCGACCAATGAGAAGCCCAATTTGATGGCTCAATTTGATCGTGTAACTGGACCTTGATAGCACTTCATTTGTCAAGGACTTTACATTTTGGCTCTTTAAGGTGTCATAAAGGGTTAATTATTCGGAGTGAAAAATGTTTAAAAAAATCCTTAAACCCATGCCAGGAGTAGAGTACCTGCATGGCGAGAGTATGGACCAGAGACAAATAGTATGGACAGATCGCTCCATGGAGGTCTTAGGGCCCAAAAGTGCAGCCATGCTTCTAACCAACTTCTAACACACAAAATTTAACTGCCAGTCTGCAAATTCCAATTCTAACCAAGACGGCCAAGAATGTACAGAATTGAGCATTCTTCTGCAAAAATGAGTTTTATGCAAAAACTGAGTCAAATACGTGCTTTATAAACGGCAGTTGGTAACAATAGTATTAGGAAATCGTTCTGGATAATTGAAATTCATAGGTTGGCTGCATTTTGGGGCCCTAACTTTATTCGCAGAAGCATCGGTGAAGGCCTGATGAATTTTCGGAGTTTCACATCAGTTCATACTCTCGCTAGTCGCTATACAGGCACAGGTGCTCCAGCTAGGAGGAAGAAGATCCCCGCCTTCCCCTAAAAGTTTCATAAAATAAAGTAAACCTCAGAAAAAGCTACACTGGAAAATAGAGCTTCGCAGACATTCCACAGTAGGACAAGCACTTCGAGAAACTATCTTAAAATACAACTTTTTCATCAAATATTGATCCTAATAAAATTCCAAGTGCATAGATGGGTCTTACATGGCACAGAGTTGGTATGATTGGCGCCCAGAAAAATATTCTTACGACAATTTTAAGTTATTACTGTTTTTTGTCGTCATGTACCTACATTAAATCATCTGTTTTGTTCAAAAACATTTCTTCAACAAAATTATTTATTATTTGAATCAAAAATAATTATTTCTAAAAATCTGTCTCGGTTTTAAACCTCACTAGCGGATTACACCTCCTGTTCGCTATGCAGCCCCCTCTTGCCAGCAACATTGTTGAATCCTGTCACCTCTCACCTGCTCTTGCTTCAACAAGAGAAAACTGACAATTTTAAAATGTGATCGTCCCACAGTACTCGCAATCTCAGGCTAGGCAACTAAAAATTGACTTGCTGGTGCCACTGTTCAAGGGAGCATCTAGCAAGGATTTTTGCATGAAACCCTCTGGAAAATAGTTAGCCGAACAAAAGTTCAGTAACTGTGAGAAGACACAGAACGAGCTGAAGGAAAATTTTATCAACGTTATCCCCAGGACAAATCACAAAAACATCATCAGCAGAGGTGCCATAGGTCCAGTCTTCATTGTTTTGTCCAGTGCTTCTGAGACTGGTGTGCAGCAACTGGCGATGTTATATGCGAATAGTCCTAGCTCTGGGCTTCGCTCACAAAATATAGGTGTAAAATTGAATTGATAAAAACCAGGAGTTTCATTAACTTGATTTGTTATGATCTTAGTCAACTGAATTTGCCAAAATTCACGAAAGTAATTATTGGTATACTTAAATTAATAAATCCTGAAAACCGCTCATAACCCACGATTCTTCCACGAGCCACCTTATTATAAATCGCTGTTTGGTCAACACTTGGTTCGCACTTTCGACAAACAAGAGGCTAGGAAAACACCGATCAAGGGTTGACTTTAGCGGCATTCCAGTACATAGCGACTCTATTGTGCTCTAGAATTTAGCAACACATCTTAAATCCACTTTTGGTCTTTGAGGCTATAGGACTCCTCAGTGTAGTAAATGTGCACTGAGAGAGGTATATTGCGCTTCTACAACAAGAAAAATTTTATCAAAAACTAAAGCGCATGGTACGTGATGACAAACATTTTACTGCAGCCCAACCACAGACTTCTACGGCTCCCAGCGAAGGAAGCATAAGTTTGCTCCATAGCAGTTCCATCGCTAGAATTTTTGCGACCACGGACCTCGATTGAACGGCAATGGAAAGGCATGCGATGTTAAGCAATTAACTGAAAGAGAGGAAATTGTTTTCAACCAATCACCGTCCTTGATGCATATATCGAAGTAGAAGAAGCGGTTTGGAAAACATTAATGGCGGGAGGTACTCCTCAATTTTGATAGAATCGAGCAGTTCCTTCGGCCCATGAGGGATGGAACAGCTTTCTAAAGGCTGTTTCCATAGACATAGAGTAATAAGGCTACGCCTGAAAGCGTTAGCTATATTATTCTATGCCATAGATCAAGGTCTGTGGTCACCTCCGAAGGGTACATATTCCATTGAAATGGAGCCTAGTTCTATCAATATCGATGGAAGCGAGAAGTCTGACATCAGGCTGCTGAACATATTATCAATAATAAATTTACAGACCTTTATATACGCCGACAGCAGGAGCAGAAACAAATGAAAGATGGAACAGTTATGGGTTTGGGTGGGTTGCTTCGGTGCCTTGGTAGCCGCACAGGTGTGTCCGCACATACAGAAGCCTATGACAAGTAGCTGCATTAATCACTCCGATAAAAATTTATACCGAAAACTACCTTTCTTACGGTGCGTTGAAGTAACAATTCGACATGAATAGAGACAGAATATTTGCCACTCAAACGATTGTGTGGCGATGGCGATACGCGAGAAAATAAACAAACACAACACTCCTGAATACCTGTACCTGATAAGAAGGTATTACCAGGCATAATACCTGATTTTGATACAATACCGACATGAGGGTGGGGAGCAGAGGGTGAGGCAAGATGGCGGAAGTTACTAAACTAGAACCATGATGCCAAATTGCCAACTTTCGTATAAACGAGTGTCAAGAACTAATCGAGAATTTTGATCAAAGACATTGAATCATGATTTTGATCAAGATTAGCTACCTACTAATAAAATATGTCTCTATTACTGATAATTAATGGGAAAAATAGGTGCTTTAGCAGGCATAATTTTTCTGAATGCAAATGTAAGTCGCCGAACTAGCCGAACTTAGTTACCTAAAACACTGATCTGGTAAAATACCGAAAGTCCTGGTAAGTATGACGTCATTCATCGCAAACACTCAAACAGTTAAAACCTGGCTTTTGCAAAAAGGAGCGTTCCAATGTCGCTAAGATTGTGCAAATTTCTGTACCCTGCAAGTGTAAATTGATCATCTGTATGTCACAGGTATCGAAATACCAGTAACTTTTTCTTTTCTTAACTTATAAATTTTCTATACATATTCTGTTCAGTCATTAGGAATGGCTGGATTTCGTTCATTTTTGTCTTTTTCAGTCCTATCTCCCAGCCATCACCTAAAATCACCATACTTTAATTACTGAACTTGCAACTGATAGCTCCACTGATTATAGCCAGCCAATAGCGTGTAGACTTGTTGTCTCACCACCTGTGACGTCAGCAAGTCTATAAAAGCTTGCGCTGCCCTAAAATCGAGGTCCATTCCATCCCTGACCCATGAGTACTCATGTTACATAGAGAAAAAAAAGGAGGTGTTTGCATTTCGGGCATCTTGGAATTTTTCATAGAGTATCTATAGCTTTGATGACGTCATTGGGTACAGCGACGTTTTTATCCTGTCGATTTTCTTGGAAATGGTGTAATTTAAGGGAAAAAGTCATTCTATAAAAAGTGCTTGAAATTAAATAAAGAGTTGATTTAAGTAAAAAAATCGGACATTATGGTCCGTTTTTACAGCGTCAACATAACCCTCAACGAGCGTCTTGTTTACATTGATGACGTAGGTGGGTACAAATCCTCAAGATGCAAACACCTCCTTTTTTTTCTCTATGCTCATGTTACGCCCTTTACTCTTTTTGCGTATTTTATTCTAAGTGTGACTCTGTAAATCTTTCAATTGCAAAATTCTTTTAATACAATCTTTCGGCCCTTCAAATATTTTCTTCATTTCTGCTCTCCCACAATCTTTGCTCTCCCACAATCTCTCTAGTCAAACTCCAAACTCTAACATGGTGCCAAAACCATGTCATATTTATTACATGGTGCCTTCACCCTGGTGCTATGTCCAACTCTTATTCATTACACTGTACATACAAGTTTTATCTTTATTCTCAAAAAACTATGAATTCAAGATAGAAATCACCTTTTTAAATCTGATTTTTTTCATTATTTCAGTAATTTTATAGCGAAGAATTTATGTTGCATAAACCTAGCAACATTGGAATGCTCTTGGTTCCTTTTTGCAAAATGTAATCCAAGCAAGACCATCAGCGTACCCAGGGCCGGATTTACATTTTTAGCGCCCTAGGCTAAACTTAAGGTGGCGCCCCTAAAAGTAGGCGCTCTCGTGGGGGGCGGGGGGGTGGTCCCCCTGACGCTCCTCCCCTCCAGATCAGAAGAAGGGTGTTAGGAGTCCGGAAAATGTTCAAATTCACCTTTAAAAAAACACCTTTGTCAACCACAATTTGTAGAATCTGTGTCCCAAAATACCATACACTTACGGCCGGCTGTAAGATTTCCAATTGCTTCTATATCCGGCAACACAATTTCTTATAGCCTTTTATAGCCGATGGCGACTAAGCGACAGCCTGGCGATAAAGTGTATGCTAAACGTTACTAATTACGGATGCTAGGACTTAGTGAATTTTTGGACTACCGCTCTCTTTTTGGGCCGTAGTATCTTGATTTATTTTGCGAGGAAAGCTCCGTGCTTTTGATGGATGCCTGCCATTCCTAACATGTTGGAGCGCCTGCAATTTTGTATGATACTGTTCAATACCTCTGGTGTGAAATAGTTGCTTCAAGCGCCGTGGTAGTCTGCGGCGCGGCGCGACGGGCGGGCAGCCAGCGCGAAACGCGCATTGGCGCCTTCAAACCTAACAGGGAAACTTCACGCATTGCGCAATGCGTGAAGTATCCATGTTAGGTTTGAAGGCGCCAGTGCGCCGCCACTCCGCTTTGTGTTAGGCTCTAATATTTAAGCTCGTGGAGTCAGCGTTTTTCAACTCATAACTTTGAAATGTTTGCACACTCTGTATGGATTATTCTCATTTTAATTGATGAAAAAAAATATGTAGTAAAGGAAAATATAATGTGTGTTTTGTGAATATTAAGGTGATTCCGTACAAACTTAAGGATTTACAAAGCACACGAATTTCTACACAATTTCTCCACCAGAGCCATTTTTTTTTCATTTGTTTGCCTTTTATAATCGATGGCGAAAAAGCAACACCCAGGCGATAAAGTGTAAAGCCCGACTATAGGAACTATAGCCCGCCTGTATAATTTTTTATCGCTTCGCATAGCCCGGCCGTATGATTTTCTCCGCATTCTACGGCCAGATATATGATTTTCTGTTGCCTTCTTTCGCCGGCTATAAGAATTCCTATGGTATTTTGGAACGCAGCGCTTATCTCCAATTTTTACCAGGGTTTTGAATAAATTCTCAAAAATTTTGCGCCCCTCAAAATGTTGCGCCCTAGGCTATAGCCTATGTAGCCTATTGGTAAATCCGGCCCTGAGCGTACCTCGGTCACTTTGCCAGGGGGGCTTGGCCCCCTCTACCACCGGTTCGTCTACGGGGGGGGGGTATGGCATACCTACCTCCCTCCCCAGAGAACGGTCCAGGGGGCCTCCCGCAGAAAATTTTAGAAATTTTAAATCTGGGTGGACACATTTAGAAGCTTTCGTGATGTAGATTTTTCATCAATTTTTGCAGAAAAATTATGTGTACTTTAATTGAACTCTTTTTGAGGCTCCTGTCACGCAGATTTTCCATCCATTTCTGCGGAAAAATTACAATTATTTTTTTACTATAGCAAAAAATACTTTCAAATTGATGCATTTGATAGATCCTGAAATATTTTGAAGTTTGAAATCTATTTGGACACATACTGAGGCCTTCATGATCGAGATTTTCCATCAATTTCTGCAGACAATAATGCTTTTTTTTACTTTCAGCACAAAATACTATCATATTCTTGTATTCAACACATCTGGAAAATTTAAACTCTATTTGGACCCATTTTGAGACTTCCTTGATGAAAATTTTAAAATATACCAACTGAATTAACGTGGTATTTTCATCTCTACATCAAGAGAGATAATCAACCTCGACAAAGGTCTTTTCCCTCATCTCTCCTCCAACAGAAGTCCAATTCCCAAAACTACAATTTTTACTACATATTCTCTATGATGAAACGAATTTTAAGAGGACAAAATTATGAATTAATACGGATATATTTTGATAAGTTCTTACTTGAAAATTTTTAGTTCTTGTTTCTCCCTCCCCAAAAGAGATTATAAATCTCCAGGAAGATACAGAACCTCATATTTTACCTGATAACTGCTGCGATTCAGCAAAATTTAAGCCACATGGGCTATACACGGTCTTCTTACGAGGCTAATGAAATAAATGATCTTTGAGCTCCCACAATTCACATTTGGCTAGCTTCACCTGTCCACTCATACAAGTTTTGATAAGACTTATAGGACACTCTGTGTAATACAATCACAGTGGACATATTCTTTGGAAGTGAAAGTGACTATCGAATGCATAAAGAATATATTTCTGTACATCGTATGTTTTTTTGTTTTTTTTTTCCTAAAAAGCTAGGACCTGTGTAATAATGATATAAAATAAATGAATGAATCAATTAAGTAATGAATAAATTACTCAATCAAAATGGAAAAATATTCAAAGATAGAGATTGCAGCAGGTCGATTATTGAAATTGATAGACAAAGCTATCTAGACAAAGAGGACAAAAGAGATATGGAGGAATCCTATTGATGGAAGCGGGTGGTTGCGATAGACAAAGGAGGTAGGTTTGATTGACTGAGGCAACCCACAAGAGATCCTATAGTTAGTCCATCATTTTCTCCCTTAATCTATAGGAACGACACATTTCAAACGATAGGATTACTTCATAATCCCTGTGTCTTCTTTGTCTATCATTATGTCTATAAATTTCAATAATCAGTTTGCAGAGGTGATTAGAAGAGAAAACACCAGAAATAAAAAATATAAAAACATAATTTATTATCGTAGGAATAAATTAATTTGAATACTTGACAGAATACAAGAAACTTTGCGAAGACAAGAACAAAGGACAAGACAGAGGAGGTAGTAAGCAAACGCAATTGTATCCTTTTCTTTGACTTAAGTATGTCCACAGACTAGCGGCAGGGGTGACGAAATAAACAGAAAAATAGAAGCATATTACAAACCATAACTTAAAATAACGTTAAGAGGTTTACAATGTTTATCAGGCTAAACAGCTGGCAAAGTTTAAAGACTTCCACAGAACTGAATGTAATTTAGTTACTTGTAAGATAGTTGAATATAAGTCTGAGCTTAGCTCTGAATTGAGAATATTGTTTCTGCACACTTCAGGATAGATTTAATTTTGTCCACAGGATATTAGAACGAAATGATCGTGCAAATATACTCTCTGACTGTTAAAAAGGTCTGAGATGTTCAATCTTTTAATCTAAAAACAAAAGGTCATCTCAAACTGAGGGCATAGACATTACAGCCCATTTTCACAAATAAATATGTAAATGAAAAGGACACAGGTGACGATGAAAAGTATTTTGCCATTTCTTCTACTCAAGGGTGCCATCTTCAAACAATCTATGATGAGGAGTGCTCTATTGGTATTACTGGAGTCTCATTGAAGTGTTTTTTTTTTTCATTTTGACGTAGGTTTTGTTCGGTGACCTCGCAGCTATCACCCAAGGAGAGAAGAAAAAAAGGGCATCCCCAGTACTGCCGTGCAACGCAAAAACGCCGGAAACGCCATTTTACATCTTTTGGAAACAATGCATCATAGCCGAAAAACTTGTGTACCTTGGGACAATATTTTTACAGAATTATTTTGCAAATACTATCAAGAACTTAACCTGAAAATTTAATATGCGAGGGTGAAACGGTTTTTACTTTACAAAGTGTTAAGTTCCAAAAACCCAGGGAAAATTTTGATGGATTTACAGCGTTCTTGCTAAGCACGGCAGAGTAAGCTCCAATTAATTTCCAATAGAGCACCCCTACCTCCGATTACAAGACAAAATCTCACACGGTAAGCTTATAAATGTAAGCTAATCTACAAGAGAATACTTAATGAATAACAATCTGAGCGGCGACAAGTCCAAGTCATCTATTTGACAAAGTGTACAGTTACGAGATTAGATATCTAAGCAATCTGAGTTTAAGTTGTCTAAATGAAAATTAAACGTCTCAGACAATTTTGAAACATTCTAATGAAATTATACACTCATATAAAAAGTTCATTTAATAAATGACACTACGGTAAGATGAGGTTATCTGAATAGGATGAGTTCACATTGAGAAAGGGGGGGGGGGAGGTTGAGAGAACCTTAATTTTTCGGACTATTTTGCCGAAACAGGTATCGGGAGAATTCCACACAAGCAAGTAATGATTTGCTCACAATTCACTGTCTTTTGACTGAAAGATTTATTTGGCTAGTGCCAGCCTCATCAATAAGTTCTCACCTATTTGGATCGCGTTAAACAGAAAGGAACCAAGCCAACTATTGCCAAATTTAATTGGCTGATTTAATTTTTTACATGAAAACAGTTGTGCGGATTTTTGTGTAAATTTCAGTGAATTTTCTCCACAGTACGAAGCAAATTCCTTGCCATTTTCAAAAGGATCCGCACAGACGTTTTCTGGTAAAAAATTAAATTGCCCAATTAAAATTGGCAATAGCTGATGTGGCTTGGTTCCTTTCTGTTAAACGCGGTCCATTTTCAACTCATAAGATACCTCTGAATGTAAGTTCCTTGATAATGGGAGCTAAGATGGGGATTTTTTTATTGTGCTGATAAGAGCTAACATTTGACACATCTTCAGGTTGATTATGGACTTCTAGGAAAAAATAATCCCTCAACTTTTATAGGGACTGAAATTCAGAATTGTCTATTTGGGTGAGCATTTAGTTCCTCTCATCAAAACTTGAATCTTCATTCTGACGGTTGTACAAACTCAAGCAACAGAGAAAAAATCAAGCAAGAATGAAAAAGTCTAGTCTTTCAGCTAGATTCCCTGATGTTCATGAATGAAAATTGAATTGATTCTTTGAATTAGAGTGGAAATTCATTGGAGTGTTTCAAAATTGCCACAGGCAGTTTGTTCTGGTACCATTGGAGTACCATTAAAATCTCCCTGAAAATTTTAAAAAATTTGGTTTCAAATAATACGAAATGTTCCATTTTTTCCCACAGAAAATTCAAAAATATCGTAGCAAATAGTTTTTACAGTCAACAAAAGAATGAAAAGATGTTGAGTTTGTCTTGCAGAGATTTCAATTTGTTTGGAAATAAAACTTGCATCATCTTATTTTTTTAAAAGTAATGTATTTTCCGAAGAAAATACACTAAAAGGGAAAACAGAGTATTCCTCATTAATATCATTCAGCAATATTTGCTCTCAGCAAATGCATTTACAGGTGAACAGTGGAAAAAAATGTATTTATTTGCTTCCATTGCTAGATGTCATTTACAAAAATGAGACAAAGGGGAACGATAGATATTTCAGTGCAACCAGGAAATTCTGCAAGTCTCTATAGTTATCTTTCGCTACAACTGAGAATTTTCCATTCCCTTTACTTAGTGAAGTATGAATACAACTCAGAGCTCATATTTTCTCGATTGCAAAAAAAAAAAAAAAAAAAAAAAAAAAAAAAAAAAAAACAATTGAAATTTCAACAAAGAAGATCAAATTTGTTTAGAGCCAATCAAGTGATCTCTTACCAAAAGAAATTTTGGATCGAAAGCTTTTTTCAAAAATAATATGCAATACTCTATTATGAGAAATTCTTCCCCCAAACAAGCTTCTTGCAGTGGGATCCATTTTGGTTTAAAAGTACGAAAAGTAAGGAATAAATTTTGATGAAATCGATTTCAAAAGTATTATTAGTACTTTCGGGTAAATGTCTAGACCCATATTTTGTGGATTAGACATTTGAGGCTAGACATATCGACAGCGTAAGTCCGCAATCACATATCTCCCCTTTGCGGTGTCTAAAAATCTCCACCTCCATGTTACTTTTTTAAAGGAAAGCAGATTGACATCATTCCTTGAAGTTTATGCAGAATTTTCTTTGCACAGAAAAGAAAATCACAGCAGTTGTAGAGAATTGCTGCTGAGTAGTTTTCCGTTTAAAAATAAAGTATGACAGGAAGTCTGCCAAAGTCAAACCGAGTTATGTGATTGCCGACTTACACCGTCGACATAGACTTTAACACATAGACTTTGAGGCTCTGCAGAATTTGTAATCCCGAACATTTTGAGACTCATGATACATAAAATTGACCTTCTCACAAAAAATAACCGAAAAATACTCAATTTCGACTTTGGTAAGTTACAAAGTGTTAAAATATTGCCCCACGCACTTTGTGGCTAAGTCTGCATTACACTGCTATATAAGAGCAAAAATATGGTGAAGTACAAAAATTCAAATTGATGTAATCGACAGAAAAAAAATTTGCTGCAACTGGGATGTTACAAAATCCAAAAAAATTTAATTTTTGTAAGAGCATTCACTATAATTAAAATTGAGTTGTGAAAATTAACAAAAAGGATTCCTTCATTTCTTCATATTTGTAGATGATAACCTGATTTTGGGTGGATCATTCCACGCCACACTGCACAATACCATGAGTCAGAGCAACGTTCATGCAAATTTCCGACAACCCATCATCTACAGTTACAGTGATGTTCACATACGTAACAAATTAAGATCAGATGTAGCATATTCCATGTCAGGCTCCAGGTTTACAAGGCCGTATGATAACGCCCTACCAGTTCCCTCTACAATTAATCGACAAAAGTCTTTGCTTACACATAATATCAATCCCCACTTTATGTGACGAAGTTTGTAAGGACCACCTGAAGCTGTTTATTCTGTAAGCAAATATTGATCAAGATAGTTTAAACTCTGCTTTGATGTTAATGTAGTCACTTTGATTATTGTTACGAAACTACCTAAAAATTAGGCCATCATGGGAGAAATGGTTTGGAGAAAAAGGCGGTACAAGGGTTTAATAGTGCTTTTGAAATTATGAGAATCAGCTTCATTACAATCTCATTTTATAGGAGTTTGATTAATCCAAAATGTGACTTTACAGTTGCCACTCAGATTTTTGACAAGTCGAATGGTGATCTAGCAATATTTTTTTCGTGATAACATCACTTTCAAGGGGTATGAAAATTCTTGGATGACATTTTATAAAAAAATCAATGGTAATTAGGGGCAACTTTGGCCCAGCATCAAAAAATTCATGAGGAGGGCTCCGTTTGCACCTCTTGAGTGTCTCCTCAGAGGGGCATTTGAAAAAACTGAGATAAGAGAGGGGGGAGCATTGGAAAAAAGCTTTCTAGAAGAGTTGGGCACCTCTTGGGGTTCTCTCGGGCTCCATCACTTGCCATGAAAATGCCTGATGCCTGTTTTTACATTAAGCGACTGACTTGACTCCCATATAGTGACTAACGCATTACAATACCTTATATTGGTAAAAAGAAGAGCCGTTATAAAAACATCAGCATTTATTCACCGTTACCTTCAGCGTACCTGCCAGCATACCTTCAGCGTTAAAAAAAGTTACAGCAAGACTGTTCAAAAAAAGGACAGAGCAATATGAATAGCTCAATAGAAATTCATTGTTTGACTATTCGTAAAAATGAGCAAATTTTGATCCGGTTATCCATATTCTAAGCACTCTAAAATCGTTCAGTCCTTTTTTAGGATGCTTAAAGATACAACTAAAGAAATGGAACTAAAACCTGGTTCAAGTTCAGATAACCACCATACGTTAACAAAATAAAGCAGTTAGATATCATTGAATAATCTTAAGAAACAATGTGAGTAACAGATAAAACGTGGAGGAGGGGAGGGCACTAGAAAAAAAATCCTATCAGAGGTAGAGAAATTAAAAAGTCAACATACTTTTGAAATCTGCGGGAGCGTTCATGTTTTGTATCATTTAAAATCATAATATAACTTCAGAGTACTTAACTTTTGTCCCATCGTCAAACTTTCTCTTGAAGTTGAGGGAAAAAGTCAAACTTCTCACAATATTTTCAATTCTCAACTGCAATATTACCTCCTAAAATATCATAGTTCCTGATATATTTTCTTCTCCCCTCTTGTGTCTGAGGCAACGAATTCTGAAAGTCTTACGTCATTCGTTGAAAGTCCTTAACAAAAAAAAAGTATTGCTTTGAATATAGAGAAAGATGAAATTTCAAGATAATTAAGTTTCAAAGTAATCGGCAGGTTCATTAAAGTAGGGGAAAATTCTTGGCCCAACTTCATCTGATAGTCTACTTTTCAGCAGAGATCAGACTTGAAAACTTGATACAAACTTTGGAAAAGGGGTTGCAATTTTAGTTCAAAGAAAAAAATATAAACGTTCTAACCTAACGTAGCTCCTTCATGGAGTCGGGATGGTCAGAGAAAGTTTACAATCATACAATAGAATTGCTATCGCAAGGGCATGTGTGTGAACAAGATTTTGGTTGTCAAACCGAGGATTAAGGATGTGGAGCAGTTGTTTTTCTAGAGTGTAATTGTGCTTACAGATGGAGAAAGTAAAAAAATATTCTAATGTGATCAGTCCTTCGAAGGAATGATCTTAACAAGAATTTGAATTGATGATTTTCCATAGGTGCCAACTTGAAAATAAACATTTTCAAATTGTTTCTGTCTCAAGATCTGACATTGCTTAAAAATTGCTGTGAAAAACCCAAGACCCACACTGCTCTAACTGAAAGGAATGTGAAACTGACAGAATTACCAAAGTGTTCTTACTAAAAAATCAACATGAAAATTGAAAACAATGGATTCGTTCAAATTTTTTGATAAGTCAGAGCCCAGACTTTCATAAATTAGAAACTTAATCTAACAGCGAGTCTTTTTTGAAGTTTTTTACAGAGCTTTTGGCGTCATTAGATTTTTCATCTTTTACCTTGTCTGAACTTTCAACGTTTGGAATCAATTACAAATTTATACATAACAATTTAATCGTCTACCGCAAAATTTTCCAGGGTGTTTGCAGGTAGCAGGATGGAAAATTTCTCAAATTTTTTTTGGTTTTCCTTGACCAAAATGACAAAATATCCTGCAATTTCTGAATCAACAATCCATTGACGAACAAAAGGCAGAATTTGATGTTCCAATAATATAATTGAACTTGAAACTCTCAATGCTCAAAACCAATGTTGAAGTTTTCCCAATTTTGACTGTTGTAAAAACTTACAAGGCACAGAAAATCAGGTCGTCTTTTTTACATGAGATTCTCTAGCTTTGCTGGTGTGACATTTTTCCACTCTTTTCCCACTTGTTCAGTACTGTAAACACCCTGATTTCTTGAACGAATAATTTTATTACAGAAGTATTTAGAGTGGAAAATAATCTTATCACTAAAAGGCTTGCATCTTATATATAGAATATAATTTATTTAGAGGTGTATCAAAAGCCAGCTTTGAGGAAATCTTAAACGATGTGGAAATTGTAGACTAAATGTCAAAAAACATTATCATATAGAAGTGAATATTTGGAAAAAATACAGAGTGTGGTAACGCAGAGAAAAGAAAAACAACTGCTCCCCTGAAGTGAGTTTAACTAGCAAATTGGGTGTAAAATTACGATTGAATAATTGACTAGGTTGAGAACAGAAAGTCTTTAAAAATTGCTCAACTTAAAAAGCTGCATAACATTAGGAATTTTATTGAGTCTTAAACTAAGCAGTCCGGTGCTATTACTGACTGACTAAAGGGAATTGTTTCTCGTACAAAATTCTACATTAAAGCTTGATTGTAGAAATGCAGGAAAACAAAGAAAAAAAAATCATAAAAAAATATAAAACTATTACAATTTGAAAAGTTCATTTCACGAATATTTAAAATAAGAATGGAAGAGCTTTATTCTTGAAGCTTGAAAAAAAATCTGAAAATAAATCGATCGAACGAAAATAGCCAAAAGTAATCGAGATGATACTGCTAGGCCGTTTCTTTCTCACTCTGATAGAGGAAGAATCGTTACACTGTTTATTTTTAAAAAAAAAAAAAAAAAACTTGAAAAAAAAATAATTAATAAAGATTAAAATACAACTGCATCACAATTAGAATTTTCCTAGGAAATTGAAAAACACAGGTGACCGCCGATAACAAAATGGCGATCAGGAAGCCTGTATTAACTGCCTGTGCTGATGGTGGCTGGGGTATTTAACGGTGGCGATTTCAATTGGGGCTGACTTGTTGTTTCTCCGTGAAGGGCTTCCTCGATTAACAGCGCTATTTTTTCTCGATCAGCCTGCAATCAAAAAAAACTTTTCTTAGATGTCTCGTCTCAAAGATTCACACTCCGATGATTTTCTAAATAAAAAGAGCCTTGCCAAAAGGGGGTGTTCTTTCGCCCCTTCTTGGATACCCGAGTTGGTCAATAGGACAAGTCTCAAATGAAAGCGTATGGTAAGGCAAACTTCCAGGAAAAGTTTCTACTCGAAATGACACCTCATTTAGGCTGTACAACGTTGCCAATTTTTCATTTTTTATGTGCTAAAATTAAGGAATTCTGGACTACCTAATAGTCTAGCGCATCATAATTAAACAGACAAGTACATCGGCAGGGTGGCTAGTCAAATTCTATTTCAAAATTCCATGACTTTTTCCTGACTTACCGATGGAATTCCCTGACCTTTGGTAATTATCGCAAACCATCAAATCAAACAAATTATTTTCAAAGAAAATAGTATGTGTTTGCTGTGTGTGTGGTTTTGTTTCAAAAAAGGTTTCTTTGGTGAGTAACAACAGTTGAGCAAGAAATAAAAATCTTGATCGGCTTTGATGAAAAGGAGGCAACCATTTCATAATCACTGCAAATTAGAGTAAATTAAATGAATAAATTCAAAATTCAAAGCCAACTGAGTCTATCCCTGGGAGGGCTTCAAGGCTGAATGATGAAGGAAGAAAAGGCAAATATTAAATTCTTCCTCTTTGGTCGTTTAAAATAAAGAAGGAATTCAGGAACTCAGGAATCATGGAAGTAAACTTTGTCTGAAAAGTAATTAATTTTCATGAAAAGGGAAAATTGCTTTGCATATAGTGGGAAGAAAAATGGGACAGCCATACTGAGTTCGCACGAAATTCATAACATTTATTGAATTAAAAAGGAATAAATTGAGTTAGAGGTTCAGACCAGAAAGTAATATTAATCAGTATGAGCAAAAATCAAGATTTAGGTTAGAACAAGTTTCTTGGTTGGGGTTCTTTTCGCGGGTATTATTGACGCCGCGCAGCGCGGGGGCCCATCGGGAAGATGACGAGGGGAGGACGGGGGCGCTGAATCCACAGTAATATTAACAAGCGGAATTGGACGGAAACAGACGATCTTCTCACTATCACGGAATGATCGCGGCGTAGCCATAGAGTACAATAGAGTTGCAATGTTCTGGAACGCCGATGAAATCACTATTTAGGGCTGTTTTGTCCAGTGCTCCTGAGACTAGTGTGCGGCGACTGGCGATGCTGTATGCACGGGGTCCCAGCTCTGGTCTTCGCTCAGAAATTACAGGTATAAAATTTATTTCATAAAAACCGAGTGTTGTACATTTTTGAGTTTTGTATGACTTCGGTGAACAGAATTTGCCAAAATTCGAGGAAATAATGATTGATTTGATGGCCTGTTTATGGATTGACTTCATATGCGCTCTAGTAAATTGCAACTCTATTGCAACTCGTCCTCTATGGGCGCAGCGCAGTATCGCTCATTATGGTATGCAATTGTTCATATGCGAAAATTCCCTGACCGGGCACGGAATTCCTTGACTATTCTCTAACTTTTCCCGGTTGTTCAAAATTCCCTGAATTTTCCGGGTTTTCCCTGATGCTTGCCACCCTGATCGGTCTACAAGCTGAATACTACCCTGAGCTCGTATAGAAACGCAATTGAGGGCTAAAGTGAACTTTTCGAAGCAGTGTTGCCAAGGTTTTATTTATTTTTTTCAACATAAAATGCGGATATTTTCGAGATTTTACCTTCCTGAAAAGAGAAAAGCACTGGTTTCTGAAAAATGGAGCTCAAAAATATCTTCACTTTATCGTAAAAATGCCACAAAATTGCAACATTGGCTTAAAAGTTCGATTTCTCCTTTAAAAAGCAATCCTTTAATGTTGTAAGGTATTATTTTGCCTCCACCATAAAGTGGTAGCCCCTAAAAGAGTGATTTCCGCCCGAAAAGCTCAAAACGTGGGAGTCTTACCGTAAAAGAAATGTACACAATTTGGCAACGTTGCCCTAAAAATTCCATTTTTGCCTTTAATGGTAATCATGAACCATATCTTGGTGATCTTCAGTCATCAGAATTGGAGAAATGCCTTGAAAATTACATTTTCCAAGCATTCACTTGAGAATATCTTCAATTTTGTTAGATATTCAAATAAACCTGACAACATTGCCTTTAAAATTCTATTTTTTCCATAAATATCAGTCATTTACTATCATATGGTGATGTATAGCCCACACTCGTCAAAGTTACAGCCTGTGAAGGAACGTTTTCGGCAAAAAATCTTGAAAATACCCTCATTTTATGTTATAAATGGAAAAATTGGCAACACAGCTTTGAAAAGTTCACGATGGCCTATAATTGCGTTTCTGTACGATTTCAGAGTAGTATTTAGCTTGTAGACCGATGTACTAGTCTGTTGAATTATGATGCACTTGACCATTAGTTCAGAATTCCTTGGTTTTTAACACATAAAAAACGAAAAATTGGCAACGCTGTACAGCCTAAGCGAGATGTCACTTCCAATTGAAACTTTGTCTGGAAGTTTGCCTAACAATAAGCTTTCCTTTGAGCCTTGTCCCGTTGACCAACTCGAGTATCCAAAAAAAAGGGGCAAAACTTTGCGAGGCTCTTTTCACTTATATTAAAGATAAGTATCAGTGCCCCAGATTCAATCAAAAGGTACCTAACTCCATATCAGCCATTTCGTAAAATCACGATAAAACCTAGCGTTGGCCCTGTCGACTCCAATTTAAAACTCCGTACCTAATGACTGGCAGAGATAGGGCTACCATATTTTCCACAGACAAGAAACACTTATTGAAGATTTCCGAAACGCATATAATGTGAGTTAGGTACCTATTGGTACTGAGGTACTGATGTAATACTACTTGCTAACAGCAAAAACTATTAATTTGATAAAATTCTAACCTCTCTCCCTCCCAAAAAAAACCTAAAATTTGTTTTAAAATATGAGTTTGGGATTCAACATGCATTGGGGAGGAAGCATATTCTAGATATTTTTCCAATGATTAAATCTGGAATGCTGACAAAATTATGTCAAATTCAGGTCTTCTCTTCATGATAAAGAGTAATGGTCGAGTTGGAGTTGAGCTTATTGCATCCAGCAGGCTGATCGTTGAAATTTATAGACAAGGCTACATACGAAGAAGACAAAACGGATATGGAGGAATCCTTTAGGTGGAATCGAGTGGCTACAATGGACAAAGGAGGTAGGTAATGGACTAACTGACGGCAACTCACAAGAAACCATAAAGTTAGTCAATCATTCTCTCCCTTCGTCTATAAGAACCACCCAAATTAACCAGTAGGATCGCTTCATACTCCCTACGTCTTCTTTGTCTGTCGCTTTGTCCATTAATTTCAACCATTATCCCAAAGTACATTAAAAATCTCAGCAAACTCTTAAGTTTTCCGCTAAAAGTAAGACCAAAATCCCATATGCAAGAGTCCTTGTTCCAGATTTATGTATAGGGGCCTGCCTTTTTTAGGGTGTTTGTGTCGATCTGGCACCTTGAAAGTAAATGAACTGTGTCCGGAAATGAAAGGTTACTCTTAGACAATTTGGGGGCTTGGAGGACAAGGTCTATAAGAGCAGTTTTTGAAAAAAATTGAGGTATTAATGATTGCACATGCGAATGTAGTCTTAATGCATATTCCGTGAATAATTCGCTCCCAAATTCCAATTTTAAAGCATCAAAAAGTCAGTTTGAACTTTTTTTCCGCCATATGGATCCTTGCAATTTCGAAACTTCAAACACATATTTCTCAAAATAGCAAAAACGTATGCGCCTTGTCCTCCAAGCCCCTTAATTATTATTCACTTTTTTCAAGAACTGCGTCAGAGATAATTTTTATCAGCAATAAATGATCACAGATGATGACTGTCAAAAAGTATGGTGGCCAACGTCAACGCAAGCATTAGTGTGAACCAAAATTACTTCCATCTTTTTTTCTTTACTAGATGTGTTCAATTATTCAAACTAGATACTTTGCTTGCATGCCCAAAAAAAGTTACGGAAGGAGGGAGCATAATTTATGATAAAACGGAGGATCAGGCATGTCAACGGCCAAGGTGGGAAATTACGTATCTCCATTGCGGTATTTCAAAACTTCCACTCTAATTTATTTTTTCATGGAGAGACAAGCCAACTTCATAGTATGAAATTTTTACAGAATATTCTGCTAACAGAGAAGAAAAATCAAGGAAGTTTTCAAGCATTTACGTCAATTAGTTTTCCGAAGGAAAATCAGGTATGACAGAAAGTCTGCAATGTCACAAACGGAGGTGCGTGGTTTTGTACTTTGGACATCGATATATTTCACCTTGTAATGCAAAAATTGACGTCATTGATGAGACACGGGAAGAAAATTCAATACACACCTCATTGATAAAACCGTAATAGACTAGTTCTTGAGCTAGCACCAGGGCTGAATCCACCTCAGATACAAGACACGTTAGTTGCCTGTTCATCTTGTCGTCCATCCTAAGTAAAATTGTCATCTACAACAAAAAAGGGATGAACACTGTACTTAGCAGTTACACCAAGAATATATAGAACTATGAGAAACATTTCAGAAGTTATCCAGCGAAAGAGAAAATTTCATGGAATAACTTTCTACAAGTTGTTTCCATAATCTCATTATTATTTTTTTTAGGGGGGGGGGGAGCTAATAAGAGCGAAAAAACTAGTAATCAATCCGATCGATTTTTCATTCCACTGATAATGTGGCAAAATAACAAAAAGACTACAAAAAGAACAACAGATGAAACAGGGAAGGTCTTACTCTAATGCGCATACAATCATGAAGTCCCAAAATCTAATAGCTTTGGAGAAAAATGTGGCCAATCCTTTTCTAATTTGTCAGAAATAAAAAAATTTTCCATCAACTTCAGGCCATTGGTTCTCAAAGTAAGGTTCCTGGATCCCCAAGGAGACTGTAGGTCAAAATAGGAAAAGTGAAAAAATGGAAAAAAGTTGAAAAATGAGGATGAAGAGATTTATGTCAACACGAGTAGAAAGAGCGACCTTTATAAAGGATGCAAGCAATATTTTTGCTACATTATCTTCAGGTTAATATCTTGAAACCCTTCCTAACTAGGTACACAACTTCTGATCACATCCCTCCAACTAATTACCATGAGTGTAATTCCAGAAGCACACGCTGATTCTACCGTAGTTACTGTAAACAATTCCAGATTCCCGAGAAAAAGGGCTTAAATGCTGAGGATGGTTGCTCATTAAAAGGATTGAAAACCACTGGTCCACTTTACCATTACCTGAGACTGCCTTGACTATTACTGTAACCTCTCGATAGCATTCATAATATGAGCTTTATGATTAGTTTCATGGCATCAGGGTTGTCACAGAGCTTAGAAAATGAAATTCCCTGGCATTTCCCTAATTTCTCTGCCACATTTCTGTGAAATTTCCTGACAGTTGAAAATCTGCCAAACAGTTTAAAAGACATGAGTCTGTTGTTCAAAACATTATAACAGCAAATAAATGCAACAACAGTTTTTCCCTGATACTTCCAGATTTGCCCTGACTTTTCCCTGTATTCCCTGACTGCAGCTACTCTGTTGCATATCTACAGATTGTGCTGTTACTCGCAGGCAATGTGTCTAGAATTCTTGACCATTCTCATACCCTCATTTTCCCTCATTTTCAGGAGCTTATTCCTTGATGAGAAACCAAATTTTGTTTCCACTTCCACAGAATTTCCTTGAGATAAACTGCATATTTCTCCGGAGTTCCAGATGTGAATATTAATTTTTTTCCTCATCTTTCAGCCAATTCTTTGACACAGAGTGTAATTTTTAATTCTAAAAGCATACCAGATGTATATAATATCTGATCAATGAAAGATCCTCTACTATTCTGACAATTGGAAGATTTAGGAGGTCAATAATGGTGACTTAGGTGCAATATCATGAACCTTGAAATGGTCTCTGAGCGGTAGAAAAAGAGATTCCCGGTTTCTAGAACAGATTTCCTGATATTTTCCTGAAATTTTTCATTCCCTGTTCAATACCGCTTTTTCCAGGTTCCAGACACCATCCCTTCAGGTAACATGCCATGGGAAAGACTAGTTGCTAAAACTAGATATGCAGGGAACAAGTAGCTAAAAATGGTATTTTGGTTTTAAGTTTAAAAAATTGATAACCAGAGCACTCACCATAAGCTCACAAGATTGACCTTTTGGTTTGACGTTACACATCATGTTGACGACTCGACGCGCCTCGACATCAACTGGCTCCGGCGTGACTGATTTGACCGATTCCGCTATTTCAGGAGATACTGCCTGAGGACGTGGTGGGGGAGGTTGCCTCGGTCGGTATGCTGTTAAAGGATATATTCCATTTCTGCCAAGAGATAAAATTGAAGACGACGATAAGTGAATAAGACAACAAAAATTTTACATCATTGATAGCAAACACATGGATTGGGATCCACTGAAGGCTGAAAGAAAGGGGAATGGGGTGCTGCAGAGAATGAAAAAAAGGTAGATACAAAGCATTCCTAGTTTAGTACCCTTCAGATAGTCGGATCAACTTTAAAAAATAGTTCAGCATCTTAAATCTTCAAAATGTTCAGATTACAATGAGAAGTTTCCTAAATGCACGTAACTGCTGGCAACTTACTCAACAGGTAACTAGAGAACATTCTTCTTGGCAAATAAATGCAAATTAAATTCAACTTAACCTAAATTGTATTTTTTCAGAATTTCTGGACTAAAGGGCCTTTGACTTTTCTTGCCGGTATAATTTCTAAATTTTGACCGAGGACTATTTTCCTTTGGAATCTCTATAATCCATCTGTTTAGGGGTATGAAACTTCTTTTTCAACGTTTGTTTCGTGTGAGACAACAAGTAGAAATATGTGAAAATTCTGATCTCAGGAGCCTTAGAAATGTAAAACTTTGATATAATTTCTGATTCCATAACTGCGTCCAATTTTGAACTTACAGAATATCCAATAACTTTCTGACTCTCACTCTAAATCTTGAATGCATCTACATACCCAAACAAAATTTTACATTTGCCTGTAGGTCAACAAGAGTTGCTTTTTAGCACATCTAAAATTTCAAAAGGGGCCTCCTTTGAGGAAGGTGATCCATAGGTCAATTTTTTTAAATGGTGACCTCCAGGGCCCTCAATTTAATACATGGTTGGAAAAGTGATTAAAGAAGAACAATTTTTACGCAGATCTATTTTCAAATAGCGTAATTATAGATCATGATCAGTATTTTTCAAAAAGGAGAACAAAGCATCAAGCTACTTAGAATTGCAAGTATTTCAGGCGAAAATCGTCAAAAACCTTCTCAATTTACAGTGAAAGATTTTAGGTAAACCCTTTCAGCACAAAAAACTGTGACTAAATGTTTTCCTTACGGGAGATGGTTATAGTATTTTAACGCAAAAGTAAATAAATTCTGAAAGGTATCTCAGTCACCTGATGGAGCCCAATGCCACTTAAGCGTTTGGGGTACAAAGACCCCCTCTCCCCATCCTGTTTGAATGTACGTAAAAACAACACTCCTAATTTCTCTACTGGAAGGGGGCAATAGCAATTGCCTTTTGGATCGCATCAGATTCTGTTGGGAGACTGAGTTGCCACTTCTACCTTAAGAGAAGTGGAGCGCCTCCCGAAAAAAAAAAACCAGTTCATCAAAGTTCTTCTTGCGAATAATGCCTGAGATTACTTGTAGCGCGAATACCCAACTTTGTTAGAATTTTAGCAAACTTCTGAATGGAATTTATAAGGTTAGGAAAACAGACCTGTTTGACTGAGGATAAGGCGGAAGCAAGAAATCCTAGTGACCTTCTATCTTTCAAAAAAAAGTTCTTATTTTATCCATTTGCAAATTTTGATTTAGAGCCTCCCCTCCTGAGCCGAAGATTTTGGATGTGCTAAGTTGGAAGAGCCATCACAGACTTTTCAGATATCCAGTATTGCAGCTCTACTGACCATCACAAGATAAATAATCATGATGGACGCATCAGTCAAATTTGAATCATAGTGGTAGTTTTTAAATGTTTTACAATTTCAGGACAAAACTGGATGAAAATAAAAAAAACTTACTTTACGTCTTCTACAAATTTTTCTAATTTTTCTGTTATTGGTACATCTGCCATTTTCATCTGAAAAGGAGGTCTTCCATCAGAATGTCTAATTTCAGCTAATATCACATCTGAACCGTAAACTACTTCATCAGAAATCGTTTCTGATATATTTGCTGAAAAAAAGAAAAGAAAACATGACTGATGAGGGGGCAATAGTCAATAAAGAAAACAAAATTTAAAATCTGAAAAACTCATTGATTTTTTCATGAATTCAGTTTGATAAACCAAAAAAATTCCAAATTGATATACCACATCTTCTCTCCAGCGTGCATTACAATAGTCTATACGACTCATGAGTCTACTGCAGTCAGTTTGTAAAAACTATGGAGATAATGTACACTTTGAGTAAGCTTTCTGAATGTATGCTGGAATTCAAGTCTGAATCCATTTTCGATCTTTTTTCCATTAATATACCTCTTCCTTGTTTTTGCATGTAAAAACCTGAAAATTTCACAGGGTTTTTGAAGAAAATTTCTTCCTCGAAAATTTGGCAACGTTCACATGCTTGTATGGCGTTTTTCTTTGGCACAGCAGTATAAATGTCCATTTTACAATCTTATTAATGGCAAAATAAGGCTGCTTTTTCCCCTTCAAAATTTACAGGCAATTATTCATGCAACAGGAAGTTATAAAATCCACTCCGTTGCAGGACATTAACATATTTATATTTTAACGGGTCAAATGAACGAAAATGATACAAATAAAATCTCCTGTATTATTACCATTGGACAAAAGTTGTTTATAAGTGATTATATCTTGTTGGGGGAGTTGATTACAAAACTTACTGATGTGAAAATAATTTCCTATTTTTTTTTTTTTTTTTTTTTTTTTTTTTGAAGACATGACATAGAAGGGCGTTCCTCCTTACTTTTGGCCTCATTTTTGGAGAATCTAACCCCCTCAAGAACATGCTTCCTATCCCTGGTTCAAATAGGAGCCCTTCAAACCATGTTGAAAGTGTAATTTACAGACATGGCACGTACTAATGCCTCATCATGCTTCTCTTTTTATCCTTTCATCATGAAATATCTTCATTGCCAATTGGTTGGAGGGAATTAGCAGTCCCTATCTTCACCATGTAAACTGCATAAGGTACCTACTTTTTTTACACATTCTACTTGCTTCATTTGTATTGATTTTTTGTTTTTTATACCTTCCAAGAGGAGTAAAAATTCTGAAGATTCAAATTTTCATGAATTGTTTTTTATTTTTCTTTTTTTTCAAATAGCAAGTTACGCCTTCACACGTAATGTTTTGAGAGAATAAGAAGTGAGAATCCTCTTGTCTGTATTTAGAAAAAAAGGTTAGGAAAAAAATATAAAAGTTTTTGAAAATTCATCCTGTAGATCCTGAGAGAAATGTACCTTGTGATCAAAAAACGTTGTTTTGAGAAAGACCTGATTGAAGTTTTGAAAACATATGAGGGTTGCATCATTCTGTTTGTCACAAAACGAGGCATATCTGATTCAATAATGATCAGATTTTAAAAAACTTGGTTTTGATGTATAGCTTAGGATATCGCAGCTAGCAAGCAATACCACCTAACTGACAACTTTGGCAAAAAAGAGTTGGCCACTTTGCCGCATTCTGCAGTATAAAATATTCGAGCTGAAGATTTCAGTTTTTTTCCAATTCTGCAGGTAAGTGCTTCAATCACGCTGTAATGTATGAAGAAATTGCAAATCTAACCTTGAAATGGACATATCTATGCTAAAAGGAACTATGTGCAAGAGGAAAGATGGGGTGTGCTCGTGGAAGCTGCAAAAGAAACAATGTAAAAGTGGATATGGTTCCTTTTGAGAAAATGAAAAAGCGGGATTTTACATTAATTCAAAAGGAACTGAGTGCTAACTTGTAAGCTGTGGACATTTGACAAGAGCCTTGTGGACAGGGCTCAAGAGTTAAAGCCAAGCGAGAATGACAACGGAGATGGCTTCGTTGCCGCTGACGACACTGGCGCTTTAAAATCCCTATTCATTCTTATGGCCCGACCACTAACGAGCACACCCCATCTTTCCACTTTCCATTTAGCATAAATACGTCCAAATAACAAAAGGGCCGAGTTTTCTCGTCGTTCTGCAAAATCGTTGGATAGCAGATAGGCGGTATTGTTTGTCAGCCGGCGATAGGTAAAATTCGATTGGAAAAAAAATAGGGGAAAAAGTTTTTTTGAAAAAAAAATGACTGCCAACTCCCCCTACGACAAGGAAATTGGCCAGATATTTTGAAATGGACGCATTTCTGCCGAACGGAACTATGTGCATTATGACATGAGTCCTGTTATGCATATATTCTTATGGGTCTCAGGGCTCATGTCTTAATGCATATAGTTCCGTTTGGCGGAAATACGTACAAATAACCAAATTTTAAGCGAGAAAGGAGAGCACTCACCAGCACTATGAACTAAAGTATGAGCAGCTAGTAACTTAAGGGAGTGAACTTCGAAGAGGATAGGGTGGAAGAGTAACTCGCGCGCTGACGGCCGTTTCGAGGGTGACTTTCCCAGGCACTTGTAAATGAAGTCTTTCTGCTCTGGATCGTCTAAGGATTCTATTGTCCTATTGATATGATCATCAGTCACTAGAGTTCCGCTATCTCCATTCCCCTGAATTTCCAGGGCAGCCATTTCCAAAGCGCACATGCCAAAAGAGTACACGTCGATTGCAGGACTAACACTTGCTGAAAAATTCAAAGGAAAAACTTGATTAGAGATGTCATTAGCTCAGGCTTAGTATGTAGTGTACCTTGATTGGATAAATAGATAGCTGTCTAGGATGGATTTATAGGAGAGAATTCAAGTTGTGTACTTCAAAGTTTCTTCGGAGAAATTTTGTGCTCATAATGATGATCTAAGTGAGTGATGTGAACATTAGGCAACAGACATTTACCAAAAATAATTGTTAGTAAAGTTCTATATTTTTGAAAATTCAACATTTTCTTTTTCTCTCTTGATCTAACAAAGTGACAAAAGGCAAAATTCAAGAATCTACATATTTAATAAAATGTCAATTGTGAGCATCACATGAAAGAAGGATTGATATCATGAAAAAAAGTTTGTAAAGTTCAAAGACAGTTGGAGGGAACTTGAGAGCTTGTAATGCTTGGTGCGTTGGATTTCAATTTTTCATGAATTAATTTCACCTGAGCTTGATTTATTTCTGTTCATGATTCGGAATCATAATATAATATGTATAATGGCATTTCTATGCAATCATCTATTCTTACATAAAATTTTGTTGGCTGATTATCTTCAAAATTAACCCCCAGCTCAAAAAAGGTCTTAAACTTAGGAGCATAACGGTAATAATCACTTTCAAAACTGAACAACTTTTCATCAAGTATTGGATATGATTTTGGTACCATCTGGCACAATTTTACATAAAATAGTTGTTCGAACAACGTCCAGAACGATTTTAAACCCTTTAAAATTTTACCAGGTTTCATTTGTGATAGTAATTGATGATTACCAAGTCAATCAAAAATGAAGACTATTTTTTTGGATAAATAAACAATCAGAGGGTAGGAGGATTAAACTGGAGGAAAATACGGATACCACCTGCTTAAATGACCTTCATCAAAAATTTCATCAGAAACAAGTCATTCAGACGACAAGAACCTGTGAATGCAGATGATTATAAAAATGGATGAGAGGTTCCCCAAGCAAGCATACACTGTTTCAAATCGAAATTATTCAGGAGCAAAAGAGAGAGCCACGCACTTGGGCGACATAAATTGAAAACAATTTTAGTTTGATCTGGTTCTTTTATCAATTCTTTGTAATAACTACATGGGAGGTACCTGCCTTGATTTGAAACAGTATACAGCAATTCCTGCAACAGAAATCAATTAAATCAGACATGATATAAAAATTGCGCAAGTTTCCAAGAGAGGCAATTCCGGAAAGTTGGCAACAATTTTTTTCCTCCATTTAAACACATGTAAAATAATCGATTCTTGGCGAGGCAGCTTGCTTCGTCTAAATTCGATATTTTCAATGGACCTAAATGAAGGAAAAAAGTGGTGCCAACTTTCAAGTCCGAGGGAGAACTTCGGAGAGCCAGCGAATTGAAATTGAAACTTACCACCGAACTCGGGGGCGATAAAGTGCATGTTCTTCATGTTTTCCCTGCAAGTTTTCACATGGTGATGGATTGCGTCAGGCGCCACTGGAATGATCGATAAAAAAAGGGAAAAAAAAAGGAGGAAAAAAAAGTCAAATTAGAAACTTCTGTGACGGAAAAACCGGAATAGAAGTAGAAGAACGGTTGGAGGGAGTGTACAGAAAAGCAAGCGATATCTTTTCATATCTGTCGAGAGCCGGTGACTGTATTCAAATGATTTCGGTCCCCCCGAGAATGGCGAAAACGGTCGAATCGATTAGCGATCGATTTATCGAATCGATTTGGACGCGGAACACGCGGCGCGAAACGCGACACGACGCGTCATCAGATGAAATTGCCAGACCACCCGCTTTAGAGTTTTTCTGCTTAGTGCTCAAAAGTTGAAACCATCTTTTTAAGCCATGAGCCTTACATTCTCTCTTGAGATGGGGAAAGTTGCTTCAGACGAGAAAAACAAACAAAATAAATAAATGAAAAAAATAACAAAAAAAGGAAAATAGAAAAGAAATGAAAGGCCTCTGATCCTAGTTCTTGGCAAAGAGCAAACATTTTCCATGACTTTTATTTTTAGGATTAGAACTCTTCTTCACTACTTAAAATCGGGAGGTATTTGGTGGAAACAATGTGATTGGAGAGAGAAATGAACAAAATATAATTCCTGCATCATGCAAATTATAAATTGGATTGTCAAGTTGAAACAATGACGATCAAATTATCCTGATGCCGAATAGACATGATCTTCCGACGAGGAAAATTATCCAGACGTTGGAGGATACCTACCTGTAGGATGACTGATGAAAAGTCTGTAAACTTTCCACAAAAGTAGATGATACACCTTTTTTGAGGGCGAGGAATGAGCAGAGAAAATTTGGACCAGCAGACAGAGTGTTGATATTGACAGACAGAGCTATAAACAAAGAAGATTAAAGGGATACGGAGGGATCTTCTTGGTGTAAGTGGGTGGTTGTAATGGAAAAAGGAGATAGATAATAGACTAACTAGGCAATCTACAGGAAACCCTAAAGTTAGTCCATCATTTTCTCCCTTAGTCTAGAGGAACCACCCATTTCAACCAATTTGATTGCTCCATCCTCCCTCTGTCTTCATTGTCTATTGCTTTCTCCATCAATTTCAATAATCAGCCTGCAGGTAAAGAAGGGAGTTCAATAGTCACTTGTTCACTTGACCTGTTTCCTGTTTCTGATGGCAGCTAAAGTTTACAGAAGAGATGAAATTTTAGACGAAAAACTCGGGTATGAAGAGGAGTGCATATGCAAAATTTAAAATTCACTCCTAACCACACTGTCTTCCAAAAGAATTAGCCTTCTTGCTTTAAAAAAGGACTAAAAGAATAAATGTAAAGCAGTTTGGTACCTTTAGGAAGAACGAAAGATGGCTATAGCTGTATGATGCACTTCATTAAATGAAAAACAAACACCATAGACACTTCTTCAAATCAAACGTAACTTGAAAAATTAGAAGAATCTAACTTTTAATGAGAGAATATCTTTGTGTTTACTTTACTTGGGAGACTGCATCATACGCACAGTTGCCACAGCAAGGTGGCTCTTCCACTTTACATTAAGTCTTTGATGTAGTAGGCTTTTTGGAGTGGAAAGCTGGAAAATCCACACACTTCTTGAGCAGGTAATGTAAGAAGATAATTTTCGACTTTGCTCATGCCCTGTTTAGGATTTTGGAGAATTTTTTTTTTTTTTTTTTTTTTGGGGGGGGGGAGGGCGGCGGCACCCGCACTCTTCTACTACCGCTACAATTTGCAGCAGACCAATAGCAATATTACAATTACACCACGACTTCTAGGGTAGTTCGTCACCTCTGTACAACCATCTAATCCATTTGTTAACATCAGTACAGCTAAAATTGGTCGAAGTGGCAGGACATTGAATTTCCCTTCCATCCAAAGTTCCCAGTGGCGATTCTAGAAAGTTGGCAAGACTGTTTTCCCTCCATTTAAATGTATGCAAAACAACGGATCTTGGTGAAGCAACTTGCTTCACCTAAAATCGATATTTTCAATGATGAATTTAAATGGAAGCAAAACAGTGTTGCCAAATTGCAAGATTGCTACTGCATCTGAAATTCTATCCCCTAAAATCCAATTTAATGAGCATTGAAAAATTGAACTGAAGCGACTTCCTACTTTTGTCAGGAGAGACATGTAAGAGGACTCTGGCTTCGTGGCAAGATGGCAACAGCCCTGCCGCAAAAAACAGTGACTTTTCGACAGATATGAATGCAGACACACACGGCCGCTTTGGGTTACATTAAACTTAGCACTAACTATGCTATGTAATTATTTATGATTTATTTCGAGTGATTTTACCTGATCCTATCTTGACGAGGCCATTGTGCTGAATAAATATTGTATCACATGTCAAGTTCCCATGGATGATGGGCGGCGAACAGGAATGCAAATAACTGGAATCACAAACAGTCATCGTTTACGCGAACCGTCCAATCAGGAACAACAAATTTCAGCGCGATCCTGCTAGCAACGTCCACAGAAGCTAACAGCCCAGAATGCAAAAGTCTTCTCGATTTGTTAAAGCCAGTTAAGATGCAGAATTTTAAAAAATAATCAAAGTTCAGAGACAAAATAAGGGATCCTTCTATCACTGTTCAAATTTTGTTCATGTACATTGTACAGTCATAATCATGGTGAGCCACACCTACCACTTGGCAACATTCCAGTGTTTTGCGATAAGTTGAGAAAATTTAAAACTAATGGTCGGACGATTTGGTAAGTTCTCAAGAGAGAGAGAAAGAGAGAGAGAGAGGAATAAATTGGTACTGATGCAATACAGTAACAAATGCAGTTCTTCAAGGATAACCATTTTGAAAAATTTCTAGAGATAAATGAAAAGGGTAGAACTGATTATGTATGTTTTTCCCTTCAGATTGTTAATTCAAGTTCAAATTTTAAGAAAAATTAGGACGTAATCAGTGTAGAAAAAAAGAGCCACTCATGGAGTTTAAAGCAGTCTAAAACTCGAATATTTTGAATGAGAACAGGTAAAAAACTGCCTGAAATGTAAGAAAGAAAAAGTTAGAAAAAAGTAAAAAAAATTAGAGTTGAGTGAAAATCGAAAAAATTAGCGTATGTGATGAATTCAGAAAAAGCTGGTTGAGAGTGGATGTACGAAACCTTTGAATAAAACTTTAGAAAACTTCAGCGGAGGTGGAAAAATATTAGAAAAAAATAATAGCCAAATTATTCAATCATTCAAGCAACTTAAATTTGGTCGCTTTTCGATGGCTTCATTGAGAATAATGCAGGTTTAATTGGGTTCAGAACTATCAAAAAATTGAGCATCTGTAAACGACTTTAAAAAATCAAATTGCTGGAGTGCTAAGACATTTAAGCAGCCGTCCCAGGTTCCTAAAAATTTAAAATTTAGTTGAAAAAAACTTTTCGCACTGCCGGTAGAGGAGACTCCAGTTCCAAGATGATCTTGAGGGTGACAGAAACTTCGTATATGATTTTGCAACGGTCAACAAGACACTGAAAATTGAAGAAACATGCTCACAAAGCCTTGGAGAGGTTCATTCAGATTATACCCACACAAACATACCTACGATAAGGGAACATCGGCGGGAAAAAGGATCCTCTCATTTCACACAAACAAGAAGAAGATATAGGAGATTTTGGAAGTCTTCAATGGCTCGAGCTGCTAGAAAAGCTTTCAAGAGAGCCTTGATAACAGTTTTAGTAAAGAAGCTTGTCAACGCGCTCCACACTAACTAATCTCAACTCCTTTCATTTATTTCAGTAATGACCAGGAAGAGAAAACTTTTTCACACTTATTTCAACTCCTGAATCCATACTCATCCTTATGTGCTCCCAGTTTCGTGCTCCATCCAGTATACTCAATAGAATGTGCCAAAATTTTTAACTCATCATTTTTCCTACAGATAGCAGTGTAAGCTTAAAAGTCCAAGATTTACAACTCGGCTTTCCAGGACTTTAGGCATGTTTTTTTTACAAGACCAGAAGTTAAAACAGTAATTCACAATGTTCTCGAAACTTAAAATCTTGGTTCGTTTTTAGGCTTGAAATGATCAATTTTCGCATTTTTTTATAGCAGTCTTCTTTATTGGTCTGCGGGCCGATTATTAGAAGTTAAAAGTAGCTCTTTTGGACAATGAAATGTGATGTATGTATGTATCATGGTCAAGAAAGAGCTATGTCTGGTCTTGTTGTGCTGACATACTTTCAATAATCAGCCCATCGAACATACGGGACAAAGTAATGATTTTGGTTATTTATTTTGTTCATGCTGGATTCCTCTTATGAGGATTGTACATTTGCATTCAAAAAAATTATAAAGGATAAATCAGTGTGATTGTGTATGATTTTAACACAGCACGAGCAGAATCCGGAATAAAAAATTAAACTCTTCCCAAGCATAATTTGAGGAATTTTCGGTGATTTTTCTAGCATCTCTTCTAAAAATTTTATACTCATAAGCACAGTTTTCTCTACCTCTAACAATTGTTTCGAATGAAAACTTCGTATGAATATCGTTCTTTCCATTGCAACTCAGTCCGTTTATCTATAACAGCCGGTTGAATGTTAAATGCTTTGTCTCTTCTTTATCACTATTAAATATCTAAAAAAAATTGGTGAAATGTGCATCAAAGCACATTCACAGTCTTGAAAAACATCTCAAAATTTAACTTTTTTCAAACTACTTTTAAATTTGCAGGATATACCTTGTAAGAATAGCCACAAAACTCATAGTTCAAATAAAACGAAAATTTGAAATGGCATCACAAAAAACTTCAAGCCGGACTAGTTAATAATGTGCTTGGATCTCAATTATAAAAATTCCATCTGTATGATATAAACAATAGAGAAAACACGAAAGAGGTTTGCAGACATTAAAAAAGACAGGTGTACTGATTTGTACATTTAGTCCCACGGTTCGAGTCAAGATGGCAGATCTAATGTTACTCTCAGAGTCAATAATCTACCCACAAAGCAACAGCCTAAGGTGATGTCACAGAATAATGCAAAAAAGTTGTCACAGTTACTTTTGGTCACTTTGTTGGCGCAAAGTTTTTGCAATGACTTGTGGCAACAAATTGCCGTGCGAATAAAATGATTTTGGCTCAAATGCAACTTAGACGCATTTTTCGTGATTTCAATCAACTTTTGAGGCGGCAAAGTAATCTCAATGTTCTTGGATAACTTAGGTACTCGTTCAAAATTTTACCTTCTAAAAAACGAAATGAATTCAATCATAGGCTCTAAACGATAAATACGGACAGGGTATCAAGTAATAATAGTATTCACCATTACAAAAAAAAATGTGACTGCCTGGTGGAAAAAGGGTCTCAGCCCAGGGAGGGAAAATTTTCAATACGGCAAGTTTGGTCAGGCATTGTCACTAACTTGGACCTTATGACTCGACAAAAAACTGTTCCTGAAAACTGTTTATGATACTTGGTGTTGTACTGTAAAGTATCGGATGCAAATTTTTCACTTCATTTTTGTTCCAATGGAAAATGCAAAGTTATATCATAATCTGTCGATTTGCGCCCTGCACATAAAGTGTTTAGGAGTGTTAATTAAATGTTAAATTACTTTTTCTTGAAACTACGTTTTGTGAATTGTTCAGTTCCACTCGCTATGGACTCGTTAAACTCCAGCTTAATTTGAAAATTTTTGCAGTTTTGAGCACCAGGATGTCTGGCTTAGTTCGTAGCAGACTTCTTTATGCTGCAGTATCAATTGCTTGATTTTGAATTTGGATGAGCTATGACCCTTTTTCCTGTGGACTGTCACCAGTGGCGTGGCTTGCTTTGCAATAAATCGATTGATCTGTCATTTAAACCTATGAAAAAGTATCGATAAACGGGGCGTTGGCAACGAACACCTTGATATTCGATTCATTACCATAGCTTCAAATAAGGAAACATCGATAATTGGTCATTCACTCTTCGCCACTGATTTAGTCCTGTTGGAAGTAATTCCAAAGCAGCGTTTGGAATGCAAAGATTATAGATTCGAATTAAGGATAGATAATGGGACAGTGCAGAATAAAATAAGTTGAAGCGAAACCATGATATGTGCCTCCAATGGGCAATGTAAGACAAAATTATACTTGAGACAGAGCGGTAACTTGGAGCAAAGTAATGATGACACCATGAGTTTCAAGCATAATGACACTTGTGAGTCAGGTGTGAGTAGAATTTTGTTAGTTTCCAGCCAGAGCTGTGAATTTAAAAGTGGGTGAAGGCGAGAAGAAGACTGAAGCTCAGAAGAAAAGGAGAAAAATAATACAGATGAGTTCCTGAGAAGATACTTAAGAGGACACAACATTTTTAACGACCGATTTAATGTCCATGATAGTTTTTCCTTCGATAACTAGAGGCATCATATACTACAGATGAATTCGATATGTCAAAGTGTTTGTAATAATTAATTCTTCCCTTACATGGCTCCGATTTCATTTCTTTCATAACATCCTAATTTCTCTCTTTACATAAAGGAAAGAAATGGACGGGAGTTGCGCTTAAAAGCTATTAAACTAATATGATAGTACGAATTTTTTCTTGCGAGAGAAACTCTGAAGTGAAACCACATGAGATTTTGGAAAAAATTCATCCTAGATTTTAATCTTACTGATTTGAATTATGGTAAAAATAAACGCATCTGGCCCCATTAGGAAGGAGAGAGCGATAAAATTGCACAACTCTTAGAACACAAAAACACCATTGCTCAGTTTTTGGTGGGCATACCACAGTAAAACCAAAAAAGAGGAAAAATAGCTTGAACTTTCATTAAAATTGAAAGCCATACAAATTAAGATTTCCTAAAAATAATGGAATTTTGGTGCAAGCTGAAATTTTCGAGAGAAATGACGATAAAGAAAAATAAAACAGAGAAATCAAATGGATTTAAAGCAAGGCTTTTGAAAAAGCTTGCTTGATCGAATTTCTGGTTTTATTGAATGAATTTTGCTCGTGGCTCATTGTGCTTGAATTGGTAAAACTATTGAAAGACACATTGACCAGTGAAAGACACATTTGGGTCGAGGAATTGAGAATATCATAAAAAATGTGAGTTAATAAATCGCTGCCAACACAAAAGCGAGTGATTTTGGATGCAGTGGCGTGGTGTGCTTATCAATATATCGATTCATCTGCCATTTAAACCTATGGAAAAGGATCGACAAACAAGGTGTTCGCATGGAACACCTTAATAATTGATTCTTTACCGTAACTTCAAATAGGGAGATATCGATTATCGATCATTCACACCTCGCCACTGTTAGGATGCTCCTGGGTGCGAGACGCAATCTAAGCATAAGATTAATAGAAGACCTTGAAAAGCAGTTCGATTAGACTAACTAGCATGCACTTGGAACTATTAAAATTACACTAAAAAATGGAAATGAGAATCAAACAAACTAAGAAAGTGCTAGGTACTGGACGATTCACTCTTGAACCTAAAGGGGAGATATTTGAGAGGTACAAAGACTTACCAGTGTTGAGTTTTTAAAAAAAACCCTGGATGGAGGGAGTCTAAAGTTCAAGTCAGAAAATAAAATTAAAGTGGGTAAGGATAATATAATCCAGATTATTAATACAAAGAAAATGAGTATTTTGAAGATAAGACTAAGGAGTTTTACCTGAGAGCGGAAAGAATTTGAGAACACCATCGTTTCCATGCTTGTAAAGGTAACTTTTTGACGTTGCGTTTAGTACGCTTTAGGAACTGCTTCAATGACCCGGAGGACATATACTCAGTAATAAATATCACCTGAAAGAAATACAAAAAAAACCAGTAAGCTCTTGATATCATTTTTATAAATCGTATTCAATACATCGAACAGATGAGATTGTACCAGTATCGATTGGTTCAAAAGTCAATTGAGTAATCGGGGGGAACGGGTTTTTGGTGATAGATTTTTTATTCTTATGAGTACAAAATGGCAATGAAGAGTGAAATCGTTAGGAATTTTATAATTTTCAGCTTTTCCAATTTGTAAAATGTTAAAAAATATTTTTGTAAAAAGTTTGTTTGCGATTTAGAGTTTTGTTATGTACTTTTGTTTGGATCAAACGATACATCAAACCACTATCGAATACGGTCCATTGATATCAAAGAGTACGGGGGGGGGGGGGGGGGGGAAAACAATCCATCAAAATCAGCTACTATGTCCTTCACGTGGTCTTTAGAATTCTTGATCATGCTATTTCCTGTTTTTTCTCGGATTTTCAGAGGCTCATTCTCTGATGAGAAGACAAAGTTTTTTCCCACTTCCCAAGGATTCTTTGAGGAAAAGCTACATGATTTTCCGGAGTTTCTGATATGAATATCGAAATTTTGTCATCTTTCAACAGATTCTTTGGTGCACATTAGAATTTTTAATTCTAGAAGCGTTCTTTATGTTTACATTATCCGGTCAATTAAAGTTTATCTATTATTCTGACGATTTGAGATTCACGAATCACTCAAAGGCGGCTCAGGTGCAATAACATACGCCGTAAAATGGTCTCTGAGCGGAAAAAGAGGAGATTCCCGGTTTCTAGCGCAGACTCGTGGAATTTTCCTGACTTTTCCTACAATTTTTCATTCCTGATGAATCCCGGTTTTCCCGATCCTGGACACCAAGGTAAAGAGAAGGATAAAACAAGAATCGTTCAAAAGTTCAAAATCAGCTTCTTAGTCCTTTCATAAACACATAAAGTTAGCTAAAATTTATAACTCCTCGATTTTTCTACAAATTATCGTAAGCGCTACCTGTCATATTTAATTCGCAAGCTGATTAGTTAGTTAATTTAGTATAACGATCAGCAACTATGGTTGGTTGCGTCGGGGTCCAGGAGAACACATTAAATTTTGAGTTAGTTTCTTCAAAAGTTTCAAAATTTCGGTAGTGGCAGAGATGGCTCACCCGTGGTTTATCGTTGTGCGTGTCAGTCCAATACCTATGAAATTTGACAATGTTAGGATGCTCCAACTGTGTCAAACTATCAAAAACAGACTGTATTTTCTCTTCTTGTGCTTTGAAGTTCTTCCTCTCGGAGAACTGAACCTCATTCCAGACCACCTCCACACCTTCCTCTGTGTCCATCGCCAGGTAGGCACAGTCGATTCCGGGGACATCACGTTGTTCCACCTGAAACAAAACGAAAATTAAATAATTACACATAACTCAATTATTCATAACTGTTTTGATACAACAGGGTGTCTACTAAAACAGGCTGGCCAAAAATTAGTACTTTTACAGTACTATTTCAGTACATTTCCAAGAAATTCAGTACCTCCTCAACAGAAAAATTCAGTATTTTTTCAGTGCCTCAATTCGACGAAATTCAAAAAATTTCAAAAATTTGAATTTCCCGCTCAAACTGCGACTGATATACCATACAAATTCCGGACCCTTTTGCGGAATTTCCGCACTTTTTCATTGATGCCGGACCATCCTTAAAAAATCAGTACTAAGTATTTCCGGACTTGTAGATACCCTGTACAATTCGAGAGGGGAGGATGGGTATAAGACTGCATTTCACTACGTTAAAGGGGGGGGGTTGGTCAATGCCAGCGTTACATAACCCTCTCATTTGTAAAAAAAAAAAAAACAAGCGAAACAATAATGTATTTTTGTCATATTTCAGAAAAATCACGGCAATTTTTCAAGCGTTCGTGTATATTCAGCCGTACAAAAAAAGCGGAGAAAAAGTTGCAACGTCGCAAATTGAGGTATAAGTGGTTTTTACCTCACCGTTACGAGAAAAAGTGTAACTGCGCACGCGGTCGAGTGTAATATCAGCAGCAATTGTATCAAGAGATAAAGTAAAATTCGCCTAGTGATGAGTGATGAGCAACTCGTTGAGCAGAGAATCAAATAAAATTTCCCGTTTGACGAGTGATCAATGTCGGGATGAGCGCTTTGATCGGCGAGTTCTTACAAATTAGGTCAGAATAACCGAACCAATTTCTAGACCTTTTTTAGTAATCGGTCATCATTGAGCGAAACTGAGCTTCGGCCGAAACGGTGTTAGAGGTTTGGCATCGTCCGCGATTGAAGGGGCTTTTAAGAGCGGCACTTCTAGGAGTTGCAATGTCTTGATGTTAAGTTCTAGTCAACTAAAGAGGCTTCGCCATCTTCAATCGCAGCTGTTGACTTTTCGAATTTTTCGAAAAAATTGCTGGGGAAAATTTTAGCCGCCCCCCCCCCCAACGTAATTATGAAATTGAATTTCATTGAGAGAGGGGAATGGCATCACCAATGACAAGGTTTCATCTGTAAAGCTGACCTCTTTTTAAATGTTAAAATCTCTGGGGCTCATACGAGGTTTGAAGTGCAGGATACTAACAAACATTGACAAACCGTACTTCCTCCGCCCGCCCTAAAATTGGAAACGAAGATCGTCACCATTCGGCCAAAATGTCACAAGCGCCATGTGACGTTTCAAAATTTCCGCTGCCACTTTATTTTTTTTTTTACAGAGAAATCGTTCAACGAAGCCGTCCGAAAATTTCACTGAATTTTCTTTGTGCTGCCGATAAAATTCAGTGACATTTTCGGACAGCTTCGTTGAACAAATTCTCTCTGAAAAAAAAAAAAAATGGCAGAGAAAATTTTGAAACGTCACATGGCGCTTGTGATACTTTGGCCGGAATGTGACGAGATTAATGAGTGGTCATGTTCAAAAATTCGACTTTAATTTTGTAATAGTAAAATTTGACAACAAAGTTCTGATTATCTCTTGAATTAATCGTTTCAGGGTCGTAGGTGGGGTTAGGGACAAGCTACTGACGAATAAAATAAAACGAGATAAAATGAAATGTTCTCCGCTCTCACTTGCACTGGTAAAGTAGAAAATGTTTGGGTGCGTTACGAGGTTTCAACTCCACTACTAGCCTTTTTTGCGACTTTTACATTTTATTTCAGTGAAAACCGTACCTTTGGTAGTAGAATAGTCATTAAAACCTTTTTATTAATGAATTAAGGTGATTCGATGGACGCCATATTTTCTGTCAGAACGGCATGCGATAAATCGCATCAATTGGTTCCATTTTTTCAGCTACTCGTCATTTTTCTCCAATTTTGAGATCGCAATTCTATTGTCAGGAGACTAAAGCACTCACCAATTTCAATAAAGAAATTCAACGTAATAAAGGCGTTGTTTTTTTAGAAAGAAAACATCGCATTCGATCTGAAATCGAAACTGCACTCGAATGCGATATTTCCTCTCTAAAAAAACCACGCCTTTATCACGTTGAATTTCTTTATTAAAATTGGTAAGTAAGTGCTTTAGTCTCCTGACAACAGAATTGCGATCTCAAAATTGGAGAAAAATGACGGGTAGCTGAAAAAATGGAACCAATTGATGCGATATATCGCATGCCGTTCTGACACAAAATATGGCGTCCATCGAATCACCTTAAATGTGAATTGGACCACGTTTTGCAATAAGGAACCACTGTTTCTGGTTCATTTTAGAAACAACATTTGTGCCATTGGTTTCCAGATGCAGGAATGTGCTTTTGGAGGAGCGAGAGGTAAGTGGTCTTTTATTGCAAAATGTAATTCAATTAAAGTTTTCGCGAGATTTAGGAACTATCTGCAGGCACTGCCTTCATGATTGCATATTTAATCGATATACATAAAAATGTTTTTAAAAAAACAATAAAAAAAAATTGGAAAAATTCTGACGACTAGTCTCATGAATTTTCTTTCGGCACCAACGAGATGATACACCAGAGCAATTTTGGACCGAGGTGCTTGTATCTTGTAAAGCGACGATTAAAGTCTGACGTGTTTATTTGAAGAACAACCAGCTGTTTCGAGCATACAAGATCGTGTTTGCTCACCCGATCGTTGAAACACAACAGTTCACAAGGGACTGTTTGCGGAAGAAGGACGAGGGAGTTCAGTCCGGAAACGCTTTGTTTTCGGAGGTGACGATAATGATGATAATTTATTACACGTACGAAAGGCAAAGGTTGCTACGGTAACTTTTCGAGTATGATAGAAATGTTCAAAAGATGAACTTCGAAACAGCTTCGAACCTTATTTTCCTTTCGATTGTGGTATTTACTGTAACCGGACGTGCAGGATTTCGGTGAATGATGGAAATTTGGAGGTTTTGAAGCACCGCTGATGAAATACAAGTTCCTGCAGTTTCCGGGTCGATACGTCGTTTCTGAAATAAGTCAGAAATGGTGTTCCTCATTTCAAAACGTAGTCGAATTTAGTTTTCGAAGGCCGATTGCGATGTGGCAGACTTCCTGCCAAGAAATTCAGTACCTACTCACTAGAAAAATTCAGTACATTTTCAGCACCTCAATTTGACAAAATTCGAAAATTTGAATTTCCCGCTCAAACTGCGACTGAAATACCATAAAAATTCCGGACCTTCTGGCGGAATTTCCGCACTTCATCATTAATTCCGGACCGCCCTTAAAAAATCAGTACTACTTCCGGATTTTCCGGAAAGTCCGGGGTTGTAGACAGTAGACACCCTGTGGTCATGCAACTGATGATGGCTTCCAGGTGGCAGTGACCTAGAAGTTTCTACATTTTTTTCTTTTCCTAAATTAAAAAAAAATTGCCTCAACATTCTCTTCTTGTGTCTCCGCTGCAACCTGGCCACCGTTGTATCGGTAAACTGACGACGCGTGTGACGCTCAGTGGCGTGGCGTGAATGATCGATTATCGATATATCGCCATTTGAAGCTATGGTAAAGAATCGATTAATAAGGTGTTCGCTGCGAACACCCTAATAATCAATCTTTTTTCATAGGTTTGAGTGGCGTATCGATCGATATATCGCAAAGCACGCCACGCCACTGGTGACGCTACGTCACGCCACGTCACGTTTGGACGCCCCCGCCCGTCCCCTCGCACGGCACCCCGTCGCGTTGCCGTCGTCGGCCACCGCCCGCCGCACAGTGGATTGAGTCAATAGGAGAGGACGGACAAAATTTGGAAACTTTAAAAACTTCTAACTTCGTTTACACACAATTTTGATGCTCTAAAAGTGGTCCCATTGGTTTTCTCGTGAAATTATCATCCAAACGCACCCCTTAAAATTCAAATTGTAACAAAATAAACATAAAAATTTGCAGTTTCAGTAAAAAATGTTATGTTGAACCTTTCGGATTGGCTCGATCCACTGTGCGCCGTCCCGCCCGCTTCTATTTCCAGCGGCGGCGGCGCCGACCTTGAACCTGCCCCCTGGAGAGAGCCACTATCGTCCCGACTAATTATGATAACCACTCCACGTACGAACCTGCCTGTTCCGTGACGTCATCAGCCTCCCCTCCCCGGGTCTGGGGGTGGTTCCGTGCACGGGGGTAACCCAGTCATGCCGTTATAGGGTGCCCGTTAGGACCGGGACCTTTCACGCGACGGCAACTTGGAGCCACTTCCGCAGTCCGTTGTTCCCCTGACGAAAGACCGAAACTACAATTCAACTTTGCGAACGAATTACGTTTTTACCCGGAAAATTTAGGGCAGCCCTAACTGAGAATTGGACTGATTTTTCCTCCAGGGTGTCTACTGAAACAGACCGGCCAAAATTCGGCGCTCTTTCCATTTGACGAAATTCAAGAAAATTCGAAAATTTGAAATTCTCACTCGAATTGCGAAAAAAATGACGTAACCGCATAAATTTCTATGGTGGCTTGGTGATTAACTGACAACACAATCGCGATCTTGTAGGCAAATAATATTCTGGGCAAAGAACGCGCAGGGGATTGCATACTTTCCAGGCTCTATTAAAAAACACGCGTGGAATGGGGGGAAAAATTCCGGACCTTGGTGCGCAATTCCCGCGCTTTTCCAGTACTTCCGGACGCCCTTAAAAAATCAGTACCATTTCCAGGCTTTCCGGAAATTTTCGACCAGTGGACACCCTGAAAAAAACACAACTGGACGTGTTTATGCTAAAAGGAACTATGTTGCACGTAAACCCTACGCACATAGTTCCTTCTGGCAGAAATACGTTCAACTAATGCAAAAAAAAACAGTGGCGTGGCGTGAATTGCGATTTATCGATTGCTTTGCCATTTAAACCTATGGAAAAGGATCGATAAACAGGGTGTTCGCAACGAACACCTTAATAATCGATTCTTTACCATACGTTTAAATGGCAAAACAATCGATAT